AGCTTCATAGTCTATCGGATTCCTCCAGGATAAATAATTATTCTGATCCTAAAAAAAAAAGATTCAGTATCAACAAATAAAAAAATCTTTGGGCACATTGACTCTAATAATTCAGGTTTTCAGGTTTTCTCCCACATCGTGCCACTCCTTAATAAATGTCCACACGCCCGCACTCAGCCATCCCAATACAGAGCCCTCTAGAAAGAAGAGATTTTGAGACTCGGGCCGTTCTGGGTACGACAACACCAGCAACTATTTAGTTCTCAGTCAGCACGCACAGTTGCTGTCCGAGATAGTACGCGTTTCTTACACGCGCCATAACAATGTGGAATTTCCACTACCGGCAATTGCGGGGGGCTGGGGGTGTGTGATTGAAATCGATGTGCCCCACCTGATTTGCACCGTGTCATTTACAACTTAACCTCACGTGAACTTTGGGGGGGGGGGGGGCAATGCTGACCACGTAGATATGTAGATAGGGAGGGGAGGGTACAATTAGGGCTGCAGACGGCAGGTTCACAATGGGCAACTCTTTTTGCCGGTGATGTAATTGAGTGACATCACATGGCAGTAGAGGGAGGGCATCAATGATGAGAGGGAATGTGGCAACCGAGACCCCCACCACCCCACCACCAGTGCCAACCTCCGCCTGCTCCACCTCGTTACTTTGTCAAACATCTCTTAAGAATGAACGTCTGGCCATGGTGGTGGCGGTCGTGTGCTTTGAGAGTGGAGGGGGGTGAAGAGTGCCTCGCCCGCTCACACACACACAACATAAAATGGAGGAAGAGGCTCAGCCGGTCCCTTTACATTCCGCAGTCCGCATGGGCAAAGAGTGGCGCCGAGCCGCCTCCCCATTGGACGAGCGGTTCGCCGCCGACCAATCAGCGCCTTAGCTTGGCGCGTGCGCACGACCAAATACAAAAGCCCCCCCCCCCCACACACACAGCCGCCGACGCAACACAAAACGGATCGGCGAGATCAGCGCTCTGCATTTCCCAGCGCAGATAGGCGCAGCGCGCCGTGTCGACGACGCCCATTGGCCATCGGCCGCGGACATGACGAGGCAAGAGCCAATGGGGAGCGGCGTAACATCTAGCGCGGTGCATCCGCTCTGCGAAATTAAATCGGCAAGCAAACACCAACACCCCCCTTCTCCTCACAACCCCCCCACTCAGCACCACCACCACCACCTTACCCCCCCACCACCCCCTTAGTCTCCCCGCAATCAACCCCACCACTAACGCTTTACGATGCAACGCGAGTCGCTCACCCAAAATCCACGTCCATGGACTTAAAATAGAACTTGTAGTTGTGCGTGGGGCGGTTGAGCGCCGTCTTGAAGTCCCCCAAGGTGACCCGTTCGGGCGCGACGGGCAGCTTCACCAGATACGGGGTTTCCTCCTCGTCCATGTGATAAATGATTTTCGTCTCCCCCGCCATGGTGATGTTTGGTGACGGCTACTGCTGATACTGCTGCTGCTGTTGCTGGTGGCGGCGGCGGCGGTAGCGGCCGCACAGCGAGGGCTCCCCGCCGCCACCTCCTCCTCCTCCGCTTCCTCACTTTCCTTTGCACCGGCGCAGAGAAGGAGCCGCTCTCGAACGAGGGGGAAGAAGTCGCCGAATCCAATGCGGCGGCGGCGGCCGGGGGGGGGGGGTGGCCCAGGAGAAGTTGCGCCGCCGCCTCCGCCGCTGATCAACCCGCCCGCCCGCTCAGCGATAGGGCCACACCCCCCGTCCACATTTCCCACAACGGACAGGCGCGCGCCGCCTGCTGATTGGTGCGCGCCGAGTCACGCGCACGGCTCTCGACCAATGGGCGGCGTCGGTTTGCCGATGCGGTCTGCGTATTTCGAGAGCCGTGTCTCGGTAGTGCAATACGGTCGGGATTGTTTTATTAATTTTATTTTTGTGTTTTTTTATTTTTTATTTTGTTTATTTACGATCCGTGGTTCATTTGTTTTGTGCAGAGGACGCGGTTTTCTCGTTCCCGAGAGAAATGCCGCGGCTGTAAAGGATTTAATGTTGTGGATTTTGCGTATGTGTGTGTTTAATGCCACTCTATATAAGTAAATACGGAGTTCCCCCATGGCCTCTTGTTGGGACCCTAATTATGAAGGACCATATCAAGGACCATTGCCCGAAACGTTGCCTATTAACCTTTTAGAGCAGGGTTATTCAACGAATGTTTGGAGGTTTTTTTGTTATTAAATTAAGCAGGAGCCTCCATCAATATTCAAGGTCCTCATTGGACTTCGCTTGCAGAGGACATTTATGTTTTTTTTACTTTAGAATTCCAGGATACCAAAGATTTACAAGACTACCAATGTCGTTTATGGACCAGTCTTACACATGACACTTGGGATTCCTGTAAATGTATGTGTTTTTGTCATTAGAATTCCTAGATTTATGTGACTTGTAATGTCATTAACAGCCCGATTTGATCAATATTGAGTGTGCCCTTTTTTCAATGCCATGGGCCCCAAGCCCCCATGTTTAAAAGTAGTGAACAATACGCACTCAACAGCTAATGTACGCCGTTGTTCTTACAAATGTCCCATTATGGATATTCTTATGGCCCTAATAACATTTTTCTCGAGGAAGTTAGGGGACTGGGGAGGTTCTGGAAGAAGAATTAGTCTTTAGATGGTTGAGATCAAGAGAAGGTATTTAACAGTGTCGACGGGATAGAGTAGTGAAGGAGAAAGGTGCATGGTTGAGGTGGATGGTTAGTTTGGATCTGGAAAGAGGTGGCTTATGGATGTAAAATAAAACAAATTTGAGGTAGCGGTGGGTCCTTAAAGTGACAGGTGCGATGGTGGTGCGAGTGGTGGTATTGGACATGATGACGTTGAGGGTGTGGCCACGGGAGTGAGTGAGAACTGAGAAGAGTTGGGAAGAGACACGGATTCATAAAGTGGCTGGACGTTGGTGGAGATGAAACTAGATAAAGTGATGCCATACGCTGTGATGTCACAGAGCACGCTGTGATGTCACAGAGCACGCTGTCATGTCACAACGGACATCATGCATTCTGCTCTAGCTCTCACCACTATGTGTATACGATGAAATACATTAGACGTGGTCGGAGAAAGGGGGGTCATTCAGTCCCTGTCAGCCCGAGATTTGGTTCTCCCACAATGCGGCCGAGCCCACACCGAAGCGATCAGGTGCACAAACACACGGCTCTCGAAATCGCACAGCTTAGTGGCAGCCATGGGCTGCTTTGTCTTAACATCTGAGCGAGACGTTACGCAATGAGGACGCATCTAGGCATGGCTTGAAGTGTCTGGGCACGCATCTCTACTGGTTAGGCTCGCTTCCCCACCCACTGTCACCATACAACGTAGACAGTATCGATTATTAGATGATACTGCATTGGCAGTAGTGGACAAGCACAAAAACTCGACACGTCCGTTAATAACACTGCAGCCTTGAAAGGTAATTATATATAACGGTCAGAGATTTGGGAAATGTCCCTTTGTCATAGCACATTAATAAAGAGACCATAAGTGGATAAGAGTGAGATGCTGCACGATACACCATGGGGTCTGATGAGAATATAAGCTTAAAACTATTTTCCGATCATTATTTTTAATTGGCACACCTATTTTTGGATATTTTTTTTTACATTATTTGGTGATAATGCGTTGGCAGTGGCGCACGACCACAAATAACAAAAGGCACTCAACACATTCTTCAATTTTTGTACTTCGTTAATGAAAATGCCGTTTCGGACAATGAAGGATCATTGCCCGAAAGCATCGCCTATTATGTAATGTTCCTTTTAGGGCCACAGTGCTATTGGCGATTATAATTGTTTCTTGAGTAACCTATAGAGTAGCAATGTCACAAGAAATCGCTGATCAGGTGGCTTGAATGTAGTGTCTCCTGTAAGCAACCACCCCTCCCCCCCAGGTGTATACGATTATCAGTAGACAAACCTGTCAACCCCTTATCAGTGCCCTACCTTATCACAAACCAATTTACACCTTATTGGCCACCCCGTGCCCTGATAAATCTCAACATTCATCCCAAAAAGTCACCCTCACAAGGACAGAAGCACAAACAAATAGACAAAAACATGTTTTTGTTGTTGCCCTATTCAAACGGCCGTACGCCGTATGGACCTGAAAACTCAATTCCCTGTATAATAATAACACGGGGTAAACCGTATGGGTTTACAGGTTTGCTATCCCTATCTGACATACCTGTCAACCCCTTATCAGTGCTTATCACAGACCAACTCAGACCTCATTGGCCACCCCGTGCCGCTTATAAATCTCAACGTTTCATCCTAAAAAGCCCCATCATCACAAGGACAAAAACACAAACAAATAGACACAACCAACCTATATATTTTTTTTTGCCCGTAATTGAAACGGCCGTACGCCGTATGGACCTGAAAACTAAATTTCCCTGTACAAGAATACGGGGTAAATCACACGTATGGGGGTTGACATTTGCTATAAAAATTGCACAGCAACCACCTTGCATGCAACCTAATCGCTCAGCCCTCTCTGCACGTGTTACATTTTCGAGTGACGTAATCGCAACACGTTCACGCCCCGTTGCACGCGTCACATCATGTGACGTCATCGCGCGATGACGTCGATTTTTACCACCACGTTGCTCGATGACGTAATTACTTTCCACTCGGACTTTATCCCTCTTAGTGTGCTTGTGAATAAGGGTCATTGGGCCGAACAGGTCATCTTACGTGTTATTTTGAAGGCCACACACACACACACAACCCGGCGTTATTATTGACGGATGCGTTGCTGAGTTTGCATTTTGTGCTTGTGCAGCACAAGCAATTCTGGCAGCGTCATCGCCAAATAATTAGTTTAACGTTGTTTTAATATAGCGAATGATGACGCCACTCATTCTAAACGCAACCTCGCACGATGACGTCATCGAGAGTTAAATCATTTCGATTTAAAGGGACATGGCGTTTATTTATTTATTTTAGACAATGACGACATCGCTCGAGTGTTGGATGACGTCATTTCCCGATGACGTCACCCCCACTCCCCTCACCGACAACGTCACCCGCCCGCCACGAGCCGCTATGGACGCGTGCGTTGAGTTGCTCCGTGAAGAGTTCCCGCTCATCGACAGCGAGCTGTTCGAATACGTGACAGGTGACGGCGGCGAAACCTCCGACATGGCTAGGGGCGCGGGTGTCGCTGGCAACGAGGCGCTCCGCAGGGTTTGACGCTCGCGTTTCACACTCACCCCCACCAACAACCACCTCGAGGCGATTAGGCCTCAACCGCCCTCGACTAGGCAGCTTCCCCCGTGCCGGGTCGCTCGTGGTCGGTAGGGAAACCAGGCGAGGTGGGGGGGCTCGCGCGGTCTCTCGCCCGCTTCGCGTGGCGGCGACCTCCACCAAACCCGGTCTGGACGTCTCTCGTCGCCGGCTCGGCCACATTTAATTATGAAAAAGTAACTCGTTGCAAAGTTCACGGGAGAAGAAGAAGTTGGTGTCGGTGACTTGGCGGGGTTTGTGCGAGATGGCGGCGACTCGGGGGCAGGCCTTCATCCAGCAGTGGATTGAGTCTGGCCGATTATTGTGTAAATACAATTCTAGACAAACGCCAATGTCACCCACCGTGATTAAGCAGCGTCTGTGTAAATGTCTTGCGGATATCCAGCAGCGCTTTTTGTTTTAACTTGGGACCGGTATCCACGTCCTGAGTACCGCATCATCAGATGTTGCCGAGATGATTGGGTGTTAGAGGCTAGAATGTTCCAGAATGTTATTTTTTGTAATGTTACATTCCATTCATTCTCTTCCTTCCGTTGCCCAGCGCTTGTGTCCAGCTGGTGTATGCAACGACCAATGAATGAATCGCCGATTTAAACTGATAATTCGGCGAAAGTATTGATCCTGCGTGTGAAAATCGAATAATTAATTTAAAGCGTACGCTGTATAGTTATTGGTATACGACTAGATTTTGTATGTATACGTTCATATCACCGTGGATTCGTCGAGTTAGAGCAGTGGCGCAGTAGTTGGCACAATAGGATGGATAGCCGGGGTCCAATTCCCGGCCATGGCGAACGTGTGACGAGTGAAATATCTAAACTCGTCCATTCCCCCCCCCTACCCCTTACCCACCCGCACTGACTGACTAGCCGGTTAAGTATTATGGTCACTACCCCTTGCCCACCCGCACTGACTTACTAGCCGGTTAAGTATTATGGTCACTACCCCTTACCCACCCGCACTGCCTGACTACCTGGTTAAGTATTATGGTCACTACCCCTTGCCCACCCGCACTGACTGACTAGCTGGTTAAGTATTATGATCACTACCCCTTGCCCACCCGCACTGACTGACTAGCTGGTTAAGTATTATGATCACCACCCCTTGCCCACCCGCACTGACTGACTAGCTAATTAAGTAGTATGGTCACTACCCCTTACCCACCCGCACTGACTGACTAGCTGGTTAAGTATTATGGTCACTACCCCTTGCCCACACGTACTGACTTACTAGCTAATTAAGTATTATGGTCACTACCCCTTGCCCACCCGCACTGACTCACTAGCTGGTTAAGTACTGAATGGTCAAACAACCACTATACCACTATAACCGAGATTACTGGGAGAGGCCTTCATTCAACAGTGAATTTTCAGAGCTGTAAAGCAATTACATCTAGATTATATAGACTCGGGACTGCTGTAGATTGCCACGAGGTTATGCACATTAATATTACTAAATTCACACTACTGTGGATTCTATAGATTTAACTGCTAGATTATGTTTTTTTACAATTGTTGATCCTATATATTTGCACAAATTTAGATTATTACGTGCCACACGGTCAAAACAAATGCATTTATCAATAATATTCGTGGAGGGAAGTGGGTTAATCGGTCGTGCCCTATTGCTGATGCGCGCTCGTTTCAGCGTGACAGGTAAACTACGTGATTATATCGATTAACTGCCCTATATAATACAACTATTGATTTCCAGAAATTGTCTTATGTCATGACCGTTCTCGCCAACGCAATGTGGTTTTATTAACCATCAGTTCAAGACTGCTGAGATTAGCGCCACCCCATGCTCACATGTAGAATGCACGGCCACTGTCATCGGTCATGAATCCTGTACTGTCCGTGGTTCGCATGTGTTTGACACGTGTCGTTGGAAAGTTTTATCGGAGCACAGCTGACGAGAACGGCTTCCAACAATGAGTATGTGGTCAAAGTAAAACAACTCGGGGACGTGTGTTGTAGACAGTGCGATTATCTTGGCTGTGTGTCCCATTCTGTCTGACACACGTTTTCAGCTTTGTTCACAATCACTCATGGTCAGTTCATTGCTGCATGAAGGCCTCTCCAATACTTTGAATCCGTGGCGAGTCACACTCGTAAAGCTCTAATTACGATCCTAAAGTGACACAACTCATGTCAGACAATCCACGACACTCAGTTTTAAAACTTAATGGAACACATACAATCACTGACAGCTGCCTGGGTATTGTAACGATGTTAAAAAAGCAACTACTGTGCCACAGGGAAAATATTAAATGAGACTCCAGACAATAATAATAAAAATATTATTATTTCCCTTCTACGTGACTTTACCGAAAGAACCAAGAAGATGAATCCCTGCAGTCACGAAAGCTTTAAATAGAAAGAGACTCCAGACACTTATGTCGCAGGATCCTGCATTGAGATGTTTGATCAATTCCACTAATGTTTGGCTTCATGTGGAAGGAAACAAGCGTGCCTGAGGAAAGCGGCATGTAAATGAGGGGGTTATATTAAAAGCTCTGCACAAATAGTCGAGCAGCCATTGCTGGTGCTGCCATATGTCCGTCACCTTGCTGCCCAAGCCTGACATTTCTGTGCAGCTTTTCATCCAAGTTATAACCAGATTTAAGCCCGCTTAGCTTCTGAGGTTTGACGTAATTTGAGGATATTAAGAGTGATTTGGTCATGGGCAAATTATTTATTTAGGTCACTGGAGCAAACATGACACAGAAGTCACAGGTGGCAAGTGAAACTCTTCTACTGTATATTATGTAATCGTCCGTGCTCTCCTACCCCACTGCAGGGGGCCCATCTAAGTCTATGAGTCGCAAATAAATATATTGTGAGTGAAAAGGTGAAGAGAGTGGGGATTTGCATGCCATTCATCATTTATTGTGGGGAACGCATGGAAAATTGCGAATACATCTGCTTGCGAGGTGGCGCCCCTAAAGCGAGTCCACAAGATGTAGTACTTTGTCTTGTATTCGTGACATTTCAGGCGACCCAGTACCTGCACTTGTCACGGCCATGTGCTACCAGTTGGGGCTCTTTCCACGTGACACTTGTATAATCACACATCTGAGGAGCAAGGAGGTGCGAAAGAAGTTCAACGTACATACATATGCTATACCTACAAGAAAAGGAATCTATATATTTTTTTGTTGGTTTGAGTCCTCCTTTAAATCGCTGCCCTGTGTTTCTGTCTGCGCCCGCGTGTTTTTCATCCCGTGTCCCAGGTGTGCTCGAGTGCAGCGCTCTGGACTTTGAGTCGGCGGACGATGTGGTGGACGCTGTGGGTGATGTGCTGCAGGAGGGCTCGGAGGTTGTCAAGGACAACGAGGACATCAGAGACGTCTGCCAGAGGATGTTCAACGCGCTGCACGTGTACGTGCATGCCGAGCTAATCACCAACAGCTTTTAACGCTCAAGAGACCCTGAAAAATTTACAAGTTTTATAGTTTTAAAATGATACGTGTTAAAGTGTAATACACTTATAAAAAGTCAAAAGTACACGAATAGATGGATTAAAATAAAAATGATCATATTTGACCACATCTTTATGCCCTCTATCTCTGCTCTGAAGAAGAGCCATTCCTCTAAGCGTCAGAATAATATGTTATAAGAAAGGTACACGTAGATTTTCGTAAACCATGACAATTTATTTTGCTTGGCTATGCCGGGTGGTAGAAGGCCTTATTGCGCAAATTTGGCCAGATCATTACGTGGCCTAACCCAGAAATCTATCGTGAATCGGTACATCATTTTCGTTTTTTAAGGCAGCGTTCCTGACATGTAGTTAGTTTTTGATTTATACCAGCGCATGACTGTCAAGTATGTGCTTTTGATTTTCTTGGCTCAGGGTTCTTAGTACATGTCAGTCTGTTGAAGCCAGTCATATTCTGCCGTTGCTGTCTCTTTCCTGCCAGTTTTTTTTTATGTTCATCCAGTTTCATCGGGATCAGGCTAAGGTCACTGATTGGCTTCGAAAGTTATTTTCAGAGAACACAAGTTATAGCTGCTGTTTGTGCCCCTAGGAATGGACTGAGTGGCTCAGGGAGGCTACAATCCAGGCTTGATACTCCGATACAGCTGGCGGAGATGGCTGGACATTTTGGTGAGTGCTTGTTTTTTTGGTCATGCGTTCTTTTATCAAGATTTTTTAATCCAGTTGACCATTATATTTTGTATACATTTTTTTATCTTGTCAAATCTCTCCTCTTGGCAGCATGAATGAGTACACCAGTCAATTGACAGGACGTGTGTAGTGGAGTAGAGTGTGGCTATTCCCACCTTGAACAAAATGTCTCGCCAGTGTGGAAGAGTAAGTCAAGATACCCTATGAGAGAGGCTCTCCTAGATAATCACTTTAGCAGGCACCCTTCCGCCAGCAGTGCCATGAGCAAGCAATTGCAGGGCTGCACTTTTACCGGTTTTTTTGGCAAAATCATAACGTTTTTTTAAGGACGAACACGTTTAAAACGTTTGTTTTCGTTTAAAAAGCATACTTTCCTAATCTTTTTGTGTACCTTAATTTAAAAGGCACGTAATTTGAATCGTTTAACCTTCCGTTTTTTGTTTTGCGTTTCTTTTACGTTCGGTTGTTTTTTTTTTTAAAGAACGCGCTTCCTCGAACGCAGCACACAGTTTCTTCGCAAAGAAAGGACCGAACACGGTGAGTTGTGGCCCCGCTGAGATAGGCGTCCGGGAATCCGTACGATGTATCCACGTACGCGAGAGGACAAGGAACGCACGTGAAATAGGCTGGCGTACGTAAACCAGAGGTCGCAACCGGATACCCGTACCCTACCCGATACCCGGCTACCCGTACCTGGCCGTGTACGGGTACCCATTTGCGACCCTGGTGTGGCCGGGTACGGGTAAGGAATCAAAACCCGATAATTGTTTTTTTACCCTTCTATCTGGCAACAAAACTGACACCTTTTTGTTACAAGGAGTCATGTTTGCATAGACCACAATACCTGCAGTCATAATGCAAACAAAAAACACAACTCTGATAATGTATGCACCGTCCTTGAAGTTGATTGGTCCACACCCGAGACAGCTTTCCTTAGAGCCTAGTCTCACATGGTGTTGGACCAGATGGATAAAAAACCAATTATCATATTTTTTACTGGCAAATGAGGTTCCAATAGTGAATCAAAACCCGTTTGCGACCTCTGACGTAAACACGGACAGTATTCGTACTGGGTTTAAAGCAAGGCTTCCATGGAACCCTTTTTACAAGGCGTGTAACAACTTCATAAAATACCATTCATTCTTAGGCTCACGATGCAATGCATACAATCGCATGTCAGAATTGATTCTAATTAATGCAATTATATGTAAATGATACATGTGTTAATGCGGACAAATTCGACTAGAAACGAGACGATGCAAAAGGGAATGGATTGTGACAATACGTCGACCCTACCTTTAACCTCTTTAACCATACTCTCCTGCACACACACTCCTACAACCAGCAATGTAAATGAGCGCTGTGTTGGTGTTGTATTCAACATCAGCGTTTATCTGGTGACGGGGACTGTGCGTGTGTTCGTTGCGTTGGCCACATGACCGCTTGGTGTTGTTTAACCGGACTGTGGCGCATGCGCCTGTAAACCAGCAGTGTAGGGGCGCGGGTTTGTGGATAGCACAAATGTTGCGAGAATGTTGTGAAACTCCCTTTCCTGTGGGCATCGAGGTGCCATTCCTCGGCTTTCCCGGAGAAGGCGACACATCAAATGTGGACTCCAAACTTTTCCATCTGTACGGGATAGAGTTTTGCCCCTTCACACGTAAAGGTTGTATCCAGGCGCTCCAGTTTCCTCCCATGTATAAACACTCATTTATTCCCCATAAACACCTTAATATATAGAGGAGCACAGAGCTCGCAGGTGGGCCTTTGGCACTCGCTCACTGCGTGGCTGTCTTTCCCACTCGTCTGTGGTTCCGTGTAACCTCCGAGTCATTCTCTTCGAGAGTGAGCGAATGCTGTGCGGTGCGTAAGAATTTTAAACAATAATAAAACGTATTATTATGACAAGAGACTCGCTAACAGCGCCGTGCGAGGCTAAGCGGCGGATCGTTGTGTCTGTGCGTTGGCAGCAAGTGGACCAGAAGAAGCTGGGGAAGGCGGAGGCCAAGCTGAAGGCAAAGCAGGAGCGGCGGGCAGAGCGCGATACAGGCCGGCCCCGCGGCCCCGTGTAAGTCTCCCAGAGTCCAACTGCTCACGCTGGGCCTGTGTAGCGCAGGCTGTGTTAAAGACCGTGTGTGTGTAGTACGTGTGCGTGCGCCGTATTAGTGGTGTTTATGAATGTACAGTAAAATCTTGGATTGCGAGTAACTTGATCTGTGAGTGTTTTTCAAGACGAGCTAAAAAAATTGATAAATGTTAATTTGATAAACGAGCGAGGTCTTGCAATACGAGTAGTACGTGTATACGCTTTGTCTGCCGAGCGTCACGTGATCACAACTGATTTCCGATTGCTTTGATATACGAGTGTTTTGGATTACAAACACGTTTCCGGAACGAATTATGCTCGCAATCCAAGGTTTTCCTGTACTGTGAATAATATTCATCACTCGTCGGTTCACTCCGCTCACTCGCGCACTCACCTGCGGCCATTTGCCTCCGCGTCGCTCTTCTAGTGCCACGGCCATTGTGACTTTTCCTTTGTACTTCACCCATTGATCCCTCCACCCATGTTGGGGACGTGATCTACCACACTGACCGTTTCATCGTATCCACACTGTGTTCAACGACTGCACTGCAGGTCACAACATTTGTCTTCCTGCTTCTTACCACGTACAGCTGCAACTTTGTAATTCCCTGCCATAATTTGAGAAATGTATTAACTCTTATCTATTACAACTTTGATACTGCTGGTTGTTGTTGGCCGCTTAATGTTTTGGGGCATTGGGGTTGTGCTCCGTAACTGTATTACAATATATATGGTCAGCATCTTAATCAGTTGATGAATCAGCGCTGCCGGCTACAATGAGTTAAGAGTCTGACCATAGTCCACATCTCCCCATTTGCATCGACGTTTCCCCAATCAATGAACACACATGAATGAATGAACAAACAAATGAATGACCACAACGGCAAATGAATGAATACGTTCTGCGGCTCCATTTGCTTCAGGATTCTGGAGGAGGCGTCGGCGAGCCAGGCCTCCAGCCGGAAGGACACCAAGCTAGAGGCCTCTGGGAAGAACAAAACCTTCGACATCCGCATAGAGAACTTCGACATCTCCTTTGGAGAGAGGTGTGTGTGTACGCGTGTACTGACATTGCCAATAATACTACTGCTGCCGCTGATTCTTAATTTATCGTTGCTTATCCTACTTTTTACCGTCGCTGCCACTGCTTTCTCTACTGCTTTAGCTATGGCTGCCGATGATGATTTTAGTATTGCTGCCCTGGCTGCTACTGCGTCTCCTATGAATGCTGCTGCTTCTCTCATTACTGCTGCCGCCGCTTGAACAAAACATGGTTTGCCTGACTGGCGCGAGCGTGGATGTTCTCCCGGCGCAGGTCGCTGCTGTGTGGCGCGGAGCTCTTCCTCGTGTACGGTCGGCGCTACGGACTCATCGGCAGGAACGGCCTGGGCAAGACCACGATGCTCAAGATGATCGCTAAGTGAGCGGCGCCTTTGGGCATCGGGGTGGCTCAGTGGTAACGCTTGTGTCTCACAGCAAGATGGGCCTGGGTTCGATTCTTAACTCGGGCACCTTTCTGCGTGGAGTTCGTATGTTCTCACCTTGTTTTGTGTGGGTTTTCTCCGGGTTTAACAGTTTCCTTCCTTCCAAATAAAAAGGAGCGTAACTGGTACTGGCCAAAATATCACAATGCTGGAAAATTACCTACAACGTTACTCAATTGGGGTTACACACAGTAACATTGCCCCCTTCTGCGAAAATTCGGGAGAATCTTTCTGAAAAACAGTTGAGATTCAGTAAGGCTTTCCTTCGTAATGTGTGTCGTGGCATGTATGTATTGCTGCTAATAAGGAGCACAGGTAGTGCATCGGCCTGTCATCTCAGTCAGTCGACCCATGGCACCTGGGTCTTTCCCGTGACCTGCCAGCGGCCGTTCGACACTTCACGTGGCCTTAACGTGCACATAGCCTGTCACAAGCGCCGCGGTGACGTCACAGCCACTTCGTGGCGAATGGCGGTTATTGTTGTTGTGTCGCGGAAAACATGAGTACCTGGCACGGTGTGTAAAAACATCACAACTGGGGAGAAAAAGGTGGCTCCTCGATTGTACGTCTGTAAATAATTGTCTGGCGTGTATTTGGTGGAGCAATGGCTTGGTGGTTAGGGCGCTTTCCCAGGAACCCAGGGCGTTTCGAAGTGGTAGGCCTTCTTGTGGCCGCCGGCCGTATGAAACTAAATCGCGCTTCATCGATCATCCGCCGTTGCTCTAAAACTCGCCCTCGTGCATGCACACTTTGCCGCCTCCCTCCTAACCCTCCCTGCTCCCCCCTCCGCCCCCCCCCCACAGCCGCAGCTTGCGCGTGCCCACGCACATCTCGGTGCTGCACGTGGAGCAGGAGGTGGCGGGCGATGACACGCCGGCGCTGCAGAGCGTGCTCGAGTCGGACACGGAGCGGGAGAGCCTGCTGCTGCGAGAACGCGAGCTCAACAAGCGCCTCGCCGCCGGCATGTGAGTCTTCCGTCACCGCCGGTGCCGGCGTCACTCAGCCGTGGTTTACGCGACAGAATCAATCAGAATCTGAAACTTTATTTAGACCGGGGGAGGAATCTGATGAGCCATGAAGCTCTTTTTCGCAGACGTCTTGTGGGACGCCGCCGGCCGCTCCCTGCTCTCTCTGGCAGCCAACCGGCTCTCTGCCGACGATGCGGAACATATATGTAGATTATGGGAAAAATAATATTATTGTTTTACCATTGTAACATTGGGGTGAAGACTCAAAGTGTGCCGTCTGTTTTTATTGTAATCGGTTGTGGACATTTGTGGTCACGTGGCCACTGAGTCATTCGCTCACGACGAGCGGAGCAGCGTCTAACTATAAAACTAGTGCCCGCGGATATAGAATTCACTTTTTTTTCGTCAAGCACCTTTAATTTACAAACCTGGACAAGTCTGTCCGTGGATAATCGAGAGTGCCGTTTTTAAGGTTGGATAAGCTCTTTACTGACTTCATAACGAATGTGCGGTGACTGTGCAGCGTCCAGGACGGCTGTTTGCGTTGTGGCCGAAACGTCGTGAGAATTGTATTTTTATTATTTTATTATTTTCCTTTTACGTGACTTTACTGAAAGAACCAAGAAGAAGCGTCCATGAACTCGCGTTGTTCTCTCATTCCGCGCACGCCACAGAGTCGATGGCACGGAGGCGGCGCAACTGACCGAGGTGTTCGCCCGCCTGGAGGAGATCGAGGCCGACAAGGCGCCTGCCAGGTGACACACGGGGCTTTGCATTGTTGTGTTTCGTCTCCTGCAGTGTCCGAGTCGCACAGGGATTCATCATCATGGTCTCGAAATGTACGGTCATGCAGCACGTCGTACTGCATGACCGTACTGATACAGGAAACGTGCCCTCGTTGTTTAAACACCTCCACGTCTCGTTAGTCTCGCCACGAGAATGATTCCCTGGTCAGTATCGTGTGTGTTGTCTTGTTGTGTGGGTATGTGTGTGTGGTGTGGCGCGGGGAGTGGCGATGTCGTGGTTAGCGCATTGCGCTACGAACCTGGCAACTCATGTTTGATTCCTGATCATGGTCAACAGTTATGAAAATCTGAATCGGTCTCGAGCATCCCCTAGGTCGACTCAGCCTTAAATTAGGACCTGATACGGTTTGTAAAACATCAGCACTGAGGAGATGAAGGCGGCTGGGCGCAGTGATATCTACACCACCCGCTCGTGTGCCGTGTCTTGTTTGTTGTGTGGAGTGTGTGGCACCTACGGCGTGTGTGTGGTCTTGTTTGTGACTACGTCTTGCAATTTTTTCTGGTGTATATTTATGTGTATTGGCTCGGGCATTTGTGTGTTGTGTGTTTTCTTAGGTGGTCATCTCCTGTTTGTGTACGTAAGTGTCGGCTCATATGTTGTATTGTGTAAGTGTTTGACTTTTGGCTTGTGTGTGTAACAATATAATATAATTTGTAGCTTGCATACTTTCCATTCAATGTCGAGAGATAGGGAGAATGATTCAGAGGCGTGGGAAACCACAGACAAGCCAGAAGACAGCGCCAGAACCGGTGCCAACAATTGCCCAAACTCTGTGGCTCTTTATTGGGATGTTTGACCAACTCCGTTAATGAGTCTTCTTGGTTCTTTCGGTAAAGTCACGTAGAATTGAAATAATAAAATAATAAAAATTAAACATTAAATAATTCTCACGACGTTTCGGCCACAACGCAAGTAGCCGCCCTCAGGTGGAGAACAGGTCTGTCGAGGAGACAGAGTCATTCAGACTTTGTCTCCTCGACAGACGGGCTACTTGCGTTGTGGCCGAAACGTCATGAGAATTATTTTATTATGTTTATTTTTATTATTTTATTTTTTCAATTCTACGTGACTTTACTGAAAGAACCAAGAAGATGAATCCCTGCAGTCACGAAAGCTTTAAATCGAAAATTAAATCCGTTAATGAGTGTTTATACACGTGGAAGGAAACCGGAGTACCTGGACATTACCCACCCTTGCTCGGGGAATAACAGTCAATCCCCGTACAGATAGAATACAGATAGGAACTAATGCACTTGCTGTATTGCCAAACCCTGGCAAGCCAGGAGATGGCGGCCTCGGTGACTGCGGATAGAGAGGGAGTTTCACGAATTTGTGCAGCATTGCCACGAGTGCCTGGCACCGGCAGTATATGTCCATGGTCTCCTCTGTGTGTGTTGTGTGAACGATTGTCACGTACGTGTTTGTCTATTGTCCATCCCATCTGTGGCCCCGTGTGTGTTTCGCGCGCGTCTGGGTAATTTAGAATATCCCGCAGGCGAGTTGCCAGTGGCTGTATAAGATTCGTTTTTGTTCTCTGATTGGATACATTATCTTCTCGTTGGCAAGTACGTGGCGCTACGTTTTGAATTGACACCCGTTTGGGGAATGCTTACAGGGCCTCCGTCATCCTTGCCGGCTTGGGCTTCACGCCCACGATGCAGCAGCAGCCGACGAGGTGAGGACAAACCCATCATCACCAAACCTCTCTTTTTAGTTGCGTTTGGTTGCCAGCTTCCCGATGGCCGGGGGGGGGTTTGGGTCCTCCACGTAGCTGCTTCTCGGGGAAGAGCCGGCCACGGCAGGTGCAACCATTACCATAGACCGTGGGCGCACCGCAACAAACGGGTGGGACATAACGTGAACCCGTGTCCCGCTGCGAGCGTTCCACAAGGGCACTAGTGGGATTCGCTCGCCATCCTCAAAAGCCAAAGGGGCTGGAATTACAACCCCCGACGACAACGATTTATCGTTGCTACTCAATTAACATCCGTACGAAGGAATAGGAATATTGAGGGGTTGGTGACCGTTGATTCTCGCTGCTCCAGCGTCGCGTGCGTCAATGTCGGCGGCTCACGTGCACGCATTCCTTTTTTGCTATTTTCCATCAACAGGGAATTCTCGGGAGGGTGGCGCATGAGGCTAGCGCTCGCCAGAGCACTCTTTGCCAAGTGAGTATCACTGCACAACACACGGCCAAGGTTTTCGTACGTAAAAGTGAAATGATTGTTAGCAATGTATATTAGAACATTGGAACCTCATTTGCCAGTAAAAAATATGATAATTGTTTTTTTACCCTTCTATCTGGCAACAAAACTGACACCTTTTTTACAAGGAGTCATGTTTACATGGACCACAATACCTGCAGTCATAATGCAAACAAAAAACATAACTGATAATGTGCACTGTCCTTGAAGTTGATTGGTCCACACCCGAGACAGCTTTCCTTAGAGCCTAGTCTCTCATGGGTTGGACCAGATGACGCCTTGTAAAAAAGGTGTCAGTTTTGTTGCCAGATAGAAGGGTAAAAAAACAATTATCAATGTATATTAGGTCGGCCTATGACTCGATCAATGGGAATATGCCGCGTATCATCAGATCTTGGAAGCTACGCAGGGTTGAGCCCGGACAGTGCTTGGATGGGTGATCACCATGCACAGCAGGGTGTTATTTAGGCTGCTGCGAGCTGTGGTGAATAGCAGAGCCCAGCGCTGCGAAATCCATTGTTGCGCTGTACTTTCGTGCTTTCCCATCTGTGAACCACACCTTCGCGAACCCGCACTGACCAGCGCGTAGTGAAGTATGGTCAAACAGCCCTGGTGACCGACACGCCGCGTGGAGGAAGCTTTCATGCAAAACACATTGTCACTGTGTCACTGGTGTTCAACTTGGTATTGATGATGTTTTCCAATGGCTGTGGCAACATTTTTACGTTTTCCACATGTCTTTTTTTTGCATGGAAAAAAGTGGTAAAATGCACACAGATAAGTGTGACCAATATGATGGGACAATAGTGCTCCCCCCCCCCCCCCCAACGTCAGCACAAAGTAGAGGCGTTCTCATGTGAACAAGTTTAAATCTGGCTGAACATGTCTCGAGCTTTTCATAGCTCGTAATATTTTTTGGAATAAGAGTTGTGTTGAATTGATTGAGAGTAAAACTCCTCATGTCTGTTGTCCCTCAGGCCTGACCTGCTCTTACTTGATGGTGAGTTGGGGCCCTCTGAAATCCACGCTTGTTTTAACCGTGGTTTTTTTTAATTTGTAATCTATATGTTTGCTTTATTATTATGTTTGTTAGCCCAGGATAGCCTCACTATGGGATAGCGTCACTATCCTGGATAGATAAGTAAAAAAATTAGTCTAAATGCTCCTTTTCAGGAGGGTGCTGTCACGTTTTTTGCAGTATGGGGGCGATGTCGTTATACGTGTAATCCAAATTGAGTAACTTTGCGGGTAATTTTTCAACATTGGGATGTTTTGCCAGCCCCACTTACATTGCATTTTCTTTTTTTATATTTAAAACCTGTGAAAGCCCATTGGCACACCACGTCCCTCACAGGAGAGACCTGGGTCACGGGCACATGTGTTATGTTTAAGTGTGTATCTCTCTGAGCTCTTATGGTTGTTTTGTCACAGAGCCCACCAACATGTTGGACATCAGGGCCATCCTTTGGCTGGAAAACTACCTGCAGGTGATCATCACCTCTTCTCATCGTACATTCACAGTCCTACTCTTTGGTTCTTACGGTAAAGTCATGTATACAAATAAAATAATAAATTCAATAATAACATACGACGTTTCGATTGCAACACAAGCAATCATCATCAGGTATAAATGAAATAGCAACAAAAAATCGAACCAGAAAACTATAGACAGACATATAAGCAGACAGATATCACCAAGATACATAGATATCTGTCTGCTTATATGTCTGTCTATAGTTTTCTGGTGAGATTTTTTGTTGCTATTTCATTTATACCTGATGATGATGATTGCTTGTGTTGCAATCGAAACGTCGTATGTTATTACTTAATTTATTATTTTATCTTTATACGTGACTTTACCGAAAGAACCAAAGAGTAATTCCTGCAGTCACGAAAGCTCCAAATTCAAGATATTCACAGTCCTCATGTCAATCCACTGCCGGAAGAGAGCCCCTCCTCACACTGTGTGGGTTGTGGTGGGGGGGGGGAGATGCTTGACCAGGCTTCACCACGCCGGCCAGTGCGGATTGGTGGTGGCGAGGAGCGGAGACGCGATTGCACAGATGTAGAGTTCCACTATGGATCTTGCTGCGTTGCCCTCTGCTGCCCACCACGTAGCCTTTGCAGCAGCCAGTGACATCATGTTTGTGCGTGGTGGTCACCCGTCCCCAGCACTGTGTTCCAGGCTCAAAATCTTGCTTAGCTTCTGCGATCTGACAATATCAGGCACATTCCAGGTTCGTTGGTCATAGGGTTTTTCTACTTGGTAACAATTTCATCTGTCTGTCTTTCCCATGTTGTTTGTTTCGGTGTCATTTTGCCTTTGTTTGGTGATTTCATCTCTCTGTAGCACTGTCTGTTCCTTTGCAACAGCGTGATTGTATCTGTCTGTCGTCCCTTTGCCTGACTGATTGGCCATTCCCTCTATGGCTGATTCCATTTCCCTCTGCCTTTATCAGCGCTGAGTCAACCTGGGGTGAGACCCAGGACCAGTTCAGATAATCACCCCTCAGTGTTCGCCGTATCTGGGAATGGAACTCGGGCCGCCGGGTCAGTAGCGCAGCACACTAACCGCGACCGTGTCGTGTGCACGCGCCCACAGACGTGGAAGTCGACCATCCTGGTGGTGTCTCACGACCGCAACTTCCTGAACGCGGTGGTGACGGACGTCGTGCACCTGCACTCACGCCGCCTCGACGCGTACCGCTGGGGACTACGAGGCCTTCATCAAGACCAAGGAGGAGCGGCTCAAGAGCCAGCAGCGCGAGTTCGATGCCCAGATGCAGTACCGTGAGCACATTCAGGTGCGTGCATGCGTTTGTGCTTTCACGCTTGCGTCACGCCGCATTGTGGTGGGTGGCGGAAGGCAGCGTGAGATTGGACTGGCTTGGCAGCTTAGTTTAAAGGGGGGCGGTGAAATGGCAGAACGGTAGCACGTTCGTGTTCACCCGCTTGTTGCAGAGGTTTTAAATTTGGCAGGCCTCCCTGGTTATTACTGCGGTTGTGTTTACCAGAAAAAAAACACTATGCATCGTCAGTTTGCTAGTGGACGTTAAAGATGCCCTGCTGTCATTCGCAAAACTAGGGCATTGCTGGCGTAACTGTCCAGTTTAGAAAAATTGACTTCAAATTACTAAATTTGTATTTTACACGAAGCAGTCGTTTCCCCCTCTACTGGAAGCATAACGCGCAATAACAGGTGTGGTGTTAAATCACCCTTGTGACCACAGGGACAGCAGCAACTCAGGGTGCCCTTTCAAACCGCGTGAGATGAGATGTTGATGCGAGTCGCTTATTGCGTGTAAAACGCCCCAAGACGCCCCGACGTCGATTTTTATTATTACTGAACCCGTGGTGCTAATGACGGAACGCGCTTTTCCTCTCGCAGGTATTCATCGACCGCTTCCGGTACAATGCCAACCGTGCCTCCCAGGTGCAGAGCAAGCTGAAGCTTCTGGAGAAACTGTGAGCCTCTCTTTCATCGTTGGCAAGGCGGAAGTTTCTTGTGGCTGTTGGGGGTGGTTGTAGGGGCGGGGGGGGGGGAGTCCTCTTTGCTCGATCAACATCGCACGACGCATTACGAGATGCGTTTTGTGTATTTCAAGAGGTGGCGGTAAAACAGCAATGCATTCTTGAATCCATCTGTGCAGAGCTTTGTGTTAACCCCTTATGTCGGTAGATTTCTTCAATGGGGTAAAGGTGATTATTGTTGCTGCAGGTATTGTGGCATTCAGGACCGTGGTCATTGCAAGCGTAGTTTGCTGTTTTACTTGTGTAAAATGTATTAAATGTTGTTGAGATTGTGGCAGCTTGGGGAGGCTTTCATCAAGCAGCGGATTATCTATGGGTGACGATGATTTGTGGTTTTTATGTATATATGTTGAACTTTATTCGCACTATACGTAGCCAACCGTGCTAATTGAAGGTGTGGGGGAAGGACAACAGACTACACACAAACTCGGCTAACTTAAAATTTGAATGGCAAACACTTAAGTAGGAGTGCGATTGATCGTTGTGGTTGTAGCTGTTCACCTAAGCTGTCATTTCTGTCCACAAGCTGCCTCGATGTAACTCTTATATCCCGCGTCTTCTCTTTCTGCCCACATGCAGTCCACAGCTGACGCCGATAGAGAAGGAGTCTGAGGTCATGTTGAAGTAAGTTCTTTGGTGCCTTTTTCGTCTTCGCTGGGGCTTCCCAGCTGCGCCTCTTAATCCGCTACAAATGACATCTCTCGGCTTGTTTCGCTGAGTTCACTTCACCTTATTCGGCATGTACCGCCGCGACCGCATTGCGGTGAACGTAGCGACCTCTAGTGGCTGGAGGGATCGCGGGAAGCCACTGCATACAACAAATACAAATTGAAGAGTGGCGAATCTCACACACGCACTTAGGTGCATGTAATGTGTGTGAATCTTGACTTAAAGCTTTCGTGACTGCAGGAATTCATATATTTTTTTCCTGCCCCAGCAGCTCTCCCGCTATATTTTTCATCTGATGACGATTGCTTGTGTTGCGATCGAAACGTCGTGATATTATTTTTCTTATTTTTCTATCTACGTGGCTTTACCGAAAGACCCAAAGAATATGAAAAATGTGTGCGAGCTTAAGGAATTGATGAATCGATACATCATTTCACTCCTGAAAAAGGGTCTTGAGTTTCTGAGTAAATAAACGCCATCATTTACAATCTTGAGACGCACGCGATTGAATGATCGATTAATTCACTCGCTGAGGTTTCCGCGCATGCATACATTCCATCGTGACCCCCCACCGCCTTGCGATCGTTGCAGGTTCCCCGACGGCTTTGAGAAGCTATCGCCGCCCATCCTGCAGCTCGACGAGGTGTTGTTCTACTACAACCCCGGGGATCCCATCTTCCACAACGTCTGCCTCTCCGCCGACTTCGACTCGCGCATTTGCATTGTGCGTCGCCCCCTGCCACCACCGCCGTCGCGTTTCCTGCATAACCTCTCACCCCGATAGTTTTTTCAAATGTGCCCTGTCCCGGCGCTGCCGCGTTAACTTGTGGCTGCAACTCTCCTTCATGCGCGCCCCTCCGCTCCAGCAACTGAGGCCTCCTGTCAAACCCCAGTGGCGTGGTTGACACGGCCCCTTGTGCGCAAGGAGTGAGCTGGGACCATGTGTTCAGTTTTGTTCCCTATTTGTAGCCCAAAATCTGGACCCCTTTCTGATCGTAGGCCTCAGGTGCAGTTGCAATGCCTGCACACTCAAAAGGGTGCCACGGTGTTAAGATGTTAACTACCTCGCCTGGTATACAGGAGGTCGTGGGTTCGATTCCGACCCTGACGCCTGCTGTATATTTGGAGTTTGCGTGTCTCTCTCCCCGTGAACGCATGGATTTTTCTCCGGGTCCTCTGTTTTTTCCCTCCACGTTTAGAAATATGTGTTTAGATTATTTGCCTGCTGTAAATTTCCACCGAATGATAATCCATTTCGTCGAGCTATGATCTGTGGCCAGGTCGCTTCTGAAAAAGAGCTAAATAGCTCAGTGGGCCTTTCCTGGTAATAATAAAAATAGTTTTGTTTTGGCTTCCTCCAACTGGCAAAAACCCTCGGTCGAGGTTTGCTTGAAGGAAGGAAGTTCCTTCCCTGCAGCTGCTCCCAATGTCTGGAATGTTATCTTTTCTCTATAAGTACGTACTACCGAAGACCCCCTGTCCGAAGGCGTAATACATGATTGTAGATCTGACTGTGTGTGGTATGTCTCTGTGTGTGGTGTGTATATGTGGTATATGCGTGTGCGGTATGTGTTATGCTTGTGTGGTATGTTTGTATATTTATGTGTGCTGTTTTTTCATGTTGGATGTGGGTATCTGTGTTCTCTTTGTGAGTGTGGTGTGTCTTATGTGTTTTGTGTGGTATATGTAAGTGCCCTGTGTTTCATGTTGGTTATGAATGTGTGTGTGTGTCTGGTATATATGTGTGTGTGCCACAGGTTGGAGAGAACGGGGCTGGCAAAACGACCCTGCTCAAGATTCTCATGGGGAATTTGTCACCAGTGCAAGGCATTCGGCACGCACACAGGTGATTCTAGTTAGTACACATGCATACCAAAGAAAAACATGTCCCGCAAATAGCCATGGGGAAATTACTGTTATCAAGCGCCTGTTAAGGCCAGAATGGTCCATGTGTGACTCGCTGCCTGCCTGATGCTGTATAATCCGTGTTCCTGACTGCACTGCGTGCCTGTGCCTGTGCTGTCTTGTCTCACCTCTGTGCTCTGCCTGCGCTGCGGCCACCATCTGGGAACCACCAGGAACCTGAAGCTGGGCTACTTCAGCCAGCACCACGTGGATCAACTCGACCTCAACGTTAACTCGGTGGAGCTACTTGCCGCCAAGTTTTCAGGTCCGTCTCCGACAGATCGTTGGCTACGTACGGTGCGAAAGACGTTGTAAACACACACTTGCGTGTATGTATGTGTGTGTTCGTGGGAACCTAAGGTCACGCAGCATAGACCAGGGGTTGGAGAGCCTACGACTTGTGGGCCAAACATGACCTGTGACTTCACTTCACTTGGCCGGCAGCCACATTAAAGCCGACTGTCACGGCAAGAATCTTCGCCGCACTAATCAACTACTGCAGGGGAATATTTTTGACTCGGCAAAAACACCAAGTTTCTCTTTTTAACGCTATGTTTCGGTCACTTCTGTCACTGCAAGAACTTCATACTCGATTGATACGCAATTACATTTTGCGGTGGATGTGTATTATTTCTTGTAAGTAAGACATCAACGCATTAGCGACAGGAAAGCAGGCACAGGCGTTTAGTTCGCACGGTAAAGTTGAACCCACGTTTTTTTGTCATTCCAAAACCGTGAAGGTGCGTAGCTAATAGCCAAAGTTATTTGGCAGGGCCCCAGCTGCAGAGAAGGGAGCGAACGAGAGTGGGTGGCTGTAGCGGGTGTCGTGTGCGACACACAGGCCGCTCGGAGGAGGAGTACCGCCACCAGCTGGGTCTCTATGGCGTGTCGGGAGAGCTCGCAGTTCGCCCCGTCGCCAGCCTTTCCGGGGGGCAGAAGAGCCGTGTCGCTTTCGCACAGATGACCATGCCCAGGTAAGAGCCATGCTCCAGGTGAGAGCCATGCCCCAGGTGAGACCCATACCCCAGATGGGAGCCATGCCCAGGTGGGAGCCATGCCTCAGTGAGATTTTCACCATCACTCAGAGCTTCACCGGATCCTCTGGTGAACATGTGACCACATTTTTACACTCCCCAAGTGAGGACCTTGCCAAATTCTTCTCTCAATGGTTGCAGTCTCACCCAAGTTTCACCCTCGCCATGGGGGGGGGGGGGGGTGGGGGGTTGTAGGTGGAGTGGTGGTGAATGGTTTCATGACTGCCCCGACTGTGTGTTGCCTCCCAGTCCAAACTTCTACATCCTGGACGAGCCGACCAATCACTTGGACATGGAGACCATTGAGGCTCTCGGCTGTGCCCTCAACAAGTTCAAGGTGGGCACTGCTTCTGTTGTGTGTCGAGTTCAATAAGCAAATCGTCGTCATCAAGGCATCGGATCAGGGGTGGGCAAACTATGGCGTAGAGGGTAACTTGGGAACATCCAAAACGTGACGTCGATCTCGCAATCGTGATGTCGCACCTCCAATTAGCACGATTGGCTACGTATGTTGCAAAAGAAGTTCCATCATGTCGCATTCATCAGTGCGATGTTGCGTTCGCCAATATGACGTCGCTCTTATCGACGTGATGTCATGGTCGCGTGTTTTCACATGAACCTCTTGCCCCCCCCCCCCCCCCGGTGGGGAGCTCTGAGTATTGCAATGTGTGGGCCCCCCGCACTTGAAGAAGTTCACGCGCCCCGAGCATCGATGGTGAATGATGGATTCTCGGCGTGCGCTTCTGTCCACAGGGCGGCGTGATCCTCGTGTCTCACGACGAGCGGCTGATCCGCACGGTGTGCCGCGAGCTCTGGGTGTGCGAGGAGCGCGGCGTGCGCAGAGTGGACGGCGGCTTCGACGAGTACAAGCACGTCCTGCACGAGCAGTTCAGCAAGGAGGGCATGATCTGAGCGCCGCAGTCGCGCCGGCTCGCGCGATCACAGGCTCCACCCCCCCCCCTCCCGCCCCACTCGATCGCTTATCCGGCTGCTCGCTCGCCTACGTGCTGGTTCATCCACCTACTCTCTCGCTAATCTTCTTACTCGCTCAATCATGCACCCGCTCGCTCGCCCATTCGCTCGCCCATTCGCTCATCAACCCACTCATCAACTTGGTCGCTCACTCATCCAGCTCTTTCGCGAATCCACTTATTCGCTCACTCTTTTCAATCGCTCGCTCATTCATGCACCCGCTCGCCCATCAACCCACTCACTCATCAACCCACTCACTCACTCATCCACCTACTCTCTCACTAATCCACCTATTCGCTCACTCTTTTCAATCGCTCGCTCATTCATGCACCCGCTCGCCCATCAACCCACTCACTCATCAACCCACTCACTCACTCATCCACCTACTCTCTCACTAATCTACCTATTCGCTCACTCTTTTCAATCACTCGCTCATTCATGCACCCGCTCGCCCATCAACCCACTCACTCATCAACCCACTCACTCATCCACCTCTCTCACTAATCCACCTACTCGCTCACTTTTTTCAATCACTCGCTCATTCATGCACCCGCTCACCCGCTCGCTCGCTCATCAACTTGGTCACTCGCTGTTCCACCTCCTCTCGCTAATCCACTTATTCCGCTCATCCACCTGCAGATTTATCTCTTCACTTGTTCACCTTCCGGTTCATCTGCCTAATCGCTCGATTGTCCTTCTGTCTGCTCGTTAGCACCTTACGGTTTTCCCTTTGGACGCAGGCTTATTTGGCAGAATTGATGGGGAAGGGGGGATAAATAAGGGAAACGTTGATGATGAAAGGGTGCCTCGATCGAAGCGCACCGAGGCCTGTACAGCACATTGTTCACAGTTCGATTTGTAGCGCGTAGGTGAAACAGCCGGTGCCGTGCCCTGCGTCTCTGTGGGTGCTGTGCGTCCCCGGCAACACGAGACGTACCCAGACTTGCGCGCGCACACGCGAGACATTGTTTTTTGTCATCGGAAAATCAAAGTTGGCCGCTTTATAGCCGCAAACGTGCGCCACACAACCGCACGTCAACTTGGGAAGATCATGATTCGTGATACTGCACATGCATCGCCATCGTCAGCATCGGGAGAGGGGGGGTGAGGTTGCCCCACCCGGCTGGATATGCGTTCCCCAGTCGACACTTTTGCCCCGTGACCTTCATGGCAGGGTGACCCCACTGACACATCGTGCCGTACCCTGGACTCTTAAAGATGGAGCCTGTGCGTCGTCCCTGTTGTTGCAGCGCAGAAATATTCCCGGAAATTTTTCGCAGTGCGGTTTTTTGTTTGTTCTCTCCTGAAGGTGATTTACGTTTTTGCAGTTACGTCAGAACGTGTGCACAGTGGCCTCTGTTGTTGGCTGTGTGTGGTGTTAAAAGGAGAACGGCAACGCAAAAAGAACAGACGGTTTATTCATTGTCAATTTTAAAGGAGGGAGAAAGACTTAACAAAAAAAGACAATTTGTTGCTGCGCTCTGCGTAATAGGATTGTTTATGAGTTTACGTAAACTCATTCAAGAGTGCCCAGGAGGATTGAAGGACATACATTAAAAGTGTACCCTAACTCAATCTCCTCACCTTTTTTTCTAATTTATTCACCCCTATTAATATATGACAAATAGTCATTAATCTTCATCTGCTAATGCCTGGTCTGTCAGTTTGTTGTCTAGAGACCCCATCAGAGAATGCTGATCTATTCTCCAAACTCGCGATACGATGCATCTTGTTTAAACACCCTCAGTCATAAACCAACTTAGAGGGAAACTAGAGAACGACTGAATTTTAAGGAGCAGTTTTTTTTATTGATGTGGATAGAAGGTTTTAAGGAAAAAAACATTCAACACAACAGTCAGTCTTTAAACAAATTACTTGGTGATGCTGCTACTGCTGCATTGGCAGTGGTGCAGAAACATGAACAAGAATAACACTGCCTTAAAAATAAAAATTGTATAATGTGGCATTTCAGGCAATGAGCCTTCATAATAGCATATTTACGTTTTTCGAAACCGTCATTCTCAGCACGTTCCTGAGAAGCACCATTGCCTCAAAAAGTCGCCTGTCATATAATTTTTATCTTTCTTAGGAAATGTTATTGACGCAAGCGAGTTGTTTTTTTCGTATCTCAGCTTGACATTCGTTTGGGGGTGACTTTTTCAATATTTAGTTCTGAAAATCTTTCGATTTCTCCACTTGCACACGGCGTGTATCCATTTCTCCTGATCATTTCATTCCCATTGACATCGAATGATGATGATGATGGTTGTTTCGCGTGCACAGCTGCCTAGCCAGCTGAGAATTGCCCGTGCTGCTGCTACGAAACCCGCGTTGCGATTCTCGGCGTCACGTGTTTATTGACGCCGAGCGTAAAGTTGTAGCCTCCCCTCGTCCACCAGAGCGACCCGGAATGTTGCCGTCGTTACAGATGAGTGCATTTATTTTTGAACCCCATTCTTCGCTCGACACCCATCCGAGGAGCAGACGAGAACCAGTAGGAGAGCAACAGCTGACCTGTGACGACGGATTGTGCGCAGTCGATTAACGCTCGGTCTTGAGTTGAGAGCAAAATCGCTTATTAGTCGTTCGTGACGGCTCGCGAACACGTTTTTACGGTATTTAACAACGCGCGCTTAGGATTTATAACCTCCGTTATGTTTTTTGGGTGAAATTGGTCCACGTTCATGAATTGGTATTCTGCACCCTAACGGAAACGGAAGGTTCTACGTGGAATGAGCGCAAGGTTTTGTATTGAATCATGGACTTTAAACCTCCTTCATGAGGCTGGTTCTGTGTCACATTCAGACAAAGATTTATCTTTTCATGTGAAGCCACTTTGTCAATCCGCTTGCTGAATGAGGGCCTACCCCACGCCATATGGGCCATGGGGGTTTTATTGACCATGCTTCACCATGCTGGTCATTGTAAGTTGGTGAAGAAGGGGAGAATAGATGTTGGGCCATAGAAATACAGCACAGCAATGGAGTTTGCTGCGCTGCCCTCTGCTGCCCATTATAAAGCTTCCTCCCGATGACAACCTGTTTTGTACCTGGTGGATACCTTTCAAAATCCTGAGATCTGATGATGTTGGGCACATTCCAGGTGATTTGGTCAAAGGCACATTCGTTGGTAAAACCTCTCGTAAGAAGTCAAGTATTTTACATTGAATGGCCATGTTAAATCTCTCAACAAAATGGTTCCAAGGGTGTGCATCAGATTAGACAAGGGTTATTGATACATTTGGTTACGGCTTCCGTGTACGACTTGGCTGGTATTTTACAGAATAGTTTCACGCAAACCCTGACCAACCGCAGAACTGTGAACGCCTTATTTTAGTCGCCTTTTCTGGCGAGAAATAATCAACAAATCATTGTGGATCTCGTCAGACCTGGGGCTCGGTTTTTTTTCTGCCCCCTTCGCTGTCACCTGCGAGCCTTTCGAGTGGCGCGAGTCTCGAATTTATGGAAATGCTGCTTTGTTGCGATGTCATTGGCGGAGTTGAGAGGAGGGGCACTACTAACGTCAATCCTTCACTCTGGGGTGCTGACGGTGCAGCACCGCCACTTGTAAATATCAGACTGGTGGTGTTTGGCCAACATTGGCTTGGCCACACCCGACGCGAGGAATTTATCAATATTTAACATTATTTTGAAACCCGTGTAAGGTCACAACTGATGCTGGGGTCTGTGCTAAAGCCTGGGGCTGACTCGTCCTGTTTTTAGAATCGAAAATCCCAGGAGCTGACAGAAACACTTTGGAAGCGTTCAGTCACGTAGCACGGTTGGCAATGGCCCTCACGCAAGGGATGAGATGGGGCTCCCTCTGTACGATTTCTCTCATCTACGTAGCCCAGCGTCTGGCCCCCCAGTGCAGTTTCACCGCCTGCACACTCGAACAGCTATGCCACTGGAAGCACTCGTGCAGCAAAGGTTTTTTTGTTTGTTGGCGGTTGGTTTTAACCGACGAGATGCTTCGTTGAGTGGAATCAGCTCATGAATTGTGTTTAATCTATGCAGTTGCTCCCACAATTGGGTGAATTGTTGCTCTGTAAAGGTTGCCTCCCCTCCCCCCGAGCTGTGGATTTCGGCCAGCCCGGAACATGCCGCGTGGTTTTGACAGTGACTCGTGCTGCCCTCCGCTCTCCATTGTAATAAAGCATCGACTGCGATCCTGTGTTGTGTGTGGCTGCCGCATTGCTGTGAAGTTAAACGCAGTGGAATACGTCGTGTTGTAAATAATGCATATTAAATGCAATAACATCTCCACGGAACCGGAGTGAAGGGTGGTCAAATTACCTCCACCACTGGTCACAGCTTGGGGCAACGTTCATTGGAATAATGGTGCTGGCCTGGGAACGTGTGCTTTCCCAGCCTGCACTGTTATTCGGTTGTGGTAGAGTTTTCTCGTTATTTACAGATTGCATTACTGTTGGCATTCTGCACGTTGGGGCCCCATGAGGTTGGAGAAGTGCCGACTCCACCACATCCGTGGTGCTTGGAGGCAGACTTTGCAGCAGCGAGCATTGGTGACTGCTCGTGAGGCCCCAAGTGAGGACGAAACCGGCCCACGGTCATTGAATCACTGCATCGACTGCTGCTGTGAGTCGGTCTGGACCTAAATTAAACTTTTTTTAAAATCCTTTATATTAAGTTCACTTGCTTGCGCGCTTACGACCATGCAAATCTTTCGGTCGTTTTTTTAACCCACTTCCCGTGATCCAATCGAGCTGACATTTTCCACACAGACTCGTTGTGCGTGACAATTTTCGTGAAAAAATTTTTCCTAAATGTTACACTTTTTAGGAAAAAATAAATTGTATTTAATTACCAATTGCTTAATGGTGGCAGGCAATCATCTGACCCATAGGTGGCAGCCATCTCAAGCCAGAGGACGAGAGGACTCTATCCGCCATGCATATAAAGGATTTATCGTGATAAACTTTGTTTTTACGGGTTAATTTTTTACCAGGTAAGGCCCACTGAGCTGTATTGCTCATTTTCAGAAGCGACCTTGGCCACATGATAGCTCAAAGAAGTGGCTTATCGCGTGGAAATTTATAGCAGCAAAGTAATCTTAACGCGTGTTTCTAAATGTGGAGGGGAAAACCGGATGACCCGGAGAGAAATCCACGCAATCACGGGGAGAGTGAGAGACACGCAAACTCCAAATATATAGCAGGCGTCAGGGTCGGGATCGAACCCACGAGGTTGTGTATACCAGGCGAAGTAGTTAACATCTCGCAACCGTGGCACCCCACATCGCTCACATTTATTTTGATCACGACAAGATGACCACAATCCACTTATTCGTAAATTGATGGTTTTCTGCATATTGGCGAGATGTGAACTACCTCGCCTGGTATGCAGTAGGTCACGAGCTCGATCACGACCAGACGCATGTTGTATATTTGGAGGTTTGCATGTTTCTCTCTCTCCCCGTGGTTGAGTGTTGTGTTTGGCGCCTCTAAATGTCCTACACGACGGTAAGCCACTTCAACGAGCTGTCATTCGTGATAGCCAGGTAGCTTTTGAAAAAAAAATGCTCTCCAGCTCAGTGGGGCCCACATATACCTGTCAACCCCTTATCAGTGCCTAACTTAGTACACACCAATCCAGACCTTATTGGTCACCCCGTGCCCTTATGAATTTCAACGTTCATCCTCCAAAATCCCATCACAAGGGATAAACAGCATTTTTTTGCCAGCACTGAAACGACTACGCCGTATGGACCTGAAAACTCAATTTCCCTGTACAAGAATACGGATAAACTGTGTGGGTTGACAGACATTCCTTGTGGAATAATAATTAAATACATTTGGCGCGTATAAGAATAGCTTTTACCCTTTCTGGCAATAAAACAGTTGTGTTAAGATGTTCAAACGCCAAACAGAAACCTTTTGGCATGGAATCAAGTTATTCCATTAACCACACTTTACTTGTGGTGAACATGCAAACAAAACATGCTTTGGTCATATATGACATTGTCTTTGAAACTGATTGGTCTACACCTGAGACAGCCTTCTTTAGGACCTAGTCTCACGAGCAGTGTTAGACCAGAGAACGACAAAAGTTGAACATAATCAAGACAAAAATTCAAGTTCATTTATTAGGTATAGCCCTGTGAGCCATTCGGCTCTTGAATCGGGTGCAACCGCAACAAACAAAAAACATGAACAAGAAAACATCTTAAAGTGACTGTGCAAACAGAAAATCCAAGAAAAGACAGCAAAATATTGCAGAAAAATCACCGTACACCAACCCTGTGCAAATATCCCAGTGGGATGCAAGTCAAGCAACAACGACAAGACAACTTAGATTAAGGCCATCAGTCTAACTCTGTACTACAACAAACATGGCCAAACCAAAAAACTTTTCGAAAATCACCCAAATAAAGCCATAAAAGCAATGAAACAGTGGTCATTGAAACTGTGACCGAATTTTCACAATAAACGACATGTACTACCAAACTCTGCAGCCATGGGTCTCACACTGCTAGAGAACAATCAGTTTAAAATACAATGCCATATAGAAGGTGCTTAAAAATGCTTTACACGTATATGGGACTATCGTTTTTGATGACAAAAGAACGGATAATACAATGTAACATGATGCCATCATTGTCAACAATGCCTGGAATCTTCTCCAGGTGGTCTCCAGAGCCAGGAGGAGGCAATTTTCTTGTGGCGTTGTTGCAAATTCTCCGAAGTGTTCACATATTTTTGAAGCACCCGATATTTTTGTTGCATGTACGTGTGTGGCCAATGCAGACTTGATTCCTTGCAAAAGGTTTCTGTTTGGTGTATGAACACCTTAACACCTGGGTTACTGCCAGAAATGATAAATTATATTCTTATACTCTTTGGTTCTGTCGGTAAAGTCACGTGGGTATAAAATAAACTAAATGACGACGTTTCGGGCGCAACATAAGCGTCCGTCATCGGGTGGGAAAGCTTTATACCGACGTGACTTTACCGAAAGAACCCAAGAGTATGGATTCCTGCAATCACGAAAGCTTCAAACCTATTCTTATACTTTGATCCTGACAAGAAAGGTCTCAAATTGGCTCCTATTTAAAAAAAAACACATACATCGATTCGATTCCTCCTGAATGGAATCGCCGTGCTGTGAATCGCGATAGGGAATCGAATCGATGGGGATCCCGGATCCTCTTCCCCCGCAAGGTGCCGGGGGTTCAAGTGGTGACGTAAAAGCGTTTGACACTTTACGACACTTTACGACACTCTATAACTCTGCCACTCGGTCGACGGGAGCCCTATAAAGATATCCAACGAGCTCGCCGTGTCCCTATTAAGGTGAGGAAATTGTTTAACAACAAAAAAGCCACTTTAACATTTTTATTAATGTCAAAAGTTGGTCTCGTCGCGGTTAACCGGAGCGGATACTGTACACGCGCACTGTACAATCGTACTGTACACGCGTACTGTACACGCGCACTGTACACGTGCACTGTACACGTGTACTCTGTCACTCCACTGCTGGATGAGTTGGGGGGGGGGGGGGGCAGGCCCCCAACTCGACTTGGCGCGGGGTTGGTGAAGGCGGCGAGTGGCACACCGTGTGAGCATTGGTTAGTGGAGTTCAGAGGTCGTTCTCGGGGTCACCAGCCACGTTGCACGAGCCTATAGCACATTGGTATGCACTCTGCTCGGGTCCAGTCCAGGCGCTGTCCAGGCTCAGGACTGCTGAAGGTTGTGGCCTCGTTTTCTTGGTTCTTTCGGTAAAGTCATCACGTAGAAGGGAAGTAATAAAATAATAAAAATAAAACATAATAAAATAATACAAATAAAACATTATGAAATAATAAAAATAAAACATAATAAAATAATAAAAATAAAACATTAAAATAATAAAATAATAAAAATAAAACATAATAAACTCAAATAATTCTCACGACGTTTCGGCTACAACGCAAGCAGCCGTCTTCAGGTGTAGAATGAGACACTGCCAAGCTAGGAGCTTATATATAAGCTGAGTTGGAGGTGGAAGAAGAAGAGAGACTTAACAAAAGAATGTGCATATCAAGAGGAATTTAGCATATTCATGGCAAATGCGTAGGAGGTGGGCGGGGGGGTTTCAAAGTCATATTATGTGGTGGTGGCCTCGTTGTTGTTGACGGTATCGGCGACAGTTGTGGGTCATTGTGGCGATGCGTTTCGGTTGTGTAAGTTTAATACATTTCTCCTGCAGTCTCTAACACGCATATTAGGGTAACACATTCCTGCTGCGGAGGGAGCTGGTCGGGTTGCTCGGTCAATGGCCAGGGTCAACGGCGGCGTGGTGTATTCCGCAAATATGGTTGACTGAGGGCGGGCACAAGCCGGCGTGAGTAGGTTAGACGTTGAGTTTTATAAGGGCACCACGGGGTGAGCAGCCCCTCCCCACCCAGCCCCCTCCCCACCCAGCCCCTCCCCTCCCACCCCCCACCCAGCCCCACCCCTCCCACTCCCCACCCAGCCCCTCCCCACCCAGCCCCACCCCTCCCCACCCAGCCCCTCCCCACCCATCCCCTCCCCACCCTCTCCACCCAGCCCCACCCCTCCCCACCCAGCCCCACCCCCCCCCACCCAGCCCCTCCCCACCCTCTCCACCCAGCCCCACCCCTCCCCACCCAGCCCCACCCCTCCCCACCCATCCCCTCCCCACCCTCTCCACCCAGCCCCACCCCTCCCCACCCAGCCCCACCCTCCCCACCCTGCCACTCCCCCACCCTCCCCTCTCCACCCAGCCCCACCCCTCCCGTTTTTGGATGCACGACGGACACAATAATCCCCTGTGGGCTGGTGTAACCAGGAGGTTCCTACCAGTATGATGTCTTCGAGGTTATGATCATTCTAAACAAACACAAACTTGTGACTCTTGTTATCTGCAGTGATTCGGTGAGCAAGCGCGTTAATTGTAGAACCAAGACGGGACCTTGTCGATTAAGATTAATCGGGATGTTTTTTTGGGTAAAAGAGAACTTGTATTGTATGGCCTCTTGGCAATTTGGTTGCCAGTGTTCATCATCCTGAGTGTTGAGTAATTGTTAACATTCTACACAACAAAGACTCATTTCCTGGCAGCGATTTCAGCCGCATCACCTCTACATAACAAAAGGCTCAGTTCCTTTTACACGCACCTTTACATCATCCGCACCTAGTTTACACAACAAAGGCTCATTCCTAGCAGCGTGCTTCAGCCGCACCGAACCTCACAAAAATAATATTCAGGGCCTACCTTGGGTCCTCCCACCCTCAACCAGTATATATACAAGGACTGTTTTCTTGGAATTTCTATCACTTGATACAGCAGTCGTGCTGTGACAGTTCCACCTGAAGACGGAGGCTTGTGTTGCCTCCGAAACGTCGTGATTTGTATTTTATTTTAATTTTACTTTTATTAATTTTAATTTTTTACCTACGTGACTTTACCGAAAAAACCTAAGAATATGAATCCTTGCAGTCACGAAAGCTTCAAATCTAGAATTAATTTAATCGATTTATTATCATCGCTGGAGGGTGGCGTAGTGATGTCACGTTTATTACTCACGCAAACAAGAGCCTGGCTTCGATTCCCTACTCGGGAAAGGTTCTGTGTGGAATCCGTCTATTTCACCCCCCCCCCCCCGTGATTAATGGATTTCCTCCGGGCTCTCCCAAAGCTACAAATAAGTAATGTTAAAAATAACTTTTTATTAAATTACCATACTAGTAATGGAAGAACTCCACGACTCCAAGAAGTGGCCCCGAAGCTTGCCATAACGTGATGGACCGTGGTCATTTACAGCCAACGTCAGTTGAGCGTGGACAATTAGACCCAAGCCGAAACACAACTTGTAAAAAAAGAATGTTTCAAAATATATTACTTTTAATGATAGAATATAGTATTGTCATCAGTATGACATAAGTATGCCAAGTTTGCAGTCGATAGCACATTGGGAAGTGGGTAAAAATAGAGTTATATTGTTTTAAGGATACGACAACAGACAGAGTGAGTTAAATAAAAGCGTGTAAATAAAAAAACCCTACTAAGTGACCAGTAATACAAAAAATATATCCTGTACTCTCCTGTTTTTAAATTCCGTATTTACGTGTAGCAACATCGCCCCCTACTGTGAACGTTTGGCAGGACCCCCCTGAGAGCGAGTCTTGAGACCGAGTTGAAGCTTTCCTGGGTAAACAAGCTCATACCTGTCAACCCTCCTCATCAGCTCATACCTTCTTACAGACCAATTCAGACCTGATTGGTCACCCTGTGGCCATATCAACGTTCATCCCTACAAAGTCCCATCACAAGGGAGAAACACAAATAGACACAACAATGTTTGCCCGTATTGAAACGGCTGTTACGCCGTATGGACCTGAAAACTCAATTTGCCTGTACAAGAATACGGGCCAAACCCTATTGGTTGACAACTATTGCTAGCGTAATAAATAAACAAACATCGCCGTCATCTAACTTGGTATAGCCATGAATACACATGTATTTATATATTCATAATTATTAATCATGATCATAACTTATGACCCTTGGGTATTTATGTCCCGGCATTACTCATCATCATCATTTGAAACTTCATCACAGTATTTTATGGTTGGCATCATTGTGGTCAGCCGTACGGTACTGTGTTGAGGCTAACGACGGTCACGTGAGAGCATTGTAATCCTAGCCCACTTAAACTCAGCTCAACACAGGCTGATCCTAACTCCTAACTCTAGTATTTCAAGGGTTGAAAGCGGGGATAATATCGTTGCGAATCCAATTACTTTACACCCGAACTGAAGTATGCTTTAACCCAAAGATTAGTGTTACCCATAACCCAACTCCCACTGAGCTTCAGGGTGTAATATTCTGGCTGACATAACAACCAGCCCACTTGGACTAGCTCTACTACTGACCTTAAGCCACACACAAACCAGAGGTCGCAAACGGGTTTTGATTCCTTACCCGGCCGCACCAGGGTCGCAAACGGGTACCCTACCCATACCCGGCCGGGTACGGTAGGGTACGGGTATCGGGTACCTGATTGTGACCTCTGGGATGAAGCCATGTTGCAGGCGCGGGTGGGTTGATTCTAGGAACTTGAATTGTGAGAAGAGACAAGACGTTGGGAAATGAGTGACAAACAGTTACTCACCAGTGACTCACGGCCTACCCGTTACCCGGCTGCACCAGGGTCGCAAACGGGTACCCGTACCCGGCTGGGTACGGGTAGCCGGGTATCGGGTAGGGTAGGGTACGGGTATCGGGTACCCGGTTGCGACCTCTGACACAAACTCACCATATCCCAAATTCTAACTACCATATACCAATTTCACTTTACTTTTAGACTATCTCTGGCCCCAAATACAAACATAACTTGTTTCCACTGCTCATACTATATTTAATTATATTCTTAACACACTCCAAATCTAATTTCGCTTTAACCCTAATTCCGAACCCTTTCTATAGCCCAGTACTTCCTCTCCAAGAGGTTATTCAGCTTACTATCCCAGTTGGAATGAGAGTTGTTTATCATTTTGAACCAACACAAAACACCCACCTCTCCACCCCCAGAGGCAGCTGTGGTTGTAATAATAGAAAATAGTGCTGAATAAAACATACGCCACAGACAAGGAGAGGGACCCCATGCTGTTATTGTTTCATATTAATAATTCACAACCTTTTGTAGCTCCACTGCTGGATGAAGGCTTCCTCCCCGTTGCCTTGTTGGTCGGCGGGAGTTGTTTGGCCATGCACGCTGCTCAGTGCGGGTTGGTGAAAGGGTGACCCAGGACCCGGCTAAGATGTCACTCGCCACCGATGTTAGACGTGGCCAGAAGTCGACCTCGGCTTGCCGAATTCACGGTGTGGTGCGCCAACTCCTACGCCACCACTTCAACTCCCCCGGAGGGGGGGGGGGGGACCTGTGACGGAGAAACGATTTGTGGAAAATGAGACATTACTAGCCCTCCTAAAAACAATAGGAACAGGGCAATTCCGAGTGAAGTGAATCGAGTTGGGTTTCTCTTTTTAACGAGATAGCGATGTGCGATGCGGGTGAGGTCAACTTTGGCTCTCGCCTCTTGTTGTCCGCATGATGGATGGCGAGAGCTCCCTTTTGTCTTCTTGGCGAACAGTTTGTGCCGTTGGTCAACAGCGGATTAAAAATCTAATAGCCAAAAATAGTGTTCCGCTAATATGAATCCAGTGCGGAAGAGCTGGTATCTTACTCACGCCTCAAAACGTCCCCCGATGCCTGTTTTTGTTATATATAGTTAACGTTTTATTTATCCATAAATATACTCTCACCATAGGAATGTGGAATTTATACCACTCGCTCAGGACTGTCAACAGGAAATCCACCAGTGCTAAATTCACTGGGAAACCACTTCGAGCAGGATTCGAATTTTGTTGAAAGGACCCTGGCCACTTTACTTGTCCATGTTGCCAACATGTTTACAAAAAGGGACATTTTCCATGGCACTCACTGATTGTGCCATTTCACTCGAAGTACGTTTACTTATTTTATGCATCGAATGTTAGTTTTTGTCTCGTGCTTTGAGCAATGAAACAATGTTCTTTATTTTATTCTGGACAATTCCTCTCCAAGTTTTCATATTTAATCTTAATTGCAATGTGATGTTATGAGGGTACAAGGTTGAACTTCTAATTCACTTCAGGAATCCGCAGGGACCAGATGTGATCGTCTTGTCTGGTATATGAGCAGCAGATGCTGTTTTCAATGAATATTCTACTCTAAATCAAAAACACATCAAAGCGTCCACATCATATAATAAGTAACACGTGTTATCCTTTTGAGCCACTAATGGGGCTCAATGCATCTTTAAAACAATGACCACCGCTGACTTTATACCAGAGGTCGCAACCGGGTACCCGATACCCGTACCCTACCCGATACCCGGCTACCCGTACCCGACTGGGTACGGGTACCCGTTTGCGACCCTGGTGCGGCCGGGTACGGGTACGGGTAAGGAATCAAAATCCGTTTGCGACCTCTGCTTTATACTAAGTAGCTTCACCAGTGCCAACCTTTTCCAGACCAATTCAGACCTTATTGGTCACCCCGTGCTCATATAAATCTCAACGTTCATCATAAAAAGTCCCATCACAAGGGAGAAACACAAACAAATAGACATTTTTTTTGGCCATATTGAAACAGCTGTATGCCGTATGGACCTAAAAACTCAATTTCCTTGTCCAAGAATACGGTTAATCCGTAGGGGTTGACAGGTATGAGCTGATACTGATTATACCACTCCCGAGGGATAATGATGATGATAGGGCTGAGTCATCCTTGGCTATTACTCTATTGGACAAGATAACATGTTTCTTGAAAAGGTGAGCTAAGTCTTACCCTATGAGACCTCCTTTACCAGTGGCAAAATATAGTAATAGGGTTTTACCCTTTCAACTGGTACAAAAACTGACACCTTTATACAAGGGATCATGTTTGCAATAACCACAACACAAGCAGTCAAATCCAAACAAAATAAACAACTCTGATAATGATAATGATATGCACTGTCCTTGCAAACATGATCCCTTGTATAAAGGTGTCAGTTTTTGTACCAGTTGAAAGGATTAAAACCTAATACTATATTTTGCCACTGGTAAAGGAGGTCTCATAGTGTAAATGCTTACCCCGAGCTGTCAATACTCTGATAGTGCGCTGTCTTTGAGTTGTGCGCCTTTTGGCGTGATCTGGTCCAACACCAATGGAGACTAGGCTCTAAGAAAAGCTGTCTCGGGTGTGGACCAATCAACTTCAAGGACAGTGCATATCATTATCAGAGTTGTTTATTTTTGTTTGCATTTTGACTGCTTGTGTTGTGGTTATTGCAAACATGATCCCTTGTATAAAGGTGTCAGTTTTTGTACCAGTTGAAAGGGTAAAAACCTATTACTATAATTCTTACCCATTGTCTAGATTTTCACATTCCTAATAACACTGTCCAGGCTCAAACCACATTGGCTTTTGAGATCTGATGAGATCAGATGCATTTCAGGTAAGTTATTCATTGGATTGGCAACCACCATGCATATAACAGGGTTTCATCTTCTTGGTTCTTTCGGTAAAGTCACGTAGAAGGGAAGTAATAAAATAATACAAATAAAACATAATAAAATGATTCTCACGACGTTTCGGCCACAACGCAAGCAGCCGTCCTCAGGTGAAGACCAGGTCTGTCGGGGAGACAGCCGAAACTTCGTGAGAATTATTTTATTATGTTTTATTTTTATTATTTTATTACTTCCTTCTACGTGACTTTACGGAAAGAACCAAGAAGATGAATCCCTGCAGTCACGAAAGCTTTAAATCGAAATATAACAGGGTTTTTCAGGCTGCTGCAAGGCGACGATTGTCAGCAGAGAGAGCAGTGCAGCAACATCCATCGTTCCGTACGATGCTCTCACGTCTATGTCCCTCACCTTCACAAAACCCACGCTATCATCCAACTAATGCTACATTTTGATTGTACACGCAGAAATGAGGGGGGTAGCGATGGCATAGCGGTTAGCGCGAAGCGCTGTGAACCCCAGTGACTTGAGATCCATTTGCCACTCAACTTCAACCCGAACTGACCAGCATGAGAAAGTATGGTCAAACAATCCTCCTCGACCCTGACGCAGTGAAGGGGGAGGGCTTCATCTAGCTTGGATTGACAGAGGGATGTAAGTTGTATTATATATAGAAAACTTAAGGTCACCACTCTGGGAAGTTGAATCGCTTTTGTTTGGCCAACACAATACATCCTGTATTATTCATTCTCTTCACTTAAGAGGCCCTTTGTACGTCTCCTATTCACAGGGCATGGCCATTAATGTTTAAATATGTGCCCAGAATCCCAAATAATGCGGGGCTCGTTTATCGTGACCACGTCTGGCCATGAGGTTCTGCCACCATTGCTCTGACACGTATCCCCAACTTTGTAAGTATGTTCAGCGTACATCTGTGTGTTTGTGGAATGGTAGCATAGTGGTTTGCGTACTGCGCTATGAACCAGGCAGCCCGAGTTTGATTCCTGGCCATGGCCAGCTTCAGTAGGTCTTTCTGAAAAAGAGCAATATTGCTCAGTGGGTATTACCTGGTCAAATGTTTTAGTTTAGCTTAGTTGACTTAACCGAAAAAACCTAAGAATATGAATATGAATCTTTGCAGTCACGAAAGCTTCAAATCTAGAATTTAGCTTAGTTGTGATTATTTGAACTGCTCCTGGACCTCTCATTGGTCAGCTCGGCCTTAAATGAGTTCCAGATGCACTGTGTAAACATCACCACTGGGGAGACATAGGTGCCAGGGTGTGGTGAGTTACCCCACCAGCCCCATCTGTACCGTGCCGGCGTGGATAAGTTGCTCACGATCAGCGCAAGCACTTACGTAGGCTGTAAGCTGAATCTTTGTGTGCGTGTGTGTGTGTAGAGCTTGCGCAAGTTGACGTGACTCTACCGCGCAACCCTCACCAGTCAACGTCTGCAAGGGGACGTTCTTTTCTGGTGAAGCCACAGGTCCGTGTGATGCACGTTGTGCGAGTGAGTGTTTTTCATGCGTCTGGCGCGGGGTGCTATTTTTAGAAAACTCCGCGCATAGCTGGCGGCACCCGGAGCTTGCCCACGCCTCGCAGCTGACGTCGCGGCCTCGTACATAACGGACGGCTCTCGCTCGCGTTTGGCAGAGGCGGTGGACATCCCGAGCAGAGTTGCCACCACAGCGCTCCCGGCGCAAGCGACTTGGAAACTTGTGACAGCTCCCCCCGCGAGCGAGGCGACAGGAGTCTGATCGAGCTTGGATTCCCGTAAGTTTTGGAGAGGGGAGTGTCATCTAACTCTTGCGACGTCCGTCTGTGACCTTTTGGAGCCTTTTGTCGTTTGTTACACAAGGATGCAGTGTCCGTGTGTTTGCGTTGTGCGACAGTGGTGCGTGACGCCGTTGTTCAACCTGTTCCTTCGCGCTAGGTGCACGGAAATCTGAATGGGAGTCTGCGTTTGTGTTTTCAGGGAGGGTTCGTAAAGCAAAGTGCGGGTTTTGGTGGACGGTTTTGGTCCGTCGCTTTACTTTATTTGTTTTGGCTCTCTTCATTTTGGTGACCGAGGTCACGCTCGCAAATGAGACTCTCCTGGCCCTCTTGAGTTCTCACCTGGTTCAGCAAAAATCAACTTAAACACGAATTTTTCGATTTAAAGCTTTCGTGACTGCAGGCATTCATCTTATTTGTTCTTACGGTAAAGTCACGTAGAAGGGAAATAATAAAATAATAAAAATAAAACATTGTATTTTATTACGTTGTATTTTTATTATTTTATTATTTCCCTTCTACGTGACTTTACCGAAAGAACCAAGAAGATTAAACACGAATGTTCTTTTAACTCGAGTGACACGGTGATTTCACCGCACCTGAAACACTTGTGCTCTCAGACTTTTATTATCTTTGGCGATGAAGATGAATTCAAAAGATGTGTACCCACGCGGTGGTACGCGGTGGTACACGCCGGTGTTGGAGAGGCAAAGAGATTCCACGCGTGCTTTTGTTGTTTATAAATACGACTTGGGAGTGATTTACGAAGAAAGTTAATTTAAACGAAACCTCTTGCCAGTTCTACTTTCGTGTCGGTGAATAGCCCTGCTGTTACTTACCAAGGTGACGCACGTTGCGCTGGAAAACTCCTGGAAACTAAAAGCGGTGGACATACTTGATTCACATAGTGTGCGTGCGTTTCCTTTGTAAGCGGATGTTATTTTAAACCATTGTGAAAGTATCCTTACTGGCTAGAAACCAAGTCACTCAGTCTGTTGTCTACAGATCCCTATCCGTATGAATCTTTTCGAAGTGAATAATTTAACTTAATGTTATATCATACTATTTAGGTGTGTTATTATATTTCGGTTCGATATGTAAAGCTGTCCTCATGCTCAACTGGTTTGTTGCTGAGTGCTCAACTGCATGGCTTCTCTTGAGAAAACAACGGAACATTTCCTCGTCACTGTAGTGGGCAGTCTTAATACGACACCCACCATTGTTGACCTTTCGTAAAGTGGTTCTAATTTTATCCCTGCTGGAAGGGATAACAATGAAGGGCCGAGATGACCACTGACCTGGAGTTGAACTTTCAACCGTTTGAGTCCAGCGCCCTAAAGACATCAACGCCTGGCTGGTTTTATACTACTAAATGTACGCAAGTGATTTTGGATATTTCACTTAATTTACATAATTCTGTTTAGTATTTGTTGAACTTGTGTTCCTTAGCACCATGTCACGAGATGGATGCGTTTCCGTTTGTAATGTTCCTTCCTCGGTTTGGCAGAGTCAAACCCAGGGTCACCTTGGGAGATGAGACTATCCCGGTCTCTTGACTTTTCACCTGGTCGAACAAAATCAACCAGAACTTGACAATTTTTAACTTATTTAAATCTTGGTTGAAGTGGCCGTTGTTGCATTAAAGGCCACATGCCGGATTCTATGCATGTTAAACTTCTATCGCACCGTACTTAGCCAACCGCGCTAATCAGAGGTGCGGGGGACGGACAACAAACCAAACACAAATTATCGGACACGTCCTTTAAACGTTTGCTTTGCAGAGGTTCGTCTTGTATCCCGGAGAATACGGTACATCTTGTTCAACCACCGCCCCCCATGTGTGACGCCCGCGACTCCTGTGCATCTCTGTAGACGCCCGTCGCTCCGGTGTGAAGCGCGTCAAGATGGAGGAGGACGAGATCCGGGCGGGCGACTTCGTCATCATCGGCAGCGACGACGACGAGACTCTGTGCCAGCAAGACACAACGTACGCGGGCGCCCTGCTGGCTGGGCTGGCCGAGCTGCGTGCGCAGGGCAAGCTGTGCGACGTGGCGCTGTCCGCCGACGGGCTGACCTACCCGTGCCACCGTGCCGTCCTCGCCGCCGCCAGCCCCTACTTCCGCGCCATGTTCGCGGGGGGGCCGCTGCGCGAGAGCCGCGAGCAGACCGTGCAGCTCCAGGAGGTGAGATGACCGACGCCCCCCAACGCCACCGATCCCCTCCAGCGCTGAGTGCCGTCGCGTAGAGACGTCGCCGCCGACGCGATCGGTCGGATGGTTTTGCCGTTCGATTGTTCGCTAGGCGTTTGACAATGCCCATGGCGCGTGAATCGGTTCGTGCGCAGCGCACGTGTTTATGGTTCGTGAATGTGGAATCATGTGACCCTCCCCCCACCTACAGCTACAAAGAGGGGCGAAATCCAACACGCCCTGCCGTAGGAAAATAAGTATAAGGTTGTGCACGTATTAGTTTCCATAAATGCCACGGCATCTCGATGCGACTTGATAAAAACATGGGAGAGGCGAAGGCAGAATAAAAAAAATAAAAAAGACGAAAAAAGTAAGAAAATGTTTGTCACGTGGCAGTCAGACCACGTTTTTAATTCTCAAAGCTGGAATTTAGCCAAAGTAAGTAAAATAAAAATGCATGTAACAGGTTTATTTTTGTGTGCACTCGATTGTGAAGGAGCCGACACCATCAACCCGTTACGCTTAAGAACCCCGATTAATTACGGGAGACTGCTTGAATCCCATCGCAGGATCTTAGTTTCTCCGACCCGTGAGCCACTCCGCGACACCCACCCACTTGTGTGTGCGCGAGTTGTGCGTGTGTGAACTCACAACGCCCCCTGTGTGGGTGCTTGCGACCAGGTGAGCGCCAGGTCGCTGAGCCTGCTGCTGGACTTTGCGTACACGGGGCGCGTGTGCGTCACGGGAGACAACGCCGAGCCCCTGCTGAGGGCTGCCGACCTCCTGCAGTTCCCGGCCGTCAAGGAGGCGTGCTGCCGCTACCTGGCCCGGCACCTCGACCCCGCCAACTGCCTGGACATGCAGGTGGCGACGCCTGGCAATCTCGATGTAGCGGCGCGACGATGCAGCGATTTCGCCGATTGAATTATAATCGATCGCTGTAGCTCAGGAGCGTGCGTTGAATAGCTACAGTTTCCATTTCGAGTGTGTCGTTGGTTTAGTTTTGTTTTTATATCCTTCTCTTATCCTTCCCTTTTCTGCGATGCCTCCTCTTCCACCTTCTCTTCCTCCTAAACCTCCTGCCGCCCCTCCTCCTCCTGCTGCTGCTCCTCCATCTCCTCCATCAACCCCTTTTCATCGCGCTCTCTCATCCTGCTCCGCCTTTTGTCTGCATCTCACCACCCCCCCCGTCCAACTCCTCTTCCTTCACCTCCTTGCACCCCATCTTCCTCCTCCTCCTCCTGCACTCCCTCCTCCTGCTGCCCGTTGGGGCCCACGCGCCCCCCCCCCTCACCCCGGCAGGCGTTTGCGGAGGCGTTTGCGTGCCCCTCGCTGGTGGAGGACGCGCGCGTCTTCGCGCTGGGACACATCGCCGAGATCGGCGCCAGCGAGGACTTTGAGCGGCTGCCCGCCAAGCGCCTGTCGGAGCTCCTGGGAGACGACCGCCTCTCCGTTGACAAGGAGGAGGCGGCCTACCAGCTGGCGCTGCGCTGGGTGCACGCCGACCCACAGGTGCCGCCCCCAGCACCCCCTGGCTGGGCACGGGAAGCAGCCCACCTCTTTAGGAACGGATTATCGTAGGGAGGCCCTCATCCTTCACTGGATTGACCGAACGGCTGTACGTTTACGAACTGTACCTCTGAGGGCATGGCGCAGATCGCAATACGCCTTGATGCTGCCGTGCTTGCCTGAGTAGACGCTCATGAAAACTGTACCACTTGCACCTACAGTCTGCAGCTGCTAGGCGGACGATCCTCATCTTTACACCGGCGTTTGTGCGTGAGTGCGCGTTTGTGTGAGAGCAGAGCGGTAGTGCAATGCTTGGAGTGCTGCACTACGTACCCGGCTACCCGAGTTCGATTCTCGCTCACGGCCAACACCAGTCACGATTATCTAAACTGGTCCTGGGCCTCCCCTAGGGCGACTAGGGAGACAAAGGCGGCCGGGCGTGGTGCGGGCCCTCCCACCCCCTCGTGTCCTGTGCCTATCTTCATAGGTGCTTGCTAACACCACTTGCCCCGACAGTCTATTAAGGCTACACGGTGTCTCTTTGTCTTTCCTTGTGCGAGCAGAACCGCCAGCGGTTCTGGCCCGAGCTGTTTGAGCGCGTGCGTCTCCCGTTTGTGCGACGCTTCTTCCTGCTGGCGCACGTCGAGAGCGAGCCGCTGGTGCACCGCTCCCCGCGCTGCCTGCGCCTGCTGCGCGAGGCTCGCGTCCTCCAGGGCGCCCTGCAGGTAACGGGCGCCCGGTGTGTGTGCGATGGGATTTCTTGCAGCAGGTCCGATGGTCTCGGCCAGGCTCGCGCATGACTTGCACGAAATAAGACGCTGCGTTTGGGTTTTTGCTTTGGCAAAACTGCCAGCCTTGGGAGTTAACAGGTAAATGTTTGATTTGACTCGCATGTGTACGGCACAGTGGGCTGAGATCATTGCATCTCTGGCCTGGATAAGAGGTTTCTTTAAGGGATCTCAGAAGTAGTTCTGTGATATCTCCTTTCGAACACGCGGTGCGACACGTGGCTAGGCGAGAGATCCGAGCGGACGTTCGGTCTCGTCGCACGACTAAGCCAAAGGCAGGAGGTGGAATTAAACTTGGGGAGAACGACCGAACGTGACGAGCCCCCCCCTCCTCCGCCTTGCCCGCCTCAGGACCGGCACGACCGCCTGTGCCCGCTGCGCTTCCACCCGCGCCCGTCGACGGGCCTCGCCGAGATCCTGGTGGCGGTCGGCGGCTGCGACCAGGACTGCGAGGAGCTAGTGTCGGTCGACTGCCACAACCCCGTGACGGGACAGTGGCGCTACCTGGCAGCCCTGCCCGAGCGCGTGGGAGGCGGGTACAGCATCGCAGCTCTGGGCAATGACATCTACGTTACAGGTGGGGGGGGGGGGGGGGGGGCGCGCTTGCGTCATCGTCGTCATCATCGTCATCATCGTCATCATCGTCGTCATCATCGTCATCATCGTCATCATCGTCATCATTGTCATCATCGTCATCATCGTCATCGTCGTCATCGTCGTCATCATCGTCATCATTGTCAGACGCTCCATGGGCATACTCTTTGGTTCTTTCGGTAAAGTCACGTAGGTATAACTTCAGGAATTGTTTCTTGCTGTGGTTGTCCCAGCTGATGACGGACGCTTGTGTTGCGTCCCGAAACGTGGTGGTTTAATTTATTTTATACCTACGTGACTTTACTGAAAGAACCAAAGAGTATTAGCTCCATGGGCAGATAAGCCGTAGGTGCCCACTGCACATTTCGTCTTCTGCTGTCACTTTCCTCTGTCTTGTGCCAATATGCTCAAGTAGTGCCACATCTTTTCTGGCACCGATCTCTTCTGTCGTTGTCAAGCTATTCTCTGTGAGGTCTTCCCCTCTTTCTGGTTCCTTCAATTTTTCCAAACGACGCACTTTTAATTTTCCTTATGTCCATCCTACAGACGCATGATGACCATAAATCTAGTCTCGGCCACCTGTGAGTCCATCTGTCGCAGTGCTTACAGTTTTCATTTTATATTGAGGTGTAAGGATCTTTGATGTAGGTAAAATCAAGTGGTTTGTATTGGGTTTTAGGCAAAAGTAAACTCAACCCATTCCTGTAATTTATTTCAATTGAAAGCTACGGATGGTTTTGTACAAGCAAATGGTTTTGATGCAGTCATTGAATTCATTTGATAATTGCCCCTTCCATCAACTTCTCTCATCCACCCAACCCGCTCGGCTATCCTCTCACCCAATTCCTGCTTGCCTGCCCACTCCCCCAACCCACCACGCGCCACCACCAGGTGGCTCCGACGGCACCACCGTCTTCTCGAGCGTGTGGCGCTACAACTCGGGCGTCAACGAGTGGTCGGAGGCGCCGGAGATGAGCCGCGCGCGCGAGTACCACGCCAGCGCCGCGCTCGCCGGCTGCCTCTACGTGGTGGCGCCCGACGGCTGCGAGTGCTTCGACCCGGCGGAGGGCCTCTGGCGCCCGATGCGCGCGCTCCCCCAGCCGCTGGAGAACGTGTCGGCCACCGCGTGCCGCGGGCGCGTCTACGCCGTGGGCTCGCCGCGGCTGGCCGGCGGCGGCTTGGGCTGGGGCGCCGGCGGCGTCATCACCGACGTGGTGGTGCACTGCTACGAGCCCGACGCCGACTCGTGGAGCGAGATCGAATGCGCCGACGGCATGCCCGGCTGGTCGTACGTGCTGGACGTGGTGGCGCTGGACGGGATCATTTACTTCATCAGGTGGGCGGCACGGTGGCGCAGTGCGCGCGCTTGTTCACCCGCCCCCTCCCCGACATTACCCGGAGCAAGAAGGGGTTTCATTCCTGACTCGGATGCACTTTGTTTGTGGAGATTTGTATTCTTCCCCTGTATTAGCATTATTGTTATTACTGTTGAGCATCGATTATCCGGCACCGCGCTATTATCTGGCTTCCAACTTTATCCGGCGGTCCCCGGCCGATCTGGCGAAACTGACAAAAACGCTCCAAAGGCTGTAACCAGTCCGGCTATCGGCCGGCACCACGTGCTTGACAAAAGAAATAGCTGTGCTTGATTTCAGTGTTGAATATTTTTACAGTACATTATACACCACGTACAACTTAATGAAACTACTGCGCGTATATACATCACCCCATACAGTATTCCATATTGGAGTGGTAAGTACAGTACAATAAATACAGTAACTTTTAAAAGTTGGATGTTTATGTATGCCAATTGAACATATGAAACTAATTTGAAACACTAAAAACAACGTCGTACAATAATTTTCAAAAATAAGCTATTTTAAATAATTTATTCGTGATTGTCCCGTGTTTATAAAAACCCGGCACCCCCCCCCCCCCTAAAGCCACTGGATCATCGATTATTTCCTGTACTTGTTTACCCTGGAAAGCCACACTGATTCTAAGGACTCGTTTTCAGGAGGGTCCCACATTATACGTTTTTTTATATTAAAATGTTTTCAGACGATCAATGAGTGTCAGTGCGCGTGGGAGGAATCCGAAACACCCGGAGAAAACCCCACGCAGGCAAGGGGGGCAACACTCCAATCAGTGAATCACTCGCTCTATCCCGTACAGAATGGACGGATAATATTAGTTCCGCACTTTGCTGTACCGCCAGAGGTCGCAACCGGGTACCCGATACCCGTACCCTACCCGATACCCGGCTACCCGTACCCGGCCGGGTACGGGTACCGGTAGCCATTTGCGACCCTGGTGCGGCAGGGTACGGGTACGGGTAGATCGTGAGTCACTGGTGAGTAGCCGTTTGTCACTCATTTCGGGTAGGGTACGGGTACGGGTAGGGAACGGCTACCCGTACCCGGCCGGGTATGGGTACGGGTACCCATTTGCGACCCTGGTGCAGCCGGGTACGGGTACGGGTAAGGAATCAAAACCCGTTTGCGACCTCTGTGTACCGCCTTCTTCCTGGCAAGCCAGGGTAACGGGCACCTCGCCACCCACCAGGAAGGGAGTTGCGCAACAGCCGTGCAATTCGCCAACCCTCGCCTCGACAGTGCTGGATTACAGGAGTGCGTAGCCACACACCGCCCGGCTGTTGTGCGTAGGTTTCCTCCCGGTTCTCTGGTTTCGTTCCATAGCTAAAAAAAAACACACACACAATGTCACTGGTATTGGGCCTAACATCCCAACGCTGAATAATATCTCGTAAGTGACTCAATTGGGATCACATTTTGACGAGTATGTACATGTACGGCCCTTCTTTTCAGTCCACTGCCCACACCGCACTGGTCATAGTGGATTATTTGACAATACGTCTCCATGCTGCTCACTGTGGGTTTCTGTGTTTGTGCCGGGAGGGGTGGGGGGTGATCGAGGACTGCTTTCGATATCACCTGCCGCTCGTGCTAGTCGTGGCCGAGAGAAACAAACGCTTGTTTCCAGATTCTTAGCATAGTGCGCTACCTTCTGCATCGCCACTGCACCGTCCATACACACGCGTGCGCACGCACGCACAAGGAAATGTTAAATCATTGCTAGAAGCATCGTTAAAAGAGCACCTGTTGTTGTCCCGTACGTATGAGAGCGTAAACAAGCCTTTCACGTCCTTGACCTATTTATGTTGTTTTCGTGAATAACGCATCACATGCCACCGTTGAGAAATTAGAAATGTCGCTGCGAGTGCTCGTGGAATGTGGCAGAATGACACAGTACCCGGACGAACCCAGAGACCGGCGCGACAAAAATAATGTCCCGTGCCAAAGCCGAGCTCGCTTTACACGCAGCATTATTTACCACTCGTTGTAACGACTCTGAATTTATTTAAAACCCCCCCTCGTGCACCCTCGCCCTCGCCCCCGTCCCGTGACCTGTTCTTCCCAACTTGTGCCGCTCGTCTCCTGCCCGACTCGGCCGCGTCAACGGTCGGAACATTTTCTCGAAAAAGAACGCTCGTGAAATGTCCGACGTAAATATTTAGGTTGCGTCGTTTTCGCTCGCAAGTACAGTACGTTCACGGAGTGTTTCTTTTAGCTGCGACGTGAATGTTTTGCAATAACCAGAGATCGGCTTTGAGTTGAGCAACACAGAGAGAGCACGTGTTACATCCTTGTAAAGCGATGCGCGAAGAATGTCCTGGCAAGTGCGTAGGGCGCCGACGTTTGGCAGGTGTTTGGCTAAGTCTGTGGCGCGTTTCGTCGGGGTGTAAAATTGTGCCCGTCACGCCGTCGGTGCGATGTTAATTTATGGGGGAGATTCATTTCACCGATAGTGTTGGCCATAGTTTAATTTATTTTATATTTTTATTTCTCGATGCCCTTTGCGGAATGCTGGGCTGCGGTCAAACAGCGCAGCATTTAGAGACGCCAAAATCCTGCCGGGACACAGAGGCAGCTTCACAGCCAAAACAGCCTTTGACTCTCCTCACCAAATGTAACACTCTCTGTAAACGGTGAGAATCTCACGGGACAGAAAATCACGTTGCAGGCTGGAAACAATTTATGAGTAATGTGGATTTCCAGACGGCAAAAGGCAAGATTGTGACCGTAGGATTCGTTCCCCCATCATTTGTTTATTATCACGAGCCATCACCATACTGTATGTGTGTGCGTATAATGCACATGGCCTTGTATGAGACTGCCACCTCAAGAGTTTACATTGTATCCAGATTATTTTAGACGGCAGTAGGACAATGAGACAATATGTATGGTACTCTTGTTGACTTTTGTTGTGTTTTTGCAACTTTATTCCCGGTGTGCTATCGGCATTGTGTCATAAGGTGTAGTGTCCAATCACAAATGTCGCAGCACAGTGCATCCACGCACGGACATGAGATTTCACAAATATGTGTTTGAAATCCCGGCCAGTGACTTTTTTAGTGCACATGCTCACGATGTGGGCCTGTGTCTTTGTTCTGTCTGTGTCCTTTAGGGAGGACTCTACGCAGGTGGATGCTCTGGATCCCATAAAATCGAGGTGGATCAGGATTCCTCCCATGAACCAGGTGATATGGCCTCGGGTTAATCACCTGCGTCATCATCGTCTTCATCCACAGTCGTATCGCCGTCATTGTAATTGCCATCATCAGTAGCAGCAATAGCACCATCATTATCGTCTACATCAACAGCTTCAGTATTGTCTTTACCACCACCATCATGATCATCACCACCAACATCAGCAGCAGCATAGTTGTCGGCATCAACAGCTTCAGTATTATCATAACACCCCCACCATCATCATCACAACCATCATCATGAATTCATCAACTATTATCATAATTTGTCATCATCATCTTAACGCAAAAACCGATGCTCTGGCGTCGCAGGTGCACGTCGGCGGCAGCGTGGCCCCGCTGGGCGGCCGCCTGTACGTTTCGGGCGGCTACGACGACTCGTTCGAGCTGTCCGACATGGTGGAGTGCTACGACCCGGCCGCGGGACGCTGGGAGGTCGTCGGCCGCCTGCCGCAGCCCACGTTCTGGCACGGCAGCGTCAGCATCTTCCGGCAGTTCATGCCGCCCGGCGCAACCACCGCCGTGACGACGACGGGGGGCGCCCAGCAGCATCCGCTGCCGCAACTGCACGCGCGGCACGCTCGCCACGCCAACAACCACAACCACAACAACAACAACAACAACCACCAGCATCGGCAGCACATGGACGTTCTGCTCGACGAACACATGGTCCACTGATTGTGAAAAGTCGCGTGGAAATACCGGCTGCCCACCCCCCCCCTTCCCCTACCGTGAAAGTCTCGAGTTTTAAAAGGGCTCGATTTCACGCTGGACCAGCAATTCAGAAGTGGCTGGTTTCGATTTGATCTGGCTCGGCAGATGAAACAACGGAGCAGGTTTCTTAAATCCTCCCGCCTCTGCCTATCCCTGCAATGTAAATAGGTGCAGCACAGTAAGTCGATCAGTTGGTTGCGTGTGGTGGGGTAAAGTGTGAGTATTCCCACTTCTACCAGGGCATCTGGCCAGAGTGGAAGAATATACCACAATACCCTAAGGAGGGGCTCCCTTTAGCTACCTCTCATGGATGCCTTTTTTGCTAGCATCAGCAACATGAGCGAGCAATGGCAGGGCTGCACTTTTACCTTTGCATTTTTACTTCTCTGCCAGGACAGATCTTGCCGATTGCTGCCAGAAATGGCCGAAATAAGTGAAATGCCCCTATGGGCACGTTCCGAATTGCACCAAAAGTGTTTTATCTTTTCAAACTCTATTCCTTCGGTTTGGTGTTACCTAGTTGGGCGGGTCACTTATAGCGTTGGGCGATAAAAAAAAAAGATTTTGGAACGCCCCTTGGCAGAGACTCCCATTGTCATGTTGGGAAACTGTCCTGGAAGTTGACACCGCAGAACTAGTAGTGAGGTCACTTTCAATCGGCCTGTCTTTGCCTAATCCGAGACGGCTATTTAATATCTATAACGTTCAGCCCTCACACATGGGATGAGGCTGAATGAAGCAATAAGCTAAGTTTATACAGCTTGAATGGTTTATATATATGAGCACGTGGTTTATAATATTTGGTGGCCACGCATACTACATCAGTATTTTATATCAACAGGTCAAGGGAACTGTCGAGTGGTTATTTTGCGTATTAGAAACTTTTTAGAGTTGCAACCTATTTATTAGACTCTTCTCTTTACCCTCCCCCCAACTAACGATGCCTCCTTGCGTTGAGCGAAAAGCAACGCTCGCATAGCCGTGGGTTACCTCGTGTAACCCTCGCTTGTTTCACCATTCGTGCTGTGTTTACGATCGGTCGGGTTTGTTGGCAGTGATGCAGAACTGAAATCCTCTTTTATCATGAACACTGTCTTTATAACGTTTAAAATATATATACAGGCTAACGCAGTGTTAATAACAGAGGTGGTGAATGTTGTATGTGTACAGTGTATCTTCAAAATGCTGGGCTACTGCAGGGGTGGAGTGCCCTAGAATCTCCGTGTTTCTCACCAAAACGCCGTTATTTCCATGAAGACCAGATTTTAACCCATTTTCAGTTCATATTGTTGTTAATCTTGCCTCTAAGGAAATAGCAATATTAAAGAAAGGTAAAAAAAAAACATAATTGAAACCACCGCAAATCACAAGACAATCCTGGCGCCGCATGGCGCATTCTGCGTTGCGTAGAGTTGCAGCTAAAAAGGTGTCCGCGCTGCTGAGACCGGCGTTCCAAATTTTCGAGCTTCGAGAGTCGAGATTTTAACTTATTTTTACGAATTCGAATTTTTGTATAGACCCTTGGCAGTGTCCTCGTTTGTAAACACAAACATCACGGTATATATCCGCCCTTGTTGCTGCGATGGGGGACAACTGTAAATCCGGCGGTTGTGGAGATTGGGATTTTTTGGATCGCGAAGACAGAAGCAAGTTTCTGAATCACTGGTTTGAGTAACCAGGCTGGATGATGTGGTGTGTGTTGGCGTGCATCCCTGCTGGGCAGGGAGGGAGGTCGTGGTGGTGACTGCATGAGCCAGTCCAAGTAGCAGGTTTGTGTTGTTCGTGTGTGTTGGTTTTCTCAGGCATTCCGGACCCCCTCCTGTATAAAGCGTTTTTTTCTTATATATATGTACATATATATAATTATAAAACGCTCAAAAAGGAGGAATTTGCTGAATGTCCACGGATGGATTTTCCTTGACGAATACATTTTTGTTCGTCCTAATTTTTTTATGGTCGCGAATCGACGCTTGAATCCGAGCTGTGTGTGTGTGGCATCGGCACGCACCGGCATGTTTGGCGATCTGAGTTGTGGGTGGTGGGGGGCGGGGTGAGAATGTTTTAAAAGGGAAAGTTAAGAAGCATTTTTAAGCTTATGTGATGGATCGTTGTTACAGGAATAGATTGAGCACTGATTGTGGTATCCACTGAAAGTTTGCGTTCAATGGAGCTTTTACTTTGACGAGTTTTAATAGGGTAGATCTAACTTAAATCATGATGGCAATAGTTTTGTTTCTTTAGTGCTGTATTTAATACTGAATTATATGTGAGTGTTCATTTCAAAACATACTCCTAAGTTTTATACATTGGTTGTGTAGCACACTACAATCCGTGCTGTTGACATTACGTTTTCGGCAAATGTAGTGTCATCAGTGACTGGTGAGTAATTTAATAATATTTTCACGTAAGTTTGTGTTTTTGTTCATGACGCTACAATTACTCTTACCAGCTCGGCACCTCAGAGTTCCAGTCACTAATGTCCGTGAATGATCATGCTTGTTACAAACTGCAATATTATCATTATTTCTGAGGACTTCTCGTGTTCATATTTATTCCACGCGGTGTGAGTAGATATGCCTCCTAAAGCACCTCCGATTAGCACGGTTGGCTTGGTACGGTGCAAAAGAAGTTCAACGTACGTACAAAGCGTTAACGTAAGTCGTAAGGGATTCCCCAAACTTCGGGCCTCTCTTCCCACCACAGTTCATCCTTTCACATCTGTCGCACCGAAATGCAAATTAACAACAACAAAAACAATCATTTTTAAGAAAGCCTTTATAGGAACAATATAAATATGCGACATTTCAGACAATGGCCATTCATCCGTACCACGTAAATAGGCCGGAGACCTTGTCAATAGGGGCTGGAGTACTGATTACACGATACACCACGGGGCTTGAGAATGACATTTTAGATTTGTTTTTATCGTGATGAACGGTTTTTTAATCGGAATATGAATAGTAACATATTTGTAGATATTGCGAAACAAGACGAAGCCTATACTTCTTGGTTCTTTCGGTAAAGTCACGTAGAAGGGAAATAATAAAGTAATACAAATTAAACATAATTTTTATTTTATTATTTGCCTTCTACGTGACTTTACCGAAAGAACCAAGAAGATGAATCCCTGCAGTCACGAAAGCTTTAAATCAAAAAAGCCTATACTCTTTGGTTCTTTCGGTAAAGTCACGTAGGTAGAAAAACAAAACAAAATACAAATAACATCACGACGTTTCGATCGCAACACAAGCGGTCGTCCTCAGGCGGAAAAAATAATTCAGCAGTGAATTAATCCAGCAGTGGAACTGCTGGATACATTTTTCTGCCTGAGGACGACTGCTTGTGTTGCGATCGAAACGTCGTGATTCCAAAGAACACAGGATGAGATGTTACTATCCTTTGTGCAAGCACTTCCAAGAGTTCATGAACAGTGAGCCTGGTGAAATTTGGGGAGCGCATCGTCAGTAGTGAATCTTTGGGTCCTAGGGTGTTTCGGCCTTTCATACTATACACCCTCCCCAAAGGTGGCCAGCGACAGGGTGATCAATCCTACGCTTGCGTCCCATTCCCAATTAGTCATAGGAGTTGCCTTGTTGTTGATAGCCAACATCCCATATATTATTTTTATTTTATTTTTAGACCTACGTGACTTTACCGAAAGAACCAAAGAGTATGGATTCCTGCAGTCACGAAAGCTTCAAATCAAGACGAAGCCTTTTGAACATCGTTGCTGATCCTTGATAATCTCGGGGCACGAGGATTGAATTATTTCCCACTCAAAGTTGGCCAAATGTCTCTTTAAGTTGTAGATGCACGCTTCGACTGTCGTGGGCTGTCGGGCACGAGTTTGAAGCTACATTGATAAGACATAAGACTTTGGTTTGGCTGAAATCTGTGGTTAAACCCGGGTTCTCCAGTGTTCTGGGATGGTCTCAGCCTGGTCATCAATGACTTGCACAAGAAGGCCGTCGCAGGAATATTTTCTCACTAAATTTGGCTAAATTACAGTTCGACCACTGTCGTACACACATCTACATAGCTGGGCGTGTGTAAGTGTACGCCCTTTAATTTGTTGATAAAGATAAAAAGTTGACTTGACAAGATCTCAGAAGTTTCGTGAAATATCCTTCCATAGGCCAGTCTCGAACACAGAGTTTTAAGTGGCTAACACTGTCTCGTGACAATTTTATCACAGTTGGAATAAAATTGGGGGAAAAAAAGACAAACGAAACGGTAAACGAGACTTGATTTCGCACTGGTCCACATCTTTAAGGTATCTCCCCCCCCCCCCATTAACGAAGCTTCAAACTGATGTGGGACAGCCCTGCACTTCGCCTGGTGTCTACATCTACAAGAAGTGCTGCTTCGGTTTCGTCTAGCTTTGAGGCAGCGGAGTGCGGTCGAGAACGTATACCACCAGTGAGTCATGTCCGGCCCGTGACTTCATTTCAGACGGCCACATGAGGACCCACCACTTACAAACAGCCTTGCAAACGATATGTATCCCTCACTGCAAGAAGCATCTTGGCCGCAATTAATGAACGACGAGGAGGGGGGGGGGTTCTTTCGTTCTGGCGACAGGTTTTTCCCCCTTCTAGTTTCTGTGTTCTGTGTGTGGCCTGCCAGAGGTGTTTTAAAGTCCTGCGTGACTTTCGGTAAGGAAGAGGTTTTGTACGGTTGCGTTCCGAGGCAAGGAGGCGCTCAAAGGAAGGGGAGTGCATTCCATTCCCAGAATAAGTAAATAAAACCCAGTAGTTGGTGCCGGTGTCAGGGCATTTCAAATATGTGCAGTTGAGAATGTGCGTCGGTATATGACCGGGGGGGGGGGGAGGGGAGTGTCTGGCATCATGCGGATCATGCAATTAAAACAAACAAAAAATTAACCCGTAAAAACAAAGATTTTCACTATAAATCCTTTATATGCGTGGCGGCTAGATTCCTCTCGTCCTCTGGCTTGAGATGGCTGCCACCTATGGGTCAGATGATTGTCTACCAGCATTAAGCAATTGGTAATTAAATATTTTAAAAAATTCCCTAAACAGTGTAAAATTTTGGAAAAAATGTTTCACGAAAATTAATTATCACGCACAACGAGTCTGTGTGCAAAATGTCAGCTCGATTGGATCACGGGAAGTGGGTTAAAAAACGACCGAAAGATTTGCACGGTCGTAAGCAAGCAAGCACGCAAGCAAGCAAGCGAACTTAATATAAAGGATTTAAAAACTAGATTTGAAGTTTTCGTGACTGCAAGGATCCATACTCTTTGGTTCTTTCGGTAAAGTCACGTAGGTGAAAATAAAAATAAATAAAAGTAAAATTAAAATAAATAGAAGTAAAAATGTACTAAAATAAAAATAAATAAAATAAAAAATTTACTTTTATCTATTTTTATTTTACTTTTATTTATTTTCATTTTCACCTACGTGACTTTACCGAAAGAACTGAAGAGTATAAAACAAAAAACATTTTCCAAAAACCTTAAATTTTATGGTGGTTACAAAACTTTCCTGACACGTGACACTCACGGATGGCCATGCTGTTAGGCTTAGTCGTCGGTTCTCCAGTTGCTTGCCATTGCACCGGGCCCTCGTTTTGTTTCGACGCGTGGATTAAAGACAAACTTCGGTTTCATAAACTTCTCAGACCGGTTTTATTTTACACACGCAGGGCCGCTCGCCCATGACCCGGTTGACCCTGCCCACGTGCCCCTGGCACGAAGCGTGTGAGGCTACTCGCTGTGGACAGGGCGAGGTGATTGAGTGTTGCGTGACTGTTTTGAAAAGAGGGCAGGAGTGACGGGATGGGAGATGCCAGCTCACAATGTGTCCCAGTTGAGCATCCCAGAAATGTAGTAACTTTGCTGATGCCCCTGCCCACAAATAAATAAATATCATCTTGCCAACGAGATGTTCCATCTCAAGGGATTTTCCAGGTGCAATATTTTTGTATTAAAATAATGCCATGCTGATATCCTGCCTTTGTAACCACTGCCCAGTGACTCTCCACATAAGCTTGGCCTGATGGCCTTACCCTGGAACACTAGATTGTAGTAATCTTTTACATCTTTTCCAAATTTAAAGTGAGAATATTTATACCACTGGAACCTCATTTGCCAGTAGAAAAATGATAATTGTTTTTTTACCCTTTTATCTGGCAACAAAACTGACACCTTATTTTAACAAGGAGTCATGTTTGCATTGACCACAATACCTTGCAGTCGGAATGCAAACAAAAAACATAACTCTGATAATGTATGCACTATCCTTGAAGTTGATTGGTCCACACCCGAGACAGCTTTCCTTAGAGCCTAGTCTCACTTGGTGTTGGACCAGATTTATACGAGAGAAATCCGATGAGCGACAAAGCTCGTTTTTACAGATGCCCACGTGACTGTGGTGGGTCACTGCCATGGTGACGCCCCCCCCCTCCCTTCCCCTCTCCCCCCTCCCAGTGCCCCTGCCCTCTACTCACCCCCCTTCCGTGCCCCTCCCACCTCCCCCTTTTTCACCCCCCCCCCCAGTCCTAACATCCCTCTTCCAGGCTGCTCGCCTCTTCCCCAAATCCCTTACTCTCCCCCCACTCCTCGTACCCCTCCCCTTCTCCAGTCCCCCCCCCCCTCTTCAATCCCCCCCCCCACTCGTACCCCTCCCCTCCAGCCCCCCCACTCCTTGTACCCACGTCCTCCAATTCCCCCATCACCTCCAATATCCTCTCAAATTCCTCCTCCCTTCCACTCCTACAATTTCCACTCCCCACTCCTCGTACCCCCTCTGTACCTCCAGTTCCCCCCCACCCACTCCCCGTACCCCCCCCCCCCGTACCTCCAGTTCCCCCCCACCCACTCCCCGTACCCCTCTGTACCTCCAGCTCCCCCCCACCCACTCCCCGTACCCCCTCTGTACCTCCAGTTCCCCCCCACCCAATCTCCGTACCCCCCCGTACCTCCAGTCCCCCCCCCCACCCACTCTTCGTACCCCCTCTGTACCTCCAGTTCCCCCCCCCACCCACCTCGTACCCCATCTGTACCTCCAGTTCCCCCCACCCACTCCTCGTACTCCTCTGTACCTCCAGTCCCCCCCCCCCAACTCCTCGTACCCCTCTGTACCTCCAGCTCCCCCCCCCCACCCACCTCGTACCCCCTCTGTACCTCCAGTTCCCCCCACCCACTCCTCGTACCCCCCCCCGTACCTCCAGCCCCCCCCCCCCCACCCACTCCCCGTACCCCTCTGTACCTCCAGTTCCCCCCCCCCCCACTCCTCGTACCCCTCTGTACCTCCAGTTCCCCCCCACCCACTCCCCGTACCCCTCTGTACCTCCAGTCCCCCCCACCCACTCCTCGTACCCCTCTGTACCTCCAGCTCCCCTACCCACCTCGTACCCCCTCTGTACCTCCAGTTCCCCCCCCCCCCCCACCCACTCCTCGTACCCCTCTGTACCTCCAGCTCCCCCACCCACCTCGTACCCCCTCTGTACCTCCAGTTCCCCCCCCCCCCACCCACTCCTCGTACCCCCCCGTACCTCCAGCCCCCACCCCCACCCACCTCGTACCCCCCTGTACCTCCAGTTCCCCCCCACCCACTCCTCTTACCCCCCTGTACCTCTAGTCCCCCCCCCACTCCCCGTACCCCTCTGTACCTCCAGTTCCCCCCCACCCACTACTCGTACCCCCTCTGTACCTCCAGTCCCCCCCCCCACTCCCCGTACCCCTCTGTACCTCCAGTTCCCCCCCCCCACCCACTCCCCGTACCCCTCTGTACCTCCAGTCCCCCCCACCCACTCCTCGTACCCCTCTGTACCTCCAGCTCCCCCACCCACCTCGTACCCCCTCTGTACCTCCAGTCCCCCCCCACCCACTCCCCGTACCCCCCCCCCCCGTACCTCCAGCATTCCCCCACCCACCTCGCACCCCTCTGTACCTCCAGCTCCCCCCCCCACCCACCTCGTACCCCCCCTGTACCTCCAGCCCCCCCACCCACTCCTCATAGCCCCTCCTCCAACCCCCCCCCCCTCCACCCACGTCCACTCGAATCTCCCGCCGCCTCGCGCGCGCTCCACGAGATCTCGCGATACCGAGGAATCTCGCGAGACTTGCAAAGCGCTCCGCGGGATTCTCGGTAGCGGCTGTCTATGCGCTTTCGTTCAAACATTTCTGGGCTTCGGGAGGAAAAAAACTAAAATAGAATTGTAAGTTCAATTATAATAATAATGTTAACATTTATGATTGTTATGCAACGATAAGCACGGTTCGCGAGCTTTATAAAGCGAGGCCTGCTGCTCGGGTGAGTTGTAGTAACAGTCCTCGTATCGGTGATTCACTTGGAGCAGATGCGTTTGTCTTTGCGTCACCGGGGAGACAAAGGCGGTCGGGCGTGGTGCTGGCCACTCACTCCTCGTGTGTCGTGCCGGCCTTCGTATGTGCTGCTGCTCTCTAATCAGCACTTGCCCCTGCGTTCTGTTTAAGTTATACTACGTCGTGGTGAGCGTGTGTGCACTTTGAGGAGCGGTGGCGCAGCGGTTAGCGCGTCGCGCAGCGACCCATGCCCGTGGCTTGGGTCGACTCGGCCTCAAATGGGGCACGTGATGCGGTGCGTCATACATCGTCATACGGGGAGACAAAGGCGGCCGGGCGTGGTTGCTGGCCACCCACAAACCCCCCCTCGTGTGCCGTGCCGGCCTTCTTTGTGTTGAGGGTGATCGGTTTGTGAATGTGGAGTTGTCCACCACTGAATTGTGGTGGACGTCGTGTTGTTGTTTGAGGGTTCGTGGTGGGGGGGTGGGGGGGCTGCTTGACCATACTTCGGTGCCGGTTGGTGATAGAGCGGCGCATTAAAGGGCCGTCCATAAATGACGTCACGCACCTAGTGGGGTTTGAAGATTTCGTGACTGCAAGGATCTATACTGTGTTTTTTTCGGTAAAGTCACGTAGGTGAAAAATTTGAAAAAAATAAAACAACTAAATTAAATAAGTGATTTAATTTAATTAAATCAGTGATTTAATTTAGTTGACTTTACCGAAAAAAAATAAAAGTATTTGTGACGATGTGACGAGGGGGGGGGGGGGTGAGAAATGTGACGTCACATCAAAATGCGCAACTTTAAATAAATATACACAACACCTATTTAATTAAATAGACGTTTTAATAAATGTTTTCTCCCACAATATCAGAGTGCATCATCACATTAAATACGCACTACAAATACGATAGTTTAAAGCGATTTGAAGCATGTTTTATTTTGGGGGGGGGGGCAGAGCTTTGTGACGTCATATTTGAGGGGGGGTCTGACTTTTTGTGACGCCGTGTCACGAGAGGGGGGTGGGGTAAAACATCGGCCAAAATCGCGTGACGTCATTTATGGACGGCCCCATAGACATAGAAGTACAGTACCGTATAACCATGGACATATCTGCACTACCATCACATATCTATCAACCCATACGGTGTACAGCCGTTTCAATACGGACAACAACAAAATCATATTTGTGTCTGTTTGTGTTTCTCCCTTGTGATGGGACTTTGTAGGATAAACGTTGAGATTTATAAAGGGCACGGGGTGACCAGTAAGGTGTGAATTTGTCAGTAATAAGGTGAGGCACTGATAAGGGGTTGACAGATGTGTAGTGGTGAGTGTAGTAGTTGTCAGTGTAGTGATGAGTGTACTAGTGGTGAGTGTAGTAGTGATGTGTAGTGGTGAGTGTACTAGTGGCTAGTGTAGTGGTGAGTGTAGTAGTTGTCAGTGTAGTGATGAGTGTACTAGTGGTGAGTGTAGTAGTGATGTGTAGTGGTGAGTGTACTAGTGGCTAGTGTAGTGGTGAGTGTAGTAGTTGTCAGTGTAGTGATGAGTGTACTAGTGGTGAGTGTAGTAGTGATGTGTAGTGGTGAGTGTACTAGTGGCTAGTGTAGTGGTGAGTATAGTAGTGGTGAGTGTAGTTAAGTGATGAGTGTAGTAGTGGTGAGTGTACTAGTGGCTAGTGTAGTGGTGAGTGTAGTAGTGGTGAGTGTAGTGAAGTGATGAGTGTACTAGTGGTGAGTGTAGTAGTGATGTGTAGTGGTGAGTGTACTAGTGGCTAGTGTAGTGGAGAGTGTAGTAGTTGTCAGTGTAGTGATGAGTGTAGTAGTTGTCAGTGTAGTGATGAGTGTAGTAGTGGTGAGTGTAGTAGTGATGTGTAGTGAGTGTACTAGTGGCTAGTGTAGTGGTGAGTGTAGTAGTTGTCAGTGTAGTGATGAGTGTAGTAGTGGTGAGTGTCTATTTGTGTTTCTGCCTTGTGATGGGACTTTGTAGGATAAACGTTGAGATTTATAAAGAGCACGGCGTGATCAATGTGAATTGGTCAGTAATAAGGTTAGGCACTGATAAGGGGTTGGCAGATATGCCATCATCTGCTGACACCGTAGGGGCCCTTTGCAGCCTATAGCACCTGTCACGCGTGATGGTCGCCCATCCGTGCAGTGACCAGGCTCGTGCCGGCTTGGCTTCCGATATCTACAGACGATATCGGGCGATTTGATCATCATCGGGCTCATTCATTTAGCTCCGACAATGTTAATTCGAACGGAATGGTCTGACCCTGCCATCGGAATATGGAATTCGTTTTCAGCAGCAATCGAGACGCTTAATTCACAAGTGGCTGTCCTATGGATGGTCTTGGCCCTGTCGTGAGAACGTCGAATTTCCACGGCTGGCTCGTTGCCGTCGACAAAGGCGGAACATCGCCCCGTTGCTTGTTGGAACGACTTTCTAAGTTTCAATCGTGATTATAACCGTGGGTGACCTAACCGGTAATTTCTATGTCTCGGTGGGCCACACATCTGTGCTTGGGACACTCCAAGAGTTTTTGGGAGGGTCAGATGTGGCCTGTGGGCCGCCAGTCACAAGAACGCCGTTCTACATTTTAATATCATTCAGCGTTGACAGCAGCATGGCCGTCCGCACCGGTGGGCCTATCCCGGCGGGCCCCATGGAGGCCACGGCCCCCGAGGCCTGCGAGCTGCTGTCACGCCGACTGCGCATCGCCGAGGAGGAGACGGAGGCCCTGGTCCGTGACCTGGATGCGCTGGGCCTGGGGCGGCACCCTAAGGGCCACACCGATGGGTACGTATGGCCGTGGTGGTGAGATGTTAAATCCCTCGCCTGGTGTGCAGTTGGTCGTGGGTTCGATCCCGACCATGACGCCTGCTGCTGTATATTTGGAGTTTGCGTGTCTCTCCCCTTTGTCGCGTTGATTTTTCTCCAGGTCCTCCAGTTTTTCCCAACACATTTACTATAAATATCACGCGTTTAGAGCATTTGGCTGCTATAAATTTGTGGCCAGGTCGCTGAAGAAATGCTCTATAGCTTAGTGGGCCTCACCTGGTTAAAAAAAATAGTTTAGTTTATAGTCTTGCCTTTGGTGGACTGTCGACCACGTCTTGGGAGATCACATTTGTAAATGATGAGTAAAAATCCCACAATAACAGAATAATAGTGAAGGCCGTTAAAAAACACATTAATTTAAACTAACACAACTGTGTAAAGAGCACACAGTCTCTGCGCTGATCTCATTGCCTTGGCCAAAAAAGCCTATCCATTCGTTTTTAAGTTTTGTGCAACCCTTAAATCAGTTTGGACGATTTTCTGCAGGGCAAGTCCCTAATAGCAACGCATCTTTACACCAAAATTTCGTGTCCATTGTATCACGTCGACGCCACTTTACAGACGGACAGAGCTAATTCATTAGCCCTTTCAACCTTTAATTGTAAACTGTCAATCGTACGTTTAACTGCATTGGTTTGAAATGATTGACAAGGAGCGCCGCCCTCCCCAGCTCGACGGCCGACAGCATCGCGCAACCGCCGACGCCGCTGCCTCCCTTGCGCGTGTCGCGAGCGCTTGCGCCAGGCGCGTCGGACATGCTGTGGCGCAACTACGAGGCGCTGGTGCAGCGCGTGTGCCGCGCCGAGAGCGCCCTGCACACGCTGAGGCTCACCGCGCTGCGCCTGCAGGCCGAGAGGGAGCTGGCGCCGCCGGACGCGGGTGGGTTGCCGGCTTGCGCCGTGGTGCTCTCTGAATTGTCAGGTGACCGTTTTGTGAACTGCTCCTGAGAGGGAGCGGTGGAGCGATAATTTGTGTATTCTCCTGGGTTTTTCCAGGAGAAGGCAAACGTGGCCGGGCATGGTGTTCTGTGCCGTGTTGGTCTTAAAGGTTTTTGCTAACACTTGCCCAAACGATCCTGGAAGGCTACGCAGGATGTTTTTGCATACGTGGATATGTGTGTAAGTGCCTGTGTGTGTGTGCGTGTGTTTGAGCGCCTGCATTTGTTTTCTATGTATGTGCGTGCATGTGTGACGTTTATTTTTGCGTGCGTGCAAACTTATACAAGTTCCTTTGAGTATGTAACTGTCCTTACATACGGTTAGTCGTGCTGGCCACCCACCCCCTCGTGTCCCGTGCCGGCCTTCACAGGTGCTCACTATCAGAAATTGCCCCAACAGTCTGATAAGGCTACGGGGGGGTATCTTTGTCATGCTCACGTGCTTGCGCAAACACCTGCACGTGTGCGTGCATGTCTGGCGGGCGTCACGCCAGACGACGAGGCGTCATCGCTGCGCGAGGAGGTGTCGGGCCTGCAGCATGAGGTGGCGCGTCTCAGGCATCGGCTGGCCGACGCCGTGCACCAGCTGGAGGCGTCCGTGGATGAGAAGGCCCGACTGTCCGCCGCCCTCGAGGTCGCCACAGCCACCAAGGTGTGATGGCGATCCTTCCCGGCTTCAGCGTAGGGATGGTGGAACCCATGGTCCTTGGGCTGGATGCGGCCCACTACTCCGTTTCGTAGGGTCCGTGGCCACATGAGGCCTGCCACTTCGAAACAGCCCGCAAACAAAATGTTTCCTTCACTGCGGGCATATTAGCTGTACTAATCGGGCACTAGAGGGGATCCCTCGGGTGGGGGACGGCAGGGGGGGGCACATTAACTCTCGTAAAGTTGTGTTTCTGTTAAGGACTTAAGCTATAGATAGCTGGCCAAATTAAACTAAACGTGGAAATTTATAGCAGACGAATACTCTTAAACGCATGTTTCAAGGGGTTTCTCATAACTTGGGAGACCAAACCCAGGACTGGGAGTGTAGACAACATGAGCGCGAGAAGGAAGCACACGCCCCCTCTCCCGATGACGTCAGGCTTTTGTGACATCATCTCACGACGTCACGCGCCGTGCAATGTCTCATCAGTGGCGTAGCTAGGTTATTTTGCGCCCGGGGACGAACTATAAAATTGGCGCCCCCCCCCCCCTCCCCCGTTTAACCACATACCAAAATGTAATTACATGACATGTAGGCTGTGTGTGGCGGGATATATAAACTTTTAGGTTGAGGTGTAGATTTGTGCAGTAGTTTCAGGCTGCCGCGCCCGCCGCAATAAGTTATAATGTAACGTTGTAAGCCTAATTTTGGCGCCCCTTTACCTTGGCGCCCGGGGACACATGTACCCTCCTGCCCCCCCCCCTAGCTACGCCCATGTGTCTCATTGTGTGGCTTGATCCGTAACTTTATCATGGGCAGTTTAAATACCTCCAAGGACCAAAGGGCGTGCTGGGAAGCATTCCAGAATGTACTCTCATGCTTGGTTTATCCTTAGCGTGTTCACATATTTGCGATGTTTGTTTTCAGAGTGACGTCGCGATCGCCGCCGAGGAGATGAAACACAAGACAACCCGCATGAACAATCGCGTGAACGAGGTGAGTCTGCGTCCGCACGGCAAATGAATTCACGTTGGCACTTATTCATCACTCGATTTAAAGTAACGCACGCATTCAATTAGTGTGTGCGTGTGTGCGATAATCCATTATGATCTATTATAATCGATTATTTACCATGAATGGAAAAACTTTTTCAAGTGATGCAACAGATTATCGATTCCGAGGAGGGCTGATTAACATATCTTGAGTAGAATCGCCATGCTGTACATCATATGAGTCATGTTTACCAATCGTCAGGCAAGCGCAGCAATATAATAACTGTGTTTGAGCAAAGAAGGTAAGGAAACGAGGATAGGCGCCCACTGACGGGTCGCGAGACCTGGAGTTGGGAAAACTTGACCTTCAAGACCATTCCTTATTAGTTCATAAGAAGTCTTTACGTGTCTCCTAGTGTGTATTTAATTCCTTTTGATTGTAATAATTGCCATACCTACTCTTTGTTTTTTTAGGTAAAGTCACGTAGGTAAAAAATAAAATAAAATAAATGAAAACAACTAAATTAAATCACGACGTTTCGGGCGCAACACAAGCGTCCGTCATCAGGTGGGAAAGCCATACACCCAACTTTGTGTTTAAGCTTGCTTCGTGTGCACGTTTGTATGTATGTGTTGAGTTTTGGTTAGCGTGCTTTGCTACGAACCCGGCGACCCAAGTTAAATTTCCGCTCACGGCCACCACCAGTGACAATTATCTGGACCCAGTCCAGGGCCTCCCCTAGGTCGACTCAGCCTCAAATCAGGACCTAGTGCGGTGTGGAAACATCGCCACTGAGGAGATGAACGTGGCCGGGTGTGGTGCTGGACACCCACCCCCTCGTGTGCCGTGCCGGCCTTCGTAGGTGCTCGCAAATAACACTTGCCCCAACAGTTCGTTTAAGCTGTACGGGGGATCTTTGTCGTTGTGTACACGTCCGAGTGCGTGTGTGTGTGCGTGCGTGTGTTGTGCCTGTGTCTGCGTGTCGCTGCCGGGTGGCGTAGCTGCGCGCGGAGCTGTCGCGCGAGGCGAGCCTGCGAGCGACGCTCGAGGAGTCGCACGCCGCGCTGCTGGATCGCGTGCGCGACGCCGAGCGCATCGTCGACGCCGAGAGGTCGGAGGTCAGTCGCGCCGCCACGCTTATCCTTGCGGGACTGTAGGTGCGCGTGTAATCCCGCGCGTATGGTATGTACGTACTTTGTATGCAAACAATGGCAAGAAGAAGAGGAAGAAGCCGGGCGAGGGAATTGCGGGGACGGGTCACGATCACGCTTACACATACGTATGTACATACGTAGGTACAAGCCGGTGCCAACCGTATGGACAGTTCTTTTTTACGTTGGCTCGCCTAAATCTTCGGCTCACCAAAACACACAGCACATCTAAATGAATAAGATCTATTTGTTGGCGTGGTTGCGTCGAATACCGAGTGAAATTATATACCGTTCATGCTATCGGTGTTCATCTCCCTGCCACCTCCGTTGGCCCGCGCAGGTTGCTCGGCTGCAGGGCGAGTGCTCGTGCGTGCGCCAGGAGGGCCTGGCGGCGGCTGAGCGCGCGCGGCGTGACAGAGAGAGGGCGAGCGAGCTGGAGGGGAGGGCAGCCGACCTCCACAGGCATGCAGGTCGGTCCCTCGACCCGTCACCGTGATTCCGTTGCCGGGCTTCTTCATCGTCTAACTCGGCGTTGTTTCCTCCCAATGTTTCTTCTCACACAATATGGAGATTCCCTTCGTTTTTCTGTTCGTTCGATGGTTTGTTTCTTCATTTCTCACAGAGGCAAAGGAGTCGATCATCACTCAGATGACGGCGGAGGGGAAGGTCAGTGCTCGTGTGCGCACGCGTCACATTTGAATCCCGTGTCGGTTCGGGTACCCACGCAATCCGCATTAACCTTGTGGAAAAGATATATGTGATAATAAATTCTAAGATTTAACATAATATTTTTTCCCGCAATTTACTGGTGACTCTCGCAACACCTCGATGAAGCACCTCACGTACCGCGAACGAACCCGGGTGCTTGCATTGCAGAGGCTGCAGTCAGAGCTGCACGAGGAGAAGAGGGAACGCGGGAAGCTGCAAGCAGAGAATTCCTCCATCGTGGCCTCTCTGAAGAAGATGCAGGTGAGGGGGTGCCTGCTTGGTATGCGCTGCGAACTGCGCAGGAGGTCATTAGGCCAGTTGTTGTGGAGCGTGCCCAGAATCCAGTATTTTTGTCCTCATCGTTGGTCGATTGCACAGAGGTCGTCTTATCATAGTAGAATTAATAGTCGTCATCATAATGATGATACCCAAGGGAGCCTCAATGAGTTCCAAGAATATTTGAGTCATTTTTAAAATCGGGAATGAATGGGTTTTAACTCACCCTGTCTTACGAGCGGTGCGTTAGTGCCCTTAATTGATCGCATGCTGTCGTTGGTAATTGTAGGTGCACCAATGGCTCTCTGGCTGTGTGTGACCCCATCCCTGCTGCGTCGTCGCTTGCAGGCCGAGAAGCAGGAGCTACAGAGAGAGAACACGGCGCTCGCGACGGCCGCACGGGACGTGGAGATCGCAGCCGATGAGGCGCGCGCCACTCACCAGAAGGACCTCCAGGTGAGCAGATCAGCGTCCCGCTTGCTATGCCGCTTACTTGGCGTTGGGCGGTTTTTTCCCCCCAATTTTGTTCCGTTGGTGCTATCGGCTTCGTGTCACGAGACGGAGAATCGGGATCACTGGCAGAGCAGTGCGAACCCCCGCCCCCCCCTCTCTGAGATCTCTTCAAGTCGCCTCTCGTGAGTCCGCACGTATGAGAGTACTGTTCACCGCAAACCGATATTTAAATTCTCAGAGCTGGAATGCAACCGAATTGAGTGAAGAACGAAATGCGACGGGGTGGGTTTTTTTTTGTGTAGTAATAACTGGTGACCGGCCTGAGACTATCGACTTGAGGACCCGGTTTAGAAATCATGGGTGGCTGCAACTGCAGATCCCAAGCCAGGATCTCTCAGCAGAGCGCCAGCTCAGCACTCCTGAGCCACCCTGACCACCATTTGCTGTCGTGCTTCTAGCACGTAGCAATCTCTGCACGCTCCGCCAATTCCGCGGCTCTAAGCTTCGCCATGATGACCTCAGGCTCGGGTCAAATCACGACTTTCATGACCTTCCCTGGTCCGACGTTCGCTGTTGAGAGTTTCCGAAGCGAGCCCCGCACCCCCGTGGGAGCGTTCGGTCAACGGATGTCGATTTGCGGGCTCGTGACGCTTTGTTGTTGCGCACGCAGGCGGAGAGGGCAGTTCTGACCGAGCGGATCCGGGAGCAGGACGGCGTGCTGGAGGCCGCGCGGGCGAGCGTGAAGGAGCCGCTCGTCGCCGCGCGCCGGGAGATTGCGCGACTCGACGCTCAGCTGTACGTGCATGCGCACATCCAACACGCTCACAATTGCCACGCACGTATGTGAGGGAATACGGAATTGTTCGCACAGTTCGATCCAATCCATTAGCCTGACTGGTTGTGCTGGTACCAGTTGTGCTGTACTTGTAGACAGCGAGATTTGGACCTTGCAGCTTCTGCGGTCAGCTGTCCATCATCCTGGAACTCACTGCCACTACGTGTTCGAGACTCTTCACAGACATTTAAATATCGATTTAAAGCTTTCGTGACTGCAGGGATTCTTGGTTCTTTCGGTAAAGTCACGTAGAAGGGAAGTAATAAAATAATAAAAATAAAACATAATTGTTTTATTATGTTGTATTTTTATTATTTTATTACTTCCCTTCTACGTGACTTTACCGAAAGAACCAAGAAGATAGACATTTAAATAGTTGGAAACTGTTCAATAGAGCTCACTATGTATGAACATTGCGTGCTTGGGATAACGTAGGTTTTAAGAGTTGCGTGTTTATAAATGTACTTAATAACTCCTGGCCACCTTGCATACCATAGAAGAACATTGAGAAGACAATAAACCACCTCCACGCCCCCACCCCACCCCCCATGCTGTAGTGCGAAGAGTTGAGGCTTACCTGTGTGTCACCAAACGACCCCCCCGCACACCATCATCCCCCTCTATCCCTCCCCGCACAGCACAAGCCTGCAGCACGAACGAGTGGAGCTGGTGCGAGAGCGCGACCTCGCTATCGAGGGCGCCACGTCCCAGAAGGACGCACTGGAGGAGGCGGCCGTCCGGCTGCGTCGAGAGCTCGACTCGGCCAATCAGGAGCTGCAGCAGGCGCGGCGCGAGAAGGGGGGCATGCTGCGAGAGGTCGGAGGGCAAGGGTCCGGGAAGCTGAGATGTGATGGCATTTAGCTGAGATGGAGTTTTGCTGAGTTGTGGTGGCATTGAGCTGAGATGAGATGTGGTGGCATTTAGCTGAGATGGAATTTTGCTGAGATGTGGTGGCATTGAGCTGAGATGAGATGTGGCATATACCTGAGATGTGGCATTTAGCTGAGATGAAATGTGGTGGCATTTAGCTGACGTGCTCGCATTGAGCTGATATGTGGTGGAATTTATCTGAGACGTGGTGGCATTTAGCTGAGATGTGGTGGCATTGAGCTGAGATGAGATGTGGTGGCATTTAGCTGAGATGCGGTGGCATTTAGCTGAGATGGAATTTTGCTGAGATGTGGTGGCATTGAGCTGAGATGAGATGTGGTGGCATTTAGCTGAGATGTGGTGGCATTTAGCTGAGATGTGGTGGCATTGAGCTGAGATGAGATGTGGTGGCATTTAGCTGAGATGTGGTGGCATTTTGCTGAGATGGAATTTTGCTGAGATGTGGTGGCATTGAGCTGAGATGAGATGTGGTGGAATTTAGCTGAGATGTGGTGGCATTTAGCTGAGATGTGGTGGCATTTAGCTGAGATGTGGCATTTAGCTGATAGGTGGTGACATTTAGCTGACATGCTGGCATTTATCTGAGATGTGGTGGCATTTAGCAGAGATGACATTTAGCTGAGATGTGGTGGCATTTAGCTGACATGTGGTGCAATTTATCTAAGACGTGGTGGCATTTAGCTGAGAAGTGGTGGCATTTAGCTGAGATGTTATTTGATGCGCCGGATTGTGTAAACGTGTTTTTTTTTTCAATAAAAATCGCAAACAGCCGTGTGTTTAATAATTCGGAGACGAACATGTGATAACTTTCGATATTTTTAATTGAATGTTTTCTCTCCTGTTTCAGATGGAAACAATGAAGAAGCAGCACTCGGAAGAGAGAGAAAAACTTGAAGCAGAGAACGCAAAGAACAAGGTATTTTATGTTTCAAAGTCTGCCTCTCTTTGCTTTTCAACGCGTTACTCTACACCTTCATGCGTGACCAAATGAGTCAGCTTAAGTGTTTTGGGCTTTACGGTGTGAAAACGACGACCAGAGTTAAATTCCCTGCCACGGCTAACACCTGCCTGCACTAGTTAACACATACAGGCCGTTGCAGTGCAATAAGTTTGACAAACAGCATGGGAAGGTCTTCATCCAGCAGTGGATTGACAAAGGGTTGTGATTTGTTATTGAGTTTCCAAGCGATCCTATTTAACGTCCTGTTGACATTTCTAGAGTTTCCAGCTGGCTTGTAGAGATTCATCTCCTATCCACTGTGATTTTATCTGTTCATTCTCAGTTCCATTCGGCAAATCTATTCAAGAATCAATTATGCGCTTGTCTTATTTGAATTGTGTCCCACACATATGTTCTGTCTTGTTGCGCCTTGTCCGTGTCATTAGCCTGAAGGTAATATTTACATGCAATGTGCATATAATTAGTAAAAATCACATCCTAAAAAAAAAAATCACATCCATTATTATAAACGTGAATTTTAATTGTGTACGCCGAGAGTAATAACACTGGTCAACAAAAAAAAACATTTTTTTCTGGCCTGGACTTTTGCAGCTGTTTTAGACTAATTTCAGGGTGCTGATTCCAAATCTGATCTCAGATTTGCTCTTTAACATCATTTTTATGCTATCGGCATACCCCATTTTCATTGATTTTACCCGAAATTAACTCTGTCACTTATGATTGCAAGTTGTTGCGAGTCAGTGACTGCTTTAGTGATAAAATATGGTGGTGTATTTTTCATGATAGTGTGTTTATAATATAATTAAATGTAGATATCCACATTTATTTAATATTTTTCTTCTGCAGTTTTTATTGAAAATGCAATATTTTGATATCTCAAAAACCTGATGTGATAGACAAAAACTAATGCCAAATTTGGAATCAGCACCCCAAAATTACATTAAAACCGTTGGAATACCTTATGCCAGAAAAAATGTGTTGACCAGTGTAATCTAAATTTCGATTTAAAGCTTTCGTGACTGCAGGGATTCATCTTCTTGGTTCTTTCGGTAAAGTCACGTAGAAGGGAAGTAATACAATAATAACAATAAAACATAATAAAACAATTGTTTTATTTTGTTGTTTTATTTAATTGGTTTATTATGTTTTATTTTTATTATTTTATTACTTCCCTTCTACGTGACTTTACCGAAAGAACCAAGAAGACAGTGTAATCTATTTTAAATGGTTAGGTGGTGCCCGTGGTACCAAGAGGATCCGTCGACATTGCTTGGGTTTCCACATGACCGACTCTCTGTTTCTTGGCTTTCCCCAGCTGGAGGCCCACTCCCTGGGCGGCGTCCTCCGTGCCGTCGAAGAGGAGGCCGGACGGCTCGCGGGGAAGCTCGCCGCCTCCGAGCAGCGGCAGGTGAGACTCCGAGTGGTGCGGGGACGCGGGTGTTGACATCCGGTCGGTCAGGGATTGTTCTTCTTGCTTGTTTGACCTTTTCACTGCGGTGTCGATCCCGACCCCGAACGCCTGCTGTGTATGTGGAGTTTGCGTATCTCTCTCGCCGTGGTCTCGTCGTAACACGCGTTTAGAGCATTTGGCTACGATTAATTTCCATGCGACAAGCCACTTTGTTGAGCTATCATTTGTGGTCAATTTGCTTGTGAAAAAGAGCTATATGGCTAAGTGGGTCATGCCTGGTTAAATAAAAATAGTTTATCACTTAGTTTATACAATGCACATACTCTTGCGTGTGGCTTTGCCAGTGGATGCATGCCTTTGCGTGTATTTGTGTATTCCCACATGCGCTGAAACGACAGGATTTTGTACGGGGAGGATGTGGAGCTTATTTGGACTTGTCGATGACTGATACCAGTCGTGTCAAGTTCGGCCTCTGTGGAGGAGGCTCATGAAGGACGCATCTGGGCACTTGGGAGGCAGTCGCCCTCCAATAAGAACAATGGAGGGTGGAAAGAGCGGTACTCACAGCAACGTGCAGAGCGTCGGGCGGCTGAAATGCAGCAATTCGGCACAGTGGGGAGCATAGCTGGTGCATCTGCCAGTAGTCTCAGTCAGCCCATAACACCTGTATCTGTCCCGTGACCTGTCAGAGAGCCTTTGTCACTTCAAGTACATCTAGCCTGGCACATGCACCGTCGTGGCGAGTGGCAGTTGTTGCCGTGTGTGCGGTTGTTACGGTTGTTAGTCTGTGGCTGTGTGAGCGTGTGCCTGTGCATGTCGGTGCCTGTGTGTATGCATGTGCGTGCCTACGTGTGCACAGCATACTATCTTTTGCCTTTGTTTTGCCCGATTGTGAGCAGAGTGCCGAGCGGCAGGTGGAGCAGCTGCTCGGCAAAATGACCGAGAGCAAGAATCGACTGGCGTACGAGAAGGGCCAGCTGCAGGTGACCACACGGCCACATTCGCACAAACCGCACAGTGGATCGCCGCTCCAACACGCGATCCGCCAACCCCATTCCTCCGACGCCGGGCATGGAACGATTCGCACCCCTCGATTGGACTCAATAAAAACATTTTTTGGACGTGTGTTTGAACTTCTTTCGCACCGTATGTAGCCAACCCTGCTAATCGGAGGTGCGGGGGAAGGACAACAAGCTAAACTAAAGAAATTAGTTTTAAATCTAGCGACTTCTCGCGGTTGCAGATGTCACGTGAACCAATTACATATGTCATACGCACAAATTTGAAAGAATTGCCAGCTAAGGTTGAAAGCATTTATTGCGTTAGCGCTGTCCGTTTCTAATTGGGGTGGAGGGCCATGGTAACTGTCATAAGAGATGAAGTTGTTGTTAATCGGGACTTATCCCGTTGAAAACTGGACAGTTTGATTAACGGTTTGCTGAAAACTCAGGAGCCACTGCTACTCCCGTCCCTGCTCGCCGCTGCGCACCCTACCAGACCAAGCCGCCATTTGTCCCCCGGGCTCTCAACACGGCCTGCGGTTTATTGGGTTGACGGGGGGGCCACCGCGAACGATGACTTTGATGACGACGATGATGTTGATGAGGTGGTGAATTAAACGCTTCCGAGGACAGACGCCTGTTGTGGGGGGAAAGCCGTCCGTAACCCGCGTGCATGCGTGATCCTCCTTGCTCTGATCCCGTTGCTTCCGCTACGACCTCCGCCAGACGCGTGTGGAACAGCTGGAGGCGGAGTTGCTCCGTCTGTCGGCCGAGCGGGCGGATAGCGGCCGCTTGTCGCGACTCAACACCGCTCTGCAGGCCAGGCACGCCGAGGTGAGGCCTCTGTCACCGTGGCGAGATGTTAACTCCATCGCCGGGTATACAGGAGGTCGTGGGTTCGATCCCGACCCTGACGCCTGTATATTTTGAGTTTGCGTGTCTCTCTCTCTCCCCGTGGTCGCGTGGATTTTTCTCCAATATCACGCGTTTAGAGTATTTGGCTGCTTTAAATTTCCACGTGATCAGCCACTTCGTTGGGCTATCATTTGTGGCCAGGTCGCTTCTGAAAAAGAGCTATACAGCTCAGTGGGCCTTACCTGGTAAAATAACAAAATTGTACTGTTCACTTCTCGCGACAGTGGGGTGGGTTGACCCCTACTTCACACGGTATTTGAATCGAGCACCCTAACCCACAGCTCTCTAAACACGGGCACGAATAGACGCTCGCCAACCCCTACTTGCGCCCGCCAGTCGGCGCGAAGTGGGGGGGGGATCCTCGTCTCTGTGTGCGCACGCGCGTCTCGATGAAAGTGGCCATTGCAGTTCCCGTTTTTTTTGTCTCTGCGCAGGCGACCTCTGAGTTGAGCTCCTGCAAGGTGACCATTTCACGGCTGGAAGCGAAGCTCGCCCAGGTGATGCGCTTCGTCGCCGGCATTGCTCCGGGTGATTTGTTCGTGAGGCCAGAACAAACCGATAAGACGCTACTTATCTACGCTGGCAGATTGGACTTTTTGCCTGTGGCCAAATCACTCGTCGTACGTCGGTACGCCAGGCAGGCTCCGTGCTGCAGCTTTACTCACGTTTCACTGGCTGCCGCCCCCCCCCATCCCCCCCTCCCGTCTCCATGCCTCGCCACAGCTCGAGTCGTCGCTGGAGACCAAGGAGGAGGAGTTTGCCCTGGCGGTCCGTTCCCGTGACGACGCCCTGCAGGAGAAGCAGAGGATCATGGGCCTATCCGAGGGGGCGCAGGAGCGGGAGAGGCAGAAGGTCGATCCGCCTCGATTAATCGCGCACAGCGGTCATCCTCGCACAACCAAGCGATTAACTCCCCACGGCGGCTGACCGTTTGAGACAAGCTCGGGCACTACGCTTCAGTATCTCACTTGGCTCAAGGGTCACATTGGTTTTGACGACACACACCGATTTAGATTTGAATGGGCCCCGATGTTCCGGAGTGCATGTGCAGGCCGTGTTTGTCAATCCACACTTCGTGGGCCCCCGAAGGATATTTTGAACATTTTTCACCACGCTGGTCGGCGCGGGTTGAAGGTGGTGGTGGGGGGGGGGAGTACAGAACAGCAATGGATTGCTTTCCACTGCCCTCTTCTGCCCACAATGTTTATAGCTCAGTGTGTCTGTTGCACATGTTAGTGACCCATTCAAACACTCGCCAAGCTCAAACCGGCTCAGCTTATAATACTTGACAAGATTGGGCACATTGCTTTGGATGTGGGCATAGGCTGTGTGGATTAAAGGGCCACTTTGAGGCCTTGTCTTCTCTATGGGATGAGATGGGGACAAGAGGATGTTTGGTGGCTCGAGGGTTCAGCTTTGAACGGACCAAATGAGATGGCTATGTGCAGACTCGAGCAAACTAAAGACTCTTCGAGTTCTTCACTTCATGAGACAATCATTTTGTTTTGCACGCTCCAATTTAGGCAAGTTGTAGGTATGTACGTTGAACTTCTTTCGCGCCGTACGTAGCCAAACGCGCTAATCGGAGGTGCAAGTTAATGCAACAACGAGGAGTAGTGGAGCGGTCGTCAGCGCACTGAGCTACGGACCTGCCCAATTAAGTTTGATTCTCGCCACGGCTAACATCGGTGGCGAGTGAGTGTTATCCGAACTGGTCCTGAGACTCGACGAGGCTTCCCTGTGTAAACAAGTGTAGTATTGTATTTTATTTTTTCTCTGGAGACCGGGAGATGTTTCGGTCGCCACGTTGGTGGCATTCGTCGTGATTTCTCACTTAACAGAGTGGGCCGCGTGAAGGCCGCCATCTTGCACTCCAGCAATAGTAATCGCGAACAGGGTTCGCTGCCGGATACGTGGACCACGGCAACTCAATGAGACCGAGCTTTCTACGGTCGTGCCGCCCACCCGCCCCGCCGTCGCCAGGTCACCCAGCTGTCGCGGCAGCTGGAGGAGTCGCGGGCGGAGCGCGAGCGGCTGGCGACGGCGCTCCAGGGCGTGACGGCCGCTCACGGCGAGCTGCAGGCCGCGCTGCAGGAGGCGCAGACGCAGCTGGGGCGGCGCGACGGCCACGTCGCCGGCCTCCTGCAGCACAGGTGCGGCGGGTGGCGGCGTAGGGGAGGCACGGCGGAACATTCGCGTTCTAACGCCGCGGAGTCTGCATGCTGGCAAAGCCCGTCCCTTTGAGCGAGACCACATGTTTGTCAGGGCAAGGCTGGGGATTCTTTTCCTTACTCACTAAGGGGTGATGATTCGGTTCTTGCCGATGTCTTTTGGCGAGCCGCATCTAAACATGCAACAATAAACTGCGTGTAAAGAGGCCCCCTGCAGTGACAGAAGTGATTGAGCGTGCTAACATTACAAAAGAGTGTTGTTGCGAGGTCGAAAAATATTTCCCTCCAGTAGCCAATTGGTGATGCTAAAATGCTGGCAGTGTCGTATTGTATAATTTTCAGGCCGTTTCAAAGCGGCCGGGCCTCATGTTGCCAAGGGCCATCTGAAATGAAGTCGCGTGCCATAGCTTCCCCACACTCCATTCGGAGATTCTAATGTGCACGGAGACGCGCAAGCGCACGCAGGGAACAGTGCTGGGCGCGCGAGCTTGCACCCTGCTGCCCAGCGCATGGCTCCGCAGCCTGACGACAACTGATTTGTGCGTGGCATTGGCCCATCCAAGCATTAATCCACACCAAACCCTACTGAGATTTACGCCATCTATCGACACCAGTGATTTGGTAATGAGCCATCCCAAATATTTAATTGGAAAATCGTGTCCTATGCACTTTGTCCACGGACGCTGAGTACTTAGTGTGTTCCCATTTGTATTGCGCGTTGGTGCCGCTTGCAGGACGCAATCCCAGCATGCTTTGCAGCAGCTGACGACGGAACTGGAGACACTGCAGTCCAAGCTGAACACCGTGGAGACTCAGAACGCCAGCCAGGTAACCAGACTCGAGTACTCGGCTGCCTGTGATGCCTGGGCATGGTGGTGGAGCTATGGAGTGTGCAGGTGTGGCCTAAGCCGAACGCGAACACGCGGTGCTGTTTGTGCTTGCGTCTCACTCGTGTCCCTCGCTGTGTCTGCTGTGTATCTTGCCATCTGTCTCTCCGTGATGATCGCCGTTTGCATATTTTGTTCGGTTTGCATTTCTCTTTAACTGTGCGCGATATCGCCGCACGCACGCACACGCGCGCACTTCGCAGATGGATCCGGCGAGGAAGGCGCTGGAGTTGTCGCGCGCCGACAACACGAGGCTGGCGCGAGCGCTGGAGCGGGCGTTGGCGGAGGAGGCGGAGTTGCGCGAGCGCCTGGCGCGCGCCACCGCCGCCGCCGACGCCGCCGACGCCGCCAACGGTCGGGCGGAGCAACTCGCGGCAACGAGGTGCGGGCACCGGTACTCCGGCAGCCCGAGGCGCTGCCGCGTCGTCGTTGCCCGTCGTTGCGCCGTTGTGAACGGTCAAAGTTGGACGCAGCGCGTAAATACCATGGACCTCTGCGAAAAAGAGCGTCATAGCTCATCGGATTCCTCCAGTCGACATAAAGATTCTGATTGTGATATAACTGACTTTGCAAGCTGAAACTGGGCTAAATCCTGGGGAAGCCCACCCCTTGAATGAGCTCGGTATTTCGAGGACACACTGTGGCAATAGTGTGCCTCAACCCGGCTGGAGCTTTTTCCCCTCTGTTGACTCGACCATAAACACCTCTCATAAGCAGATTTGAGCCTGGGTAGTGCCTGAATGGGCGGCCACCGTGCACAGAGGTTGTCCTGGCCGGCAGAGCGGCAAATTCCGTTGATGCACTGTGCTCATATGCTTCCACATATATGCATGACCCCTGCACGAAACGAAACTATAAACTCTTTTTGTTTAACCAGGAAAGGCCCACTGAGCTTTGTGGCTCTTTTTCAGAAGTGACCTGGCCACAAATGATAGCTCAACGAAGTGGCTTATCACGTTGACATGTATAGTAGCCAAATACTCTTAGACGCATGTATATATGGCAGCTGTCTCGCCTACTTCAGCATTTTGTCTTGCTGTGGTTGTTCCACCTGATGAAGATTGCTTGTGTTGCGATCGAAACGTCGTGATTTGTTTTATTTCTACCTACGTGACTTTACCGAAAGAACCAAAGAGTATATTTCGAAATGTGGAGGGAAAAGCCGGAGGACCTGGAGAAAAATCCACTCGACCACAGGGAGAGAGAGACATGCAAACTCCAAATATACAGGCGTCAGGGTCAGGATCCAACCCTTATCCTCCTGCATATCAGGCGTGGCAGTTAACATCTCTAAACGTCCGGGCAGCGCTGAATTGTTTACAGGGGTGCGTCAAGCGTCGCCTCTGACCTGCGTGGAAGAGACCACGTTGACCCCCGTGTGGGCTGCCCGTGGCAGGGAGCGGGAGGCGGAGGAGGCGCGCGCGGAGGCCGAGGCGCAGGCGGGGCGGCTGACGACGCTGAGGGCTCAGTTCCAGAGCGAGAGGGACGCGGCGAAGGTCGCGGAGCACAGGGAGACGAACCAGGTGGCGGGACCTCACCGTAGCATCTAAATTTCACCCACCCATGTGCCTACCCGCTCACCTACCTACATACCCAGCCACCCACTCATATACCTAATTACATAAACACTTGCCTACGTACTCACCCACTCACCTACCCACGTACTCACCCACTCACCTACCCACGTACTCATCCACCTATCTATTCACCCACATACTTATCCACCAAATTACCTGCCAGCCCCCACCTAAGTATCATCCATTTCTTTACCCTATGAGTTGCCTACTCACTCACCCACTCTGGTACCTAACTATCTACCCACTTAATAACCTCATCAATATACTTACCTGCCCACCTAAATTCTCATCCACCAATCTACTCGCCCACGTACGCAAGCTCCCACGCACACCCACTCGCCCATCTGCTCACTCGCCCACCCACTGGGAGCATTCCCATGACCGCGAGTCTCTACTCCGTGTATTCCGCCTCTCCCCCACCCCCCACTGCGCGCCCCGCAGCTGCGGCGAGCGCGCGACTCCTCCGCTGTGCGTTGCTCGGAGCTGTCGCGAGCGAACCGGGAGCTGCGCGAGCGCGCGGCGGCGCTGGAGGAGACGCTGGCGACGCAGGCCGCCTCGCTCAAGAAGCTGCGCGCGGAAGGGCGCAGGCAGCGCGACGTCGCCAGGTCCAACGGCGCCAGCCTCAAGGTCACCACGGGAACCAGACGTGCGCGAACCGCATGGACGCGCGTTTCAGTGTGCGTGCGGTCACGTGTCCCGCGCGCGTTCGCCGCTCTTTGTAGAGGTTCGTGGTTCTGGCGCGGCGGTCGCCCTGGTTAATGTTGCGGGCGCGCCGGCTGTTTTACAGTGGCCAATTAAGGTCCCGCTGACGATATTGTAAACGGGTGGGCCATTGTGTGCCGGTGTTGTGGTCTAAATTTGCCACGACTAACAAACAAGCGTCCCGTGCTTTCGGTGATGTCGTTAATTCACGAGAGCCTCCGTCGATTCGGCCAGGAAGCGGAGGGGGAGCTTGCCGCCATGCAGCGGCTTCGCGACGAGTACCTGAAGAAGAGTGAGGAGCAGGTGATCGTCGCCACACTCACCTCGTCGCATCCCCACACGCGGCTCTCAAAGCCCCGCATCGCCTTGTACCACGTCGCGAATTCTCACAACCCCCTTGATCGCACACATCTCCCCCAGTGTAGCCTTAACAGACTGTTGGGGAAAGTGCTGTTAGCGAGTCTTGCTACACACACAAGCACGCACACTCTGCTGTACACGTACTCACTTTTTTTTTTGTCAATCCATTGCTAGGGTGAGGGCCTCCCCCCATCGTTCTGGCCATCTGATTGCAGATTATTATTTGACCATACCCCACCGTGCTCATCAATGCGAGTTTATCGGTGAAGGTTAGGACCCTTAGATGCAGGAGCACAGAAGTACAATACAATGGCTTTTGCTGCACCGCACCTCCCCAAGATACTATCGACACTTCATTACATCGCATGTGGCATCTGGTCTTACGGCTCGGAAGGTAACGGCTCTTAACGCCAATTAAACACCTCCGAGGACAAACGCACGCTGCAAAGCGTCACAAGACCCACGGGTGCGCCGTGATTTTTTCTCCCTAACCCCGGTTCGTCTGTTCTCTTCAACGCCCGCCACGCTCCAGGCCGGTTGCCTGTCGCGGTTTGCCGACGAGGTGAAGGCGCTGCAGGAGGAGCAGCGGGCGCTGGCGCTGGCACAGGCGGCCTCCGAGCAGCTGTGCGGCAGACAGGAGGGAGAGCTCGCTCGCCAGAAGCAGCGGGCGCAGGTCCGTGAGTGGGCGAGGCCGTGACGGCCGTCGGCAGCACGGTGCGACGCATTGCCCGTTAAATTTCGATTTAAAGCTTTCGTGACTGCAGGGATTCATCTTCTTGGTTCTTTCGGTAAAGTCGCGTAGAAGGGAAATAATAAAAATAAAACATAATAAAATAATTCTCACGACGTTTCGGCCACAACACAAGCAGCCGTCAGGTGAAAAACAGGTGTGTCATTCAGACACTGTCTTTCCGACAGACCTGTTCTTTACCTGAGGACGGCTGCTTGCGTTGTGGCCGAAACGTCGTGAGAATTATTTTATTATGTTTTATTTTTAGTATTTTATTATTTCCCTTCTACGTGACTTTACCGAAAGAACCAAGAAGATGCATTGCCCGTTTTTATTGACCGGTCGGCAGGTTCGCGGCGGCGAAACGGCGAAACGGCGGGGGTTCTACCGCGTGGGGGTTTTCGCGGCCGTGCTGCGTGACTCTCTAATTAAGTGGCGGTGCACAAGGAGTGGCCTGCCATTGAACAGGGATTTTTTTGACCACTGGTTTCTACAACGGAGAGCACAAGCAGGAGAGTACGTTGAGCCAGCTGGGAGTGAGTGAGGTGGACAGGTCGCTCAGGGCGGTTGAAGCACCCCGGGCCGACACTGCCGAGTTGATGCTGGGTTTGAATCTGGGGGTTCAGACGCTTTGTGGTCAGACCGATTTCTCAAGTGTAGCGAGCAGATGGTCTCCGTCAGAGGTCGCAAACGGGTTTTGATTCCTTACCCGTACCCGGCCGCACCAGGGTCGCAAACGGGTATCCGTACCCGGCCGTACCCTACCCATACCCGGCCGGGTACGGGTAGGGTACAGGTATCGGGTACCTGATTGCGACCTCTGGGATGAAGCCATGTTGCAGGCACGGGTGGGTTGATTCTAGGAACTTGAATTGTGAGAAGAGACAAGACGTTGGGAAATGAGTGACAAACAGTTACTCACCAGTGACTCACGGTCTACCCGTACCCGGCCGCACCAGGGTCGCAAACGGGTACCCATACCCGGCCGGGTATCGGGTAGGGTACGGGTATCGGGTAGGGTACGGGTATCGGGTACCCGGTTGTGACCTCTGGTCTCCGCCTGGTTGCCGGTGACTCGGTTCGTCACTTCTCTCACTCTCTCCGACCCCAGGAGCTGGAGGCAGAGGTGGCGCGCCTGCGGACGTGCAAGGAGGAGATGGAGCGCCGACTGCAGGAGGCGAGCGACGAGTCGCAGCAAGTGAGGCCGTCGTTAACGAGGCAAATCGGATGGATAGCAACGATAGATGACCGCATGTGCGGCAGTGTTAACACGGAAAGCATAGAAGTATGATACATTAAGCCCCAGTATCGAGCAGGACGGCACCAATACGGCAGCCTCAAGGGCCCGGGACCCCTCTTCAATGAGTGGGGGTAGCCAGAACCAACAAGTCCCAGTGGTGCATTGGGATCTACGGATAAAATGCGCCATGCAAATGTGAATTATTATTATTAATAACAAGGAGTTGCAGCACAGTTCCAGGGTCAGATGGGGCCTGTGATAGAGACGGGAGGCGAGAACACGGAGGGGAGAGGTCAGGCAAGGGTCAGGAGACATCGTTTGGAGGTAAAGCCAAGAGATGCGGGCGGGGGGGGGGGGGAAACGGGGTGGAGAGAAATATTTAAAAAATGTGACACATGGAAAGTCAGGGAGACGAGGAAATATGGTGTCCCTCCGTCCACCTGTACAAGGACACTTGACGTGTCCTCGCAGCTGCCCTGTGTACCCCCTGTCGCGATGGTCACTCAGATCTCTTCGAACCTGGAGGAGGCCCACCGCTGGTTTCGTGATAAATTCGACTCCCTGCAAACAGAGCTGCACGTCGCCAAGCGGCGAGACGGTCCCGCACGCTCCACCACGGTGAGCCACACCACTGCAGCCACACCGTGCCTCAACCCACACTCCTCAGAGCCGCACTTGATCCCACCACACCTCACCGTGCCCCATCACTGAAAACGAATTTCTTTAGCACTGATTTTTGCCTTCAGTTTGTCGTCCTTCCCCCGCACCTACGATTAGCACGGCTGGCTACGTACGGTGCAAAAGAAGTTCAACATACGTAGTGTCCACCACACCACGGCCCCACCAGGCCCACAGCATAGTTCACCACACTCCAGACCGCTACGTCACACAGCCCTCCACCATTGTTATTTGTTCCGTCTGTTTTCTATCGTGTTGTTTTACTCCATGAACCCGCATGTGACGCGTGCATATCATTTGCATTTAACTTGTTTTTTTTAAATCAGATGTTCACTCGCCCCAGTCTGATGCACGCATCTCGAGCATAATAACCGTTGAATAGACGCATCGTGCAGCAGCAACAACAACAAAACGTTCCGCGCGAGTATCGCCAAACGTGGCTGGTGCGGGGATCAGGATAACGCGTGCGAGGCGGCTGCCGCACACACACGTCACGCCCCCACGCACTCCCCTGTGCACGCGAGCTCTGGCAAGATTTCACTTGACCAAGAGGGTTCAGGACCGTTATCCGACTTCTCACACTGGTGTCACGCCACCGTCCATTTCGTGGGGTTAGTCCGACACTTAATGTTGAACGTGGTCGGACGGGGGCGGCGTTTGCTCACAATGCAATGAAATCTCGCAGAATTTGGCGCCCGACGCTGGGCCAGATGCTGCGAGATCGTGCGTGCAGGGGTCGACGAGGAAACCCCGGGACGGACGAGGAGGCGAGGACGCCAGGCTGCAGCCGCTGGTCGGCCGCTGCCGGGCGAAGCAGGAGCTGCGTCTGATGGCTCGCAACCGACAGGAGCCCTCCACCACCAACACCGTAACCATTCCCCAACCGTCTGCCAGTGGGCAGGAATGAGACGTCCATTATGCTATGGCCGATCCCAATCCACCTCGATATATGCAGTAAATGAATTTTATCCGTGGCAATGCTTTAATGTTGCTGCTCTGAAGGATTTCGTTAAGTGTGTTTATCAGCCGGTATTATTCTACTCAGCGGAGACTCATCCATCCACTCTAAGGGGTCTGATAATTGAACGAGATTAGCGTTTTTGTACAATCTCTTTTGGGATAATTTTGCATGATGTGTGTACGTGCAGTCCCTTAAAACAATCGACTGGTGGATGAGGGGCTCCCCACACTGCAGATCACGTGGTTGGAGGTAGAGAAAGTACAATGCTTTGGATTTTCCTGCACGACGTGAGAATTGTATTTTATTGTGTTTTATTATTTCCCTTCTACGTGACTTTACTGAAAGAACCAAGAAGAGGGATGGAGATTACCACCGCTTGTGGGAGAATAACACGAAAATAGGAGTCTAACTCGAAGTTTCAGACAGGGCCTCATAAGAGTTTCCAGTCTCCCATGGCCTTTGCAAAGCCGTGAGAGTTGAACTGCACATGTTGTCGCTTTCAATTACAGTATATTGGTTTGTGAAGTGGAATGTCGGTTGAGCTGACAGACTGGGTGGACCATGAACCAGATTTATTTATTCACTAGAGGCCACATTTAACTCAAACGGCATTTATATTTATTAGCAATACAATAACAGTTGGTTGAGATTGTATTAATTTATTGCTTAGGCAGGAAGGAGATGCTACAGACAAAATATTGTACTTTTCTAAATGTTAATTACTGCATTTTGCACTCTGTAAAGTGTAATGCTAATGTACACATGTACATTAAAATTCCAAGTTTTTAAAGTGGGTTTTAACATTTTTTCACATCACCTTTACAATAAAACCATTGTGAATATGAATCGTAGTCTTTGCACACAGGAAAGAATGTGTAAGCCATATTTTATTTGGAACTTGAACATTTCACATTTATACTGACCACAAGGGGCGGTTACCCATCACCTTAATCTCATAGCCCTGTCCCTCATAAGCAGGGCATCAGTTTCTCTGCAGTCGCATGAAGAGGTCCAACTTGCAGCATAGGCCACTTATTTCCACACTGGCAAAGTCACGATTGGATTAATCCAGACTTAAACTGTGGGGCGGGCGAAGGTTTGGCTCTTGAGAGCGACACACCAATAGATGAGTCGCAGAGAGGTTAATTAGATAAACACGATAATGGGCAATCCGACAACACGGACATGTAAGTGCTCATGTGCCCAGGCGTTATGATGTCACAATGCCTTGTGAACACCACATGGCCTGCCAGCACCTGCCAATAATATCATGCGGGCCTGCCAGGAAGTGCAGTTGGAATCATGACGGATTCATCCTCATCACCGTCACAAATCCTGGTGGGGAAACAGGAGCCCAAGTGCCCAAGTGCCCAAGTGAACGCACGCGCGCTTCGAAGTAACACCAGACCCGAACCCGGAACTCATCCAATGTGCGAGAACCAAATTAAATGACAAATCTCACCCTCTCGTTCAAGTGCCAACGAGCGCGGCTCATAACAGAGGCAGCTTTTTCTTTTTTTACGGCGATTGACAAAACCGCAGGCTGCGTTTCCCCCCCTGCCTCTCCCGAGGTGTCCTCTCTTCCTCCTCTTGTGTCGGCTTGGGATGAGGAACGATTCACTCGGCTCACTTCTTTTTCACCGACAGGAAGTTGCTGCAAACACACAACAAAGACATCAACAAGCCGTTCATACCCCCCCCCACTCCAGCCCCGCAGTCTTGACGGTTTTTTGACAAGATTGAAAAGGGAACAGGCACATGACGGAGGACGAAATCGGACGAAGGATGCCCGTGCAGTTTGTAGGCACGAAACTACGCATACGTGGACTCTTCATTGCTCACGATGCAGGCACTCAATTGCGTAAGAATCGATTATCTTGTTTTATACCCACTCGCAAATGGACTTGACGGTCTTAAGATGTATGCTAATGGCGCAAAACATCTACGAGAGAAACGATTCAAAGGGAAGATAATGAATTGTCGAATAAAAATTTTTCCGTGTCATAATTTCGTGGACTGGCTGGAGAGAGCGAGTTGGCAATAGTTGTGGTTAACGACACTCCACTTACCTCGCTCTATTCGTGTCCAGCGCGAAGGTCACCATGGAGGGAACAGAAAAGAGAACACAGTAGGAGTTAGTGGAATGTAGGCTTTACACACATTAAGCAATTTAAATGTCACCTTTTTTTTTAAAGGACACACCCCAGTGGCAACTTTTCCGGTGGGCGCAAGGCGACTTTGGCGCCTGGCCTGCCATCGGGACACTTCTGTGTCAGAAAGGGGGCAGCATCAGATTGCTGTGCGTAATCCCAAGCGAGTGATTTGTGGGTCATTTTTCAAACGTGGTCCCGTGGCAGCGGCACACAATGGCCGACTCGTTTTGACCGACGTCGGGGGATCTTTGATGTCCACTATGAAGCAGCGGGCATGTCGTATTTTACAGGTTAATACCGCAGCATTGACCAGGGTGGGCGCCGGCTTCGAACAACAGACCTCTGCAACAAACAGCAAACCCACTACCACTGGGCCACGACATTCGTAATGCAAGTGCGGTTTCACAGGTTAGGGGCTGCGTGTTAATCACATCCTTTATAAACATGCCACCTAACCAGGAAGACCACATTTGAACCAAAAGATGATGACATTTGGGTCCACTAGCCAAGAGCTTTTTCCAGCTCCGGATGGGTTTTGACTTCAATAGTCTCAATGGTCAGGGTACAGCCCTATTTGAGCAAATCCCACTTGGCCGCCTGGTGTTAAGAGGCAGGAGCTCCTCCACAAACACCGTGAACGGCTCATCCAGCATCGCTGTGATAATACTGGAAGAGAAGTCGCCATTGCTGAGACTGTGCAGTGCCATCCGGGACCTCCCCTAGGTCGACTCAGCCTCAAATGAGTACCTGGTGCACTGTGTAAAATCATCGCCACTGGGGAGACAAAGGCGGCCAGTCGTGGTGCTGGCCACCGACCCCCTCGTGTACCGTGCCGGCCTTCATAGCTGCTCGCTGAGGGCACTTGCCCCAACAGTCTGCGAAAGGCTACACGGGTTGATCTTTGTGTTTGTATCCCAGGGACGGAACGGCACGTACTTGTCGAAGCCCTCCTCCTGGAGGTTGAGGATGAGGCTCTCAGAGTTCAGGTAGATCCTGTTCTGGGAGGCAGCCACCTGCAAAATGGGCACACACAATGAGTGACACCGTCCCGTTAGCGGATTTCCATTCTGCCCGACGACACTTTCATGACACAGACATCTTCAAAGTCCCACACGACTCAAATTCCCACCCTTCCCACTTCTCTTTTTTCCTGGTGTTCATCCCAAGTGTTTCAGGTTTCAAACACACTTTTAAATCTAGACAACTCGTTTCTTTAGTACTGCTTTTTGTGTTTGAGCTTGTCCTTTCCCACACTTCCGATTGGCTACGTACAGTACGATAAGTTCAAACATACATACATGACAACTTATCGAACAACAATCCCCATATACACCTTTCCTTTAATCTTCTGGGCTATCTCCCTTTGCCGGTGCACTCCACTCTCAAACCTTCCTTCATTTCGCAAGCCAGCAATCGCTCCCCCACCCCCCGTGCCCCCCCTTCCAACCCCAAGTGTCGTTACCGTCTTGGCGATGTTCTGAGCGGCGCGGATGCGTCTCAGCTTGAGGTAGCCGGGGTTCTGGCTCAGCGACGCGCCGATGTGCACGCGGCTTGTTGAGGAAAACGCAGACGGCTGCCGTTGCCACGCTACTCGGTGTGTCACGCACACGTCCTCCAAACGCCACGGCTCATTCAGGGGGCGGAGGTGCCCCGGGCAGTTCATTTTTCTCAGACCCCATTACCTCTAACTCAGTCCAATTACTTCGACACCCACGGGAAGGGAGTTTTAGACACACAGCATTAGCGCGATCCAACCCTCGCATTCAGTGCCTGTTTACGGGCGTGCGCCGCCGCCACCACCGCCCGGGCGAAAAGGCAACTGGAGGCAGAGTCAACAGGTTTCCGTCTTGAGCCCGAGAAGCGGTGCGTTATCGATGCAGCGCCGAGCCACAGAATCCAAGGATATCATTTTTGCCGACTCAGCCTCTCCCTCCGCCTGCACAATCTTCTGCCTCTGCTCCTGCTTGGCCTTCTCCACGAAGAACTGAGCCCTCTGAGCCTCCTGCTGGGCTGCACGCAGACAGAGCCAACAACAACACACCTCAAAACATGACAATGACACGGCATCATTTTATATTCACCTCGGCAAGCCTCACCGAGCCTCGGTAAGATTGGGAGGTAAAACCCGAGTGCCTGGAAAAAAAACGTGCAATGTGATGGGACAGCGCCAACAACTCCGCGTGTCAAACAAACTGCAACGTTGCATCCAGGAAAGGCCCACCAAGGCTCAAGACTTTCTCGGGAAGATACCTCATTAGAATGTTTGGCCAATTCCTTTTTAACGAGTGCTTCGCATGCTTTACACCACACCTCAAATTGATGTCATAACCTCTGTACATGCACTCACTCAGCGGTACCTCTTCTCCAGGTCTCTCTCATCTCTTGTTCATCTCTTTCATGTCAACTCTACGTCTCATCGCTTTCAACAAATCAGTCCGTCTTCATGTCTCGGCAGGGCACTCCTTGAGCCTTCTCGGCCCACCTCTATTCCGCTGACCAACCAGTTGATGAACCCCACTCTATGCCACTACCGTGCCAGGCCTCCATGGCTACTCATGGTAAATGTGTGGCAGGTTTAACAATTTCCCTACAACTGCCCCGGATTATCACGGCCTTTAATCGCAGCAGCGCAGCTGTTCCTTGTCATGCGAGCCCGAGACTCATGGCGAGAGACCAGGGTTGTCTGCGAAGGAAACGTTGCTCTGGCGCTGAGCGGCGCGGTACCGTCACGGCAAAAGGCTGCACCGATGTGGCCTCTCGGCGCCGGCTAGACACGGCGGGCAAGCAAGCAAAAGTGTAATCGGAGCCACACGTGGCCAGGAGGCCAACGGATCCACAGCAGGGCCTCGTGGGTTTGCGGAGCCACGTACCGACTTGCTTGGCCTCCACGGCGGCCGTGTACTCTCGGCTGAAGCTCAGCTCCGTGATGGCCACGTCGTCGAGGATGATGTTGAAGTCCTTGGCACGTTCTTTGAGGTCGCGGCGGATCAGCAGGGATACCTGGGGGTCGCATGGGAGCAAAGGCTCGGTCACTGCGGCCGTCGCGACCGCCACTACTGCTGCTACCGCCCTACCACATTGTCCACCAGTCACCACCATGACTGCCACCACCACCGCTATCACCATCATCACTAACACTGTCGCAATCAACACGACCATCACGACTATCGCCATCAAAGCCATCAATATCACTGTCGATGCCAACATTATCATATCCAACAACACTACTCCTACGATCAACATGACCACCACCAATATCACCCCATCCAACACCGTCACCCCAACCACCACCATAATCCCAACCACCACAATCATCGTCGCCACCGCTATCGCACCTCCGATTAGCACGGTTGGCTCTTTACAATGCAAGTTCAACATACATATACATTCACCATCAACCCAACAACGTCAGCTCCAGTGCCACCACCACCCACCCCCACAAGACCCGGGTCCCGCTTCACGCACGCACACACACACACACCTGCGCTCGCTGCGTGATGAGCTGGGAGGCGTTGAACTTGGCGACGACGCTCTTGAGCACCTCGTTGACGATGGAGGGCAGCACGCGCTCCTCGTAGTCCAGGCCCAGCTGCTGGAACATGCGCGGCAGCTTCAAGGCGTCGGGCCTCGACAGCACGCGCAGTGTGATGTTCACCATCTGCAGGTCTGTGTACCGCAGTGGGACATGGGGGGGGTCAAGGTCAAGAGGTTGTTTCGCCACCACCAGCCACTTGTCATCGCTTTCTTTTCTACAACGGCAAGGCAGTTGGTGGCAGGTGAAGCAATGGGCAGTAGGTTTTGGCCTCTCCTTGCGTTTTTGGATGGCACCGTCACAACAGGAGGCTCATCCACCTTTGGCGATGCTGCGGTTACTTAGAATCTATAAGAGATGCGTTTTATCCTTTTGTTAATAGGTCTCCTTGCCGATTACCATCATTTACCACTACCACATAGCCACCTATGATAATTATAAACTGGCATGTATCCAAGCATTATCCAGATTCAAACTTGTTTGTCTTCTATTCTGATATGATGGGGCGCACTTCAGTCATTCGTTCATAGGCCATCATTTATTTGGATTTTATAATAGCAAAACATAACTGTATAAAACAACACTGGCTTTAGCCAGCACACGATGCATGCTCCTCCCACCTTTGCTTCCAGTGGGCGAGGAAATCTTCCTGGGCTTGGCTCGGATGTCGTAAATGATCGGATAATGGAACCAGGGAATCCTGCAACAGGAAAAAAATAACACAAGCAAAACCACATATGTAGAGAGTATCAAAGACACAGCAGCCATTACACAAGGAGGCAACACTTCTACTAAGTTTTTGTTCGCGGTCCTCCGCCTCCCGTGCACCGTTTGCCATCAGATTACCAAAGAACGGCGCTCATTGCTGTAGCGATTCCCGTCGCTGGGCTCCCGTCTGGGCTCACAGCTGTCTCTTGTGCGCAGTCCAGCCGGACGGCCGCCTCCGTGGCCTCTCGGTAGGACGGCCGCCGTGGGCCGTAGGCGAGCTTTACGTCGCCTCGAGTGCGTCAGCCACCCCGGCTGCTGCTGTCGGTTCAGTTTTACGACCAAATCGCCAAGCTTTGCAAAAAACGGCCAAGATTCCGAACCGGCCCGGGAGCCCGGCACGCGGAGTCACAGCCTCGCATTCGCCTTTGTATCATCATTTGGCAAACGGTGGCACGCACGCAAATCCATCGTTTCTCAGGACCTGCTGCTGTTGCTGCCGCCGGCATTGAGTAGTATGGGGCGGCGACGACCGAGTTAAAGGTAAGATGCCGAGTGGGTCTCGGAGGTGAATGCGGAGTTAGATTCATCTTCTTGGTTCTTTCGGTAAAGTCACGTAGAAGGGAAATAATAAAATAAAACATAATAAAATAATTCTCACGACGTTTCGGCCACAACGCAAGATAATTATTTTATTATGTTTTATTTTTATTATTTTATTATTTCCCTTCTACGTGACTTTACCGAAAGAACCAAGAAGATGAATCCCTGCAGTCACGAAAGCTTTAAATCGAAATTTACGGAGTTAGATTGTCACCTGAAGTGCAGCCCCTCGGCCAGGATGGTATTCTCCTGAATGCCTCCCAGGCGGCTGAAGATGATGGCACGCTGTCCACCATCCACTGTGCGCGGAGAGGGTGAGACAAGCGAGAGGAGATTTAAAAAAGAAACGCAATTTTCAATCATCACAAAACATGAATATTCCTCAGTCCTGTCATGCCACAATCCATATTACGCTCCCACGAACGGGCTTACTTTCATCACTTCAATCTCAGAAGCCGCAATTCGTCGCACAATCCCGCAAGCACAGCCGCCTCTCACCGGTGTACGTCGCCTCCTTAGCAGCGTAGGCGAGGGCCCCTGCTCCGATCAGCAGCTTCAGCCCCGTGCCCAGACCCCGAGGAGCGCCCCCCATCTTCCCAGCGATGTCCTTGAGCTGCTGAGCCATTGTGAGCGAGGTCTGCGGCACCGTAGCAGAAGCAGCAGTGATGACAACGAAACGAAGATGTCGACAATCGGGAGTCAGTAATAACCATTGGATAAGCTCCTACTTAAACAACCCTCCAGTCGATAAGTATATTATAGTTGCCCTATATATTGTGATATGCCGGGTGGCACTATTGATCAGAGCATTTTCACTCTGTTCCAAGGAGAATTTTAATTTTGGTCGACGTTTGACAGCACAATCAAGTTCGAGAAAATGAGCACAACTTTGTTGAGGGTCAACAGTGGTCTAGCCCTAGTAATAAACTGGTCCTTGTCATGGGAATTCTGAATTAATATAGCAGACTTTAAACAAATTAATGAGTGCGATATTCCATGTTATGTAGGGGGCTGGGAGCAATGCTCCATGAACCGGGCCATCTGGGTTCAAATCCCTGGCCATGGCTAACATCAGGGTCAGGGGCGCCACGATGGAGAGATGTTAACAACCTTGCGTGGTATACAGGAGGACGTGGGCTCGATCCCGACACCTGTATATTTGCAGTTTGCGTGTCTCTCTCCCCGTGGATATTTCTCCGGTTTTGTTCCTCTCCACAGTTAGACTCAACATCACGCGTTCGGAGTATTTGGCTGCTCATAAATGTCAACACGATGATGAGCCACTTAGTTCAACTATCATTTGTGATAGCCAGGTCGATCTGTAAGAGAGCTATAGAGCTCAAACTAAAAATAATAAATGTCTAGAGTGTTGTAGGTGTCGATCCTGGCCAGACCCTCAGGGCTAAACCCCCTCCACCCCCAAGTATGGTGAAACAACCTCCATCACACCATCCTCACACGGCGTGGGGGAGAGTCTTTTTTTCAACGGTTTTACTTGAAAGCTGTGTCGTGGTCAAATCTTGTAATCAAGAGTTAGTCTACTTCCTGTTGTCCAATCAATTCCAAATTTTGCACACGTACTCGGATCCGGTGACAATGCACGCCTGTATTAAGTGATGAATTAATTGCCTCCTTTCAAGCAATTACAATTTTTTCATGGACGGCCCTAAACTGTGGAATCGGCTCGCACAAAAAGCAGGCGTCGCGTGTCTCTTGTAATCAAGATGTCGTCCACTTCCCCTTGTCCAATCGAGTTATTTACTTTTTAGTGCACTTTAAAATAAAACCGTTGTTTTTAAATAAACTTTTAAAAGGAGTTTATTTAAAGCCAGGTTTGACAAACGCCTGCATAACATTTTGAGCGCTGCGTAACATTTTGAAGTAAATCATTTTTTGGCTTGCATTCATCATCCGCTTTCAGTCACGGATCATTGCTTTTAAATTAAAAAGTCCCCAGGGGGAGTGAACCCACAGAGAACAGAGGTTGGTGCTCTCAGTTTAATCAAGCACGCACACGATGTTGCGACTTGCGAGCAGAATTGAACCCCTGACCGCAACTGAACTCACGACCGCGCGTGGTCCTTCGGAAAAAAAACGACCCCCTTCTGCCTTCATCGATTGCGTCCGATTCGCGAAATCTGTGCGCGATGAAAAGCGTTAATTGTGAACAAACGCGATGAATGTTCAAGTGAGCCACGACCGTCCGTCGTGAATATGGCTTCACAATAGAGAGGAAGCTGAAGGTCCGAGCAATGACGATGTTTGCCATTTGGACTTACGCAACACCTTGCAACGCAGTCCCTTAATTGTTCCGATGACCAACGATACAATAAATAGCTTACACTGTACGCACACACAAACACATTATCAATCGACTGCTGGACTAAGGCCTTGCCCCTACTCCGTGTGTGTGTGTGGGTCGTAGGGGTTATTCGAACGTGCGTGGTCTAGTGCGGGCTAGTGTAAACGCAAAAGAACGCCTAAGCTCTCGCGCCTGATAATCGCGACGTCACAAAACACCGCTGAGACTAACGGATCGTACATATTTTAAACGCCCGCACATCCAATGTATAGTAGTACTCGCACATACGCAACATACTAAAACACACACAAAGGCAATTCTCAGCACCCTTAACGCGGCAGCGGCAAGGCCCAGCGAGGCCTACTCAAGTCTAGGCTGCAACACAAACATCCCAAAACAACCACCACCATCACCAACACACCGGACAGCCGACGAAGCCGACGCGAACTCAACTCCCGCGGTGTTGCCGAGAGAAACGCGGCGGCCTAGGGGGTGGACTGGAGCCACACGCGCACCTTGGGATCTGCGGCGTCTCGGGAGAGGCGGTGGCAGCAGCAGCAGTGGCAGCAGCCGCACGCAGCACCACGTGTCGCGGGGATGACCTTAGAGCACGTGGGGCAGGGGAGGGGGAGACAGGGGGCGTGGCACGCGTCTCCCATTGGTCCATTGCGAGTCACGTGGTGGGGAATTCTCGGAACCGCCATTGGTTGGTTTTTTTCTCAGGTGGTGGGGGGGAGCAGGAATCGATTCGAGTTAGACATTTCGATTTTTTTTAAGTGTTTTTTTTTACTGTGTGTGTTATTGTTGTTGTTGTTGTCGTGAAGTGTGTCGCCGCCTCGTGTGTTCCCCGTAGCTCGAGTCTGCGTGCGCGTGTGTTTAATCGTCGTTTTGTAGAACGTCGACCGGCGTACGATTCCGCGCGATCGATTGTAAACCACCGCGCGATTCCTCCGTATAGCCGATGGCGTATCAATGCTGTTACTCGAACGCAACGAGAATCGGATCGTTCAGTCAGAATCGAAACACCGTTGTCGTGACACCCGTGGGATGAGGACGGGGTGCCCACTTTGTCAGCAGAGGGCAATGCTCCCAAAGTCCTTGTGTTGTGCTGTACTCCGCTCCACTTGTCTATGGCTCCCCCCGCCTATCACAAACCTGCGCTGGCCAGCGCTGGGAATCAGGGCTGTACGTGAAGATATTTATATACAATGTGGATATTTTATTTTATTTCTACCTACGTGACTTTACCGAAATAACCAAAGAGTATGTATATTTAAAGTTAAGCTTTTATCATATTTGTCACCATATTGCATATTACAAACACCTCCCCCCCCCCACACACACATGGTTAGTGGTGGTGAAGGTGGTTTGGTGGTGGAAGGGAGGGGGGGCCCTAAACCTGCATTAGCGGCGCGATCCTCTTTAAAACGCACGTGGCTGTGGCGGGCTATGCAGGTTCCGGGGCCGTGACGGACTATGCAGGTTCCGGGGCCGTGGCGGGCTATGCAGGTTCTGGGGCCGTGGCGGGCTATGCAGGTTCCGGGGCCGTGACGGGCTATGCAGGTTTTGGGGCCGTGGCGGGCTATGCAGGTTTTGGGGCCGTGGCGGGCTATGCAGGTTCCGGGGCCGTGGCGGGCTATGCAGGTTTTGGGGCCGTGGGGGGCTATGCAGGTTCCGGGGCCGTGGTCGAGGTTATGCAGGTTCCGGGGCCGTGTCCGGCCAATGCAGGTTCTGGGGCCGTGGCGGGCTATGCACGTTCCGGGGCCGTGAGGGGCTATGCAGGTTTTGGGGCCGTGACGGGCTATGCAGGTTCCGGGGCCGTGTCCGGGCAATGCAGATTTTGGGGCCGTGGCGGGCTATGCAGGTTCCGGGGCCACCCACTCCCCCCCGTCTGTTGTTGTAAGGCGCCCCTGGGTCTTGCTGTTGACGGCAACGTTGAAGGTGAGACGTTTTTATTTTATTTTATTCCCTTGACCTGCGATTGTTTTAAAAATCTGTCAACTTGTGCTTTGTCTTCTGCATGTTTAACAAAAAAACAACGCGTGGATTCGGCGCTTGCCGTTGTTAACAAATAAAAATAATAATAATTATCCCGTTATCGATTGAGGCCTGCGGTATATGCGGCGGTCTCGGATAGATCGCCGGCCGGGTTGGAGGGCACCTCGCCCGGCCGAGCCAGGGCCTTGGGTGGCTGCCCACCCCGAACACAAAAGTCCCCGGCCTCAACAACAACAAAAAAACACGCGTCAACTTGTAAACGTCGCGTTGTTATTTGTTGTGTTGAGTCGCCTTACAACAACAACAACAAAACAATCAAGGACGTTACACAGAGTAGGAGTTGCATTGCAGACGCCCGCGAGAGAGAGAATGCCGACGGCTTTGAGAGAACTTCAACCAGCAGTGGATTTATCTTTGCCTGACGTTCGTGGTGGATGTGACTCAGGGTGTTCATAATGCCACCATCGATTAGGATTAAGCCGCGCATCTCAGTGCGGGAGCCTTACTAAAATACGTTGATGCTCGTCCAAGCTTCACGTGCTATTATAAAGGACATTGTTGTGATAGAGACAGACAGAGTGGGGTCAATGTGATATCGGAGCATTGCGCTTGCACTGCTTCTCAAGAATTCGGATTCCTACTCTTAGGTTTTTTCGGTAAAGTCACGTAAGTAAAAAATAAGAAATGAAAATAAATCAATTCATTCACGACGTTTCTGTAAATTTAGCTGTGACGGTCCCACCTGAAGACGGAGACTTGTGTTGCCTCCGAAACGTCGTGATTTAATTGATTTATTTTCATGCAGTATTATTTTATTTTATTATTTTTTACCTACGTGACTTAACCGAAAAAACCTAAGAGTATGAATCCTTGCAGTCACGAAAGCTTCAAATCTATTCGGATTCCACAGACTCGCCTAAACCCACACGGTTCATTCCCCTTTATATACAAAAAAAAACTAATTTTGTGTGTTTCGTTTGTTGTCCTTCCCCGGCACCCTCCGCTAAGCACGATTGGCTAAGAACGGTAGGAAATAAGTTCAATAGACAAGAGATACATAGATTTACATGGAAATCCATGATATGCTTAAAGACCCATCGACTCGTATTGAGACCCATAGACTTTCCTGGACACCAATAGATCGACTGAGCTGTGATTAAACCGTGTTCTCGAGTGTAATGGGTTGAAAGCCTTAGCCCAGTTGCTAACGGCTCAACCAAAAAGCATGATTGAGGTTGGGTTTTTACTCAATCTGGCATATTATACAATTTGGGAATACATCTTTTTAAAATATATTGACAAACCAGGGCATATGAGAGATGTGCCCCTATTGTCAATAAAATACGTAATAAGTAAATAGTTCTGTGATGCCATCTTCGATTGTCAATTTATTGACACATGGTAATGCTCTGCTTTCTGCAAAGAGCTTCCATGCAAACATATATGTTGCACTACATGGACCCCATATGATTGTACAATTGGATAACCATTGGGAAAATGTACAAAATCACTGGATGACATTTTTGTTTGCACATTTGTTTAAGAAGTTATTTTTTTCAAATGTTGTTTTGTGTTTGAATGCATATGGTAACAAATGTTTTACGTTGCTTGCTTTAAATAAAGACACTTTAAAAAAAGTAAACAACTCTTGCACAAAATAACTTAGGCTTTGTGTTCTCAGCTGTCTAGTAATGTCACTGCCGTATATTTTAAAACGTTAATGCAGACCACACGATCCCTGACCGCTTGATAATTGACTGATTTTTAAACTCTTTGAGCTCATTAAGGAGGTTTCGAACTTTACGCTGAACGTCTTTAAATACATCGATATGCCGTACTGCTTTTATATTTTTTATTTTATTTTGCAAAGCATCAAATGCCATTGCATTTAGACGCTAAGTCCATTGAAATTATTGCTGTTTGAGTTGTCCCAGTTATCACAGGTGTAATGTCTCAGTAGTAATGTAATGAACTCATGATAAATCTTGACTTAAAGCTTTCGTTACTGCAGGAATTCATATTCTTGGGTCTTTCGGTAAAGTCACGTAGATAGGTTCAGGAAAAGCCTTTTCCTGAAGCCTTTTCGTTAAAAGACGACCGCTTGTGTTGCGATCAAAATTTCGTGGTTTTCTTTTTTTTTTACCTATCTACGTGACTTTACCGAAAGACCCAGGAATATGATCTCATGATGGCTAAGTAATTCGTTGATTTCCACACTATGGGTGACTCTTCAGAGTCTCAGCACCATCATCTGCATCATCATCCTTTCATGGTTGCTAAAATCAACATAACTGATACATCTGTACCACTTTATAGGAAGTCCTTTTTTAGCATATGGTCATGGCTTCATTTTCATCTGGGTTTGTCTGCGTCGGTCATCTGGGATGTTTATTTACCCAGCACACCACATCCAATGTAGCTCTCGCTATGCCACGTACCTACTGTAGACTACCAGCACGCGCCTCTCCCAGTCCACCTGCAACCCGGATACAATTCCAGCGAGAAATGAAGCCCTGCACACAACGAACAAACTATACCTGGATTAGAAATGTGGAATTTTCTCCATTGGCTAAGGACAGTTTAAATAGTTAACAATGATTATATCAGTTATGCTATTGGGAAGTTATAGGTGATGCGAGTCATTATTTAACGCTGTTTTCTGCTACGATATTGGCTTTGCCCGCTCTTGGTCAGGATGTGTTACAGTAGCAATGAGTTGTGATATGTAGACACGTATTTCGACACTGTATAGACCCATTGTGGCGAACATGCACGCAACAAGTCATATCTGCCAAGGGCAGGGTCAGAGTAAACGTTCGAGTACTTTGTATTCTTTTTAATTTGTTTTGACGTTATCGCTTGGCGTGCGCCTCTTGTGGCCAATGTTTGCAAAGGTGACCTTGTTGATCCTCACGTCTGGAAATGTCAGAATTGCGGCTTTGTTCTATTGCCCATGGTGTGTCTCAGACGTGCAATAGGATTACATATGTCTTGTGTTTAAAAATAAATACATATATTCGTTCCCGGTCTATTTTTAACAGGTCATTTAATTATTGGCTTGGTCATTATGAACGTAAGCGCTTTTGAGCTATACGCTGTAAGCCGGTTAAAAATGGGAAAATTAATCCTATTGCTTAAAAACAAACTTATACAGAATATTTTGATTGGGTTGAGGTTATGGATGGTTTTACTGTTTGATCACAATATATACTGTGTCGAGTTTTGGTTTGTGATCCAGGGTTTCCTTGAAAGATAGATGTCTGATATAGATAAAATACCTATGTGTGTGTATATACAGTATAGCCACCCCAATGCACTGACTTTGTCACCATCCCGAGTGTCGAGTCCTCGCCATAGGAATGTGGAATTTACACCACTGGCTCATTGACTGGCCAGTGCTCACTCGAGCACAGTCACTTTGAATTTGAACGTTGAGTAAATCAAATTCAGTAGCTACGCAGTAAACTCCTCTGTCCAAATCCCTATCAATGTGCCCAATTTTTGCCAGACCTCAGAAGCTGAACAGGGTTGAGCCTGGATGTTACTCAAATGGGAGACCGCCTGAGAATACCAGGTGTTACATGCTCGGGCTGTAAGTTGGCCAAGAGATGGCAGTATAGCAGTGGAATATTGAATCTGTCGATACAGCGCTTTGAGTGTTTCCTCCTCTTCTGCGTTTCTTTTTCTCTATGGCCTCCATTTTCCTCCAATGTGTCAAACAATCATTAATGGAATTTGTCCAAACATCCCTATCAAGGCTGAGTGAGGCTTTCCCCGGGTAAAGGGCATTTTTATTACTGTCATGCCGTTGAACAAAAAGCACCCAGAATGTTGCTGATCTTATCCGATTCCAGAAACAAACAAGGCTCGTGCCTGAATAGTCCTTGGATTGTGACCACCACACATAAAACATGTGTCAGGCTGCTAAGGGATAGTGCAGCAAAACCCATTGTTTTGCTCCACTATAGCCCAAAGTCTGCGCTGCATGGCCAACTCAACCCCACAACATGCATGGCATGGGGAAGCCCTCATCCAGCAATGGATTCACAAAGGGCTGTAAATGTACATGCACATATATATACACAATATTCGATGAAGACTGTAAAAGTGATATGGTGCTAATTGTAATGACACGGTTTTCATGCATTGATCACCATTGTTGGTGTTACGTGGTTTGTTACATCATGAGCCCATTGAAGATGAATTTATAAAAGGGCTGTACATGTTCATCGCTATGACAGCAGCATTTAGATTAAGTCGGTATTTTTGTTACATTTTTCTTTAAAACAGACGCAGGGAGGAGGGGGTAGCTGTTGGCGGCTGACGGCCCGGTCGTGGTGGTGGTCTCCGCTGAGACGAGGCAGCCATGGCGATGCGCGAGCTGGTGGAGGCGGAGTGCGGCGGAGCGAACCCACTCATGAAGCTCACGACGCACCTCACGCAAGATCATGCGCTGCGGCAGGAGGGCCTCGGACGCCCGCTCTGGCCACCACCGCAGGCGTTACCCGATGCTTCCGTGGTAACATGGGGGGCGGTGGGGGCGGGCTTGCGATGGGGATCGTGGGCGGGGGGGTCATATTTCATTGCAGGACCTCTCTGACACTAATTGTTGCCACGTACATTTGTAATCTGGGCTACACGCACGTCCCAAGATTATCTCAGTAATTTTCCAGACCGAGCCAATTGGAGGCAATAGTATGCCAAGGACATATTTGGGAAATATCCGGCAATAGTTGCTACGACTGGCAGTAGTTGCAACAATTAACAATTACCAATGGTTGCTGCGCCATTTCCTATTGCAAAAAAACGAGTTGCCCTTATCTGAATGAATCAGATTGTGATGTGATAGGAGATTGCCATTCCATTTGCCTGCCACAAGGAGAACAGAGTCCACATGACCACCTGAGATTGTGTTCTCTCTGTGGACCAATCGTTATTCAACAGACACACTTTTCGACATACTCTGTCTTTATTGGCCTGATACGACTCTGTCGCTCTATGCCATTGCTGTGCAAAGTTGCCATAGTCATGCCGGCTGCAGCGGTTTTTAGGGACAAACCCCATAAGCAATGAGGCACGTAACGATTGATTGATTTGTCGAGTCGGATTTATTCTAACACCACAATGTGTGAGAATCGATTATTTTTCAATCTTCCAATTTACACACCAATGTGACCTGTGTACTAATAGTAACAACGACGTGGAGAGAATATTATAATACGAGCGGCCACTGGTGACGATTACCTCGGTACATAAAGGGTGTAGGTTTTTATTTTTATTTCTCTCAGTGTTGTTTGTGAAGAGAATACAGAGTGGATGGCACCGCAGGGTTAAACATGCTGCAAGGACAAACGCGCGTGCTCGTGAATAATTCGAGCACGGTTATAATTGAAGGGACGTGTTGGCTGTGGGCAGAGCCGCTGAGCGGCCTCGTGTATGAACTGGCAAATGCTCTGGAACATGACTTGAACTAAAAAAAATCTTGCACGAATATTTTGGGAGGTGATTGATTTCTGGCTCGGTGTCGAGCCGCCCGATATATTTTGCGTTTAACGTCTGTAATCGTTTGCAGGTATCCAAGCCGCTTTCCCAAGCGTCTGAGATCGAGGTGAGAGCCACAGCTGTACAGTAAATATCCACAGTTTCACTTTCGTTTATCTACTACCGAATACCTGTCGAGCTTGTGTTGATGTATTATTAGTTTCTCCTGCAGGCTGATACTTAATCTAGTCAGTAAGATTTCACACACATGTATATATATCCATATCTTCTTCAGATCTATGATACATGGAATTGTTGATTTCTGTACAACAAAAGGCATGCTTGTGACCATACCAATCAGCCTCTCATCATGCTTTGCATATTACATGACACCACCATACCACAGGTATTATATACACCGCCATGTTTAAGACCATTAACTCAAAACGGCCTTGTCTTTACATACATTGATTATTACTGACGGTGCATCAAATCATGATTTTCTCCTTTCAAATTACTATTCATTGGTACTTACAAGTTGTTTACTCCATTAAATCCCAAGCATCCTGCATGCGCTTGCATCGAAAGACAAGCAGCTTCCTTGCTGTTTATGCATTCATGATGCATGCAGGGAATTGTGTTAGTGTGATTTCATTTTAGTTATTCCTTTATTTTATAATGGATTTACGTAAACCCTGCAGCCAGAGGAGGTGCTGCATTCCACACAGTGATGAAAACAAAATTGAATCTCAACTGCGAATCATGGCAATTCATCAAATCACCAGGGAGATGGGTGGTGGGGGATATCGTTTATGGTGGTGTGTAAACATCAGTACTGGTGATACAAAGGTAGCCAAGTTTATTGGCTGGGTGTGGTGCTGGTAACACCACGCCCTCAGTGTGCGCCGTGCCAAGAGTCTGTTAAAGGTTACACGGGATATCTTTGTATTTTTTTTAAATTCATTTGTTTTAACTACCCACAGCTCGTGAATGAGTTCCTGCACGAGCAGCAGCATGCAAGCCATGCGGTACGCGCTCGGGCCCCGCAGACTTTCAAGATGGATGAGTTGCTTGCTGAGATGCAAGAGATTGAAAACTCCAGCCTCAGGCATGCCCCTCTCCGAGGTATACGTTGCTTCTGCCGGCCACATGTTCCATTCCACCATGCAGTTTGTTTCGATTTAAAGCTTTCGTGACTGCAGGGATTCATCTTCTTGGTTCTTTCAGTAAAGTCACGTAGAAGGGAAATAATAAAATAATAAAAATAAACATAATAAATCATTCTCACGACGTTTCGGCCACAACGCAAGCAGCTGTCCTCAGGTGAAGAACAGGTCTGTCGGAAAGACAGGGTCTGAATGAACGTCGTGAGAATTATTTTATTATGTTTTATTTGTATTATTTTATTATTTCCCTTCTACGTCACTTTGCCGAAAGATCCAAGAATAAAAAAACATGGAGTTTGTGTTTTGTCATTTCAAAATATTTCAGATAAACTAGCAGACGTAGTGTGTGTGTTGTTATTATTGCGCTTGTTTACCCAGGAAAGCCTCCAAGAGTCTTTATCAGGAATGTCTTGAATTTTCGCATTAGGTGGCGATGATTTCCGTGTGTATTCCAACTGAATAACTTGTGGGTCATTTTTCAAATTGAGCCCAATTTGGTCTGTGACGCTCACACTTGCGATTGCCTTGACGGCATCTTTAACGTCCAATGTGAAGCAGCCAGCGCGTATTGTTACGATAAATGCACCTGTAGTATTTATCACCCACAATGTTACACGGAGGAGTGGTGGCAAAATTGTCCTACACTGCTAAAATCCTGACAACCCAAATTCGATTCCTGGACACAATGGGATAATTGTTGCCGGTGGTAACGTGTAACCTTGCCTTGCCGTCTCTTAGATTTAACAAAATAAATAATAATTTACAACCCTTTGTCAATCCACTGGCGGATATGAAAAGGGATCTGTGGATGTGCACATGTGTGAGGAAGGTGGGGAGTAATGGCGTAGTGGTTAGCGCACTGTGCTATGAACCCTACGACCGAGTTCAATTCCCACTCACAGCCAACACCAGTGATGATAATCTGAACCAGTCATGGTCCTGCCCTAGGTTAATTAAGCCTCAAATTAGTACCTGGTGCGATGTGTGGACATCAGCATTGGGGAGACGGAGGCGGCAACATGTGGTGTTGTCTACCCATCCCCCTGTGTGCCGTGCCGGCCTTCAACGGTGCTTGTGAACAGGACTTTCCCTAACAGTCTGTTCAGGCCATATGGGGATCTTTGTCTTTTATGGTGACACACTGATTAACAAATAGCTCTACCAATCTGCCCCAACCACATAACCCACCGAACTGCTTGGTAAAGTATGACAAAACACACCCGTTTGACCAACACAGCATAGGTAGGCCTTTATCCCACAGTTGGTTATTTTATTTATCACCTGCATGATTCGATGAAAACATGATGAGCAAAAGCACCATTGTCAATCGACGAATTGCTGCAATGCCTAACCGTGACCGAACCGACGTGCTTGTCTGTGCGCACGTGTGGATCGCCAGCCCCGGGCGTGGCAGACCTGGCACTGTCAGAGGGCTGGGCTCAGGAGTTCCTGGAGAGCGAGGGTCACGGCGCCACGCTGGAGTCCGCGCAACCTGGGCCCCCCGAGGACTGGAGCCGCGAGTTCATTGCCGAGACCGCCGGTCGGATCCCGTCCCCCCCCCCCGCCGATTCCTCTCACTCGCTCACGACGCACCGCTTTACGACGCGACCCAACTCGATACAAGCAAACGATGGCTCTCGCCCCGCAACAAACACACCGAGGTGGCAGCGGTGGCACGAGCACGGAATAAATATTTCGCCGCTCTCGTAAAAATTCGCAATTAGTACGGAGTAACGCTAAAAAGCTCCACACGGATCGATTCAAGAGTCCATTGATGTGCCGCCATCTCTTGGCCAACCTCACAGCGCACGCCTACAGCATCTGTCTGCCGTCGAAATACTAACCAGGCGCAACAATTCTGCTTATCTTCCGAGCTCTGATGAGATTGATCTGATGACATTTTAGAGCGATGACCTTTAGAGTGATTCGGTCATAGGCCATATCAGTGACAAGCGATTCGGGCGGTCGGTGGGTCATCGAGTGACTCAGCTTGGCGTCTCCCCCCCCCCTCCACCCATGCCTCCTACGTCAGACCCAGCCCATGCTTCCCCTGTGAAGTGGGCCGAGGAGTACCTGGAGCACAGCGAGGAGAAGCTGTGGCTGGGAGACTTTGAAGCGGCCAAAAGCGAGGACCAGAAATGGTGAGGGCCATGCGCTACACTGCATTTTCCGATTTCTGAAAAACCCCTCCGCCAGTCGTTATAAAACTAACCACACAGCTTACCAGCACCAATGTCAAGATATGGAGAGTTTTTTTGGCAAGAAAATACTTTCAACAACGGGTAGTATTCAATAACGGTAACCAGCTAAGTAAAAGTGTGGTTCGCGTTTCTGATTTGGAAGGCGGGCGGATGGGCGTGCGGCTTTAATACCACGTGCACCCAATAAACGCAGCGCAACCACTGCTTTCTCCACATGAAGTACCGTCCCTAGCTCCCCACAGAGGGCATCGCCACACGCTTGTAACACGCTGGCAACGTTTTTGTTTTTACGTGCGTCCGTGAGTGTTTGAGCGTGCACGTCCTTTTGGAAGCTCGCTTAATGGACCATCTTTCCAGCTTTGTGTACGCGTATCTGTATGATTCCTGCTCACGGCCAACACCAGCGACGATTATCTGTACCGGTCCTAGGCCTCCCCGAGGTCGACTCAGCCTCAAATGAGTACCTGGTGCGGTGTGTAAACATCGCCACTTGGGGACAAAGGTGGCCGGGCGTGGTGATGGCCACCCACCCCCTCGTATAACGTGGCGGCCTCCAGAGGTGCTCACTAACAGCACTTGCCGCAACAGTCTGTTGGGGCTAGACGGGGGACCTTTGTCTTTGTTTTGTCATCCTGCTAGGGTGGACGAATACAAGCCACAGGAAGTGGGGGGGGAGGAGCTCATGAAGACGGCGAATGAGTTCCTGGGAAGCATCGACGACCCCAAGTTCTCAAACTCCGAGGTTGGCTTACGCGAAGGCGTGCGTTCATCCGGCCTAACGCATGGTATCTGATAATGCGCCGCCTATTCCGTAGACTACGCAAATGCGTAAGCGATTCCTTGCTTGTTGCTTTGCTGGGGAGTAAATAAACATCACATGAACCAAAACAAAACATTTACATGTATGAGCGCTTGCCCTTTTTGTTTTCTCACCTGTGATTGAAAATGGCAACAGCTGTGGATCACCGCAACTTTCCACGTGCACCTTTTCACGCGCACGCACGCACACACGTCCTCGTCTGCAGTTTATGAAGTTCATCAAGAAGTTGGGGGAGGGAGAGGTTACCATTGAGGGAGGCCGCGTGCTACACACGGGTGCCGATGCCCAGCGCTGGGCCGAAGAGTTTACGCAGCAGCAGCAGCAGCAGCAGGAGCAGGAGCAACAGGTACCGGGTGCCGAGTTGCTCACGACAAAAAAAAAACTGAACGTGCTCTCAAGTCGCACGTGCGCACAGCATTGCCGTGTCGAGGCCGTTTGAAGTTTTCTTGGCATGGGCCGTTGTGTCCCATGGATCTAGTTTGGAGGGCCCTACGGTCGTCAACATGCTGCGAATGCGCTACCGCTGGGCCGTGTCACCGCAGCTGACGCACGCAGGTGATTTAATTGATTGTTGTAATTCGAAGGCAGTGTGTAATGAGTGGGCACTGGGTGTTGTCAGCAGACCAGCCTGCCATAAGTTGAATTAACTTATACGGTTCACTCGTCTGCTTAAGCCAGAGGTGGAGAATCCATTCCTTACTGATGACTGTCAAACACCTTTGGCACACGGAACATTAACACACCTCACTTCCACCGAGTCCCTAGCAATGGCAGAACTGACTGAGCGTGCTAAAATTGAAAATTCGGTGGTGCAAATTCATAATATTCCCCTCCAGTGCTCGATTATTGCAGCACGGACCGTAAGTTTCCTGCCCCTGGCTGAAATCATTTGGCCGACCATGTCTTCAAAGGAAAAGCGTTTTCTGCCCTCCTTTGTTTCCGACTGCGTCCCCTCGTGCACCCAATGCGGGCCCACGGGCAGGTTCAGCCAGAGACGGAGCCGGAGGAGCGGGGCGAACCGTGGGCAGACGACTTCGCTCGGGCCAAGAACATCACGGTGGGCGAAGAGTTTGAGAAGGCCCGTGCCGCCGTCGAGGTGAGGCGCCCGCCGTGGTCGTTTGCATCTCCACCGGGTGTGATCCATTTATAGCCATCCCACCGATTCCTAATTGCCGGGTGATTGGATAGTGTCAACGCGATGGCCCCTAATGTTTGCGGCCGAGAGCGTTGAAAGGTTGAACGGGTGTATTTAGATTGTTGTGAGGCGTGGTAAATCCACTACTAGATCAAGGCCTGGCCAAGCCTCCCTGCGATGTGTTAATCCACCTCGCAGCTGCCCACGACGCACCATCTGCTTCACAGTGAACCTTAAGCTTTGCCTGATGTCATTAACAAGAGTAGGCCATTGTGGGTCTGTGTCATGGTCCAGATTTGCCAAAATTAGAAATTTACACTGCAGGTCTAGCAATCGTCGCAGACTAATGCCCCCTACTGGCAGACCAATGCCAGTGTGCAGGCCAGGTACTGAGTTACCTTGTGCCCACAGCAGAGGTCGCAATCGGGTACCCGATACCCGTACCCTACCCGATACCCGGCTACCCGTACCCGGCTGGGTACGGGTACCCATTTGCGACCCTGGTGCGGCCGGGTACGGGTAAGGAATCAAAACCCGTTTGCGACCTCTGGCCCACAGGAACAGCTGGGGGGGGGGGGGGATGTCCTTTCAAATGTGTTGTGATCAGAATTGCAATATTAATTTATCTTGGGGGAATCCGATGAGCTATGAAGCTCTTTTTTCACAGACGTTCAGGCATGAAAAGGTGATGTAAAGCGTTCTGAGATGTCCCGGCGTATTGGGAGGGCGCTGTATCCATGAACAAATAATTGTCACTTTTCCCTCGCTGGGCCTTGTTTGCGCTATCGTGCAGTCTGACACAGACTTCTGGGACAAGCTGCAGGCCGAGTGGGAGGACATGGCCAAGGGCGAGCCGGAAGCAAACCCGTGGTTGTCCGAGTACGACGAGGTTGTCGCCTCTTCCTATGACAAGGTGCGGCGACTCCTCCTTACATTGCCACAGTCGTACGCAAAACCCCTTGGGGAACGCCGTGCTGTTGACTCCTAAAGACAGCGAAACTGAAGGACTGCCTTGCTGCCACAAATGTACGGAGCCGAGTTCGATTCCTGCTCCCGGCTGACAACTGGTCCTTTTTGGCTTTCCAGGGATTGAAACCGCCTTAATTGTAATACTTGGTGCCAAACTCCTTACCTGACCATGACGGTGAATTATTTATCCGCTTGTTAACTAGCAGCGTAGCAATTAACCGATTGCTTTTTTTTATCAAGCTGGTACCACTGAAACCTTGGTTTCATATCCAGACAAAGCTGCCTGTGATTAAACCAGGCTCTCGGGGGTGATGAGCTCACGGTCTCAGCCCGGTAACCAATGACTGCGCAAAATGAAAGCCCTTCAATCTGGCTCTGTGCATAATTTGGTACGAACATTACTGTCAGTGGCAGGGTGGGTGGCAAAATGATGCCCTTTCCATAATACAGGTTTATTTTGATTAGATCGCACGAATATAAATGTGTCGTTAAACCCGCCACCACCCCACACAGCCAATTAGTAAGGTTTCTCATGGAAACCAAACGTGGCAATTTGTTATTAGTTCAGCACACCGGTGTGTTGGAGAGTTAACCCACAACATTTACAATTTGGCATGTTTTGTCTACGTGGCAAACCTTACTTATTGGCTGTGTCGGGTGGCGGCGGGTTTCACGGCACATTTACATTTACATGACCTAACCCCAAAAAAACTTCTTATGGATGATATTGGTCGCGAAAGCCTTCTACTCGGTGTTAAAATGAAGCCCTTTGCTGTGTGGACCAGCAGAGGGCAGGGATCTCTGCGAGAGTTCTGAATTGACTCATCGTCTCACGGCACAATGACGAAAACAAAGTCGGCACTGAATTGGACAATAATTACAGCAGTAAAATCGCGTTTATTTCATCGTCAAATCGATGCGCCAGTACATGCCCAGTTTACACCCCTTGGCGGCATGCCTTGCGAGACTTTACTTAGGCTCTCAGGCCACGTGGCGTTTTTTTATTTTTTTGCGCGGCACACGAAGCCGTCGCCGCGTTTTCCCCGTTGACCTCTCGTTTGCCCTCCCCCCGTTTGGTCCCGTCGGTGAAACGGCGCAGGGCTACGTGTTCAACGAGGAGAACCCGCTGCAGGAGCACACGGAGCCGTTTGACGAGGGGCTGCGTCGGCTGCAGGCCGGAGACCTCCCCAACGCCGTGCTGCTCTTTGAGGCAGCCGTGCTGAGTAATCCCACACACATGGAGGCAAGTGTGCAGGAGGGGCGTGAAGTGTGCAGGCAAGTGTGCAGGACGCTCCTGGGCAGGTGGAGGCAGTCGCCCTCCAGCAACAACAGAGGGTGGCTGAAATGCAGCATGGTGGCATTGTAGGGGGCACGGGTGGTGCATCTGCCATCTCGGTCAACCCAGCCCACCAGGGTCTGTCCCGTGGCCTCGTGTCAGCGAGCCTTCGACAATTCACGTTGCCTCAAAGTGTACCTAGCCCAGCGCAAGCACTGTGGTGTCATCACCACCATTTAGTGATGAATGACGGCTGTTATATACACACACATGTATTGGAGCAGCGGTATTGTAGTGGTTAGCACACAGCTCTGTGAACCCACTGAGCCGAGTTAGATTCCTGCTCACGGCTAACATCGTCGACGAATATCTGAACCAGTCCTGGGCCTCCCTTAGGTCGAAAAAGGCTTAATATAATACTTGATGCGAAGACTGATACCTGGCCACGATGATTGATTATTCCTTCATTTTATCCAACACCTAGGAGGGAAGAATCAACTCCATTCTAACTTTCTTAGATATTGTCTTGAAGATTAATGGCACAGTTTCAAGTGAACTGTTCATCTGGATGTGAGAATTGTTCTCGGACTTAGCGGTGAGCTGAAAACAATAATTTTCATGGTAAAGGCTCATACACGTGATTAATGTACTTTGGCTATTGCGGTAATTACTTTGTAATCGTCGTGTGTGTATGTGTGTTTTTAACCGAGCAGGCATGGCAGTACCTGGGCACAACTCAAGCGGAGAATGAACAGGAGCTGGCTGCCATCAGTGCCCTGCGCAGGTGCACAACGCCTGTCCCGGCTCTTCGTTATCACTGCCGGCTTTGCTCCGCAGTGCTCCTATAGACTGCTTCCGCTGTGCATGTTTAAATGTGGTACAGAGGAGAGATGTCCTAGTTGGTACACTGCGCTATTCTAGCATTGGGAAATATATTCAGGAGCTAAGTGCCAATGTCGGGGACTGCTAGCCACGAGAGGGCTTCGGGAGAGAGTTCATCTAGGGGTGCAGACTGCAGTGGTTTTACTATATGACCCACAGTGTGAGTTGCATGGCCACAATCGGTACAACTGTGGCTTGTCTTTAATTTTTCACGTATAAAGGAGCTGTGCGCATCCGCCTGTTGTTGACCTGATGCGGATGATGGTTGCACCAGTTTCCTCGGTGAGGAATGTCAGAGCCAGGAGATGCGATGCTGGGCTACACGGGAGGGGGGGTGATCCTTATATTTCGTGTACGTGCATCGCAGGTGCCTGGAGCTAAAGAAGGATAATCTGACGGCGCTAATGGCGCTCGCGGTGAGCTTCACTAATGAGGCGCTGCAGCAGCAGGCTTGCGAGACGCTGCATCGCTGGCTCGCTGCAAACCCCACCTACTCGCATCTCGTGCCGGCTGGCGCCGACACAGCCACGGACGGCGCAGCCGGCACTAAGAGGCGGCTCAGCTCCGTGCTGCCCAGGTGAGGCTGCACGCCCACCACTGACGTCATCGTCCTCATCACTTGTCATCGTTGTTGTCTTCGTCGTCATAACAAACTGATGTCGAAGATGATGGTTTTGTGTTTGTTGTAACCGTCGTCATTGCAAGCGAAAGAGGCATGCGTGTGTGAGTTCACGCGTGGCCCACGAAATGTATCTGAAAATCTCATTCGGCCTTCGGCAAGGAGGAATATCCCAACCCCTGCCCTGGTGGCGAGATGCTATCTACCTCGCACTGGTATACAGGAGGTTGTGGGTTTGATCCCAACGCTGACACCTGTATATTTGGAGTTTGCATGTTCTCCCCGTGATCACGTGGATTTTTCTCCGGGTCCTCCGGTTTTCCCTCCACATTTAGAAACATAATTTATATTATAGCTGCCAATAGTATTTGGCTGCTATATACATTTCCACGTAATAAGCCACTTCGTTGAGCTATCATTTGTGGCCAGGTTGCTTCTGATAAAAGAGCTCTTTAGCTCAGTGGGCCTTACCTGCTAAAATAAAAAAGTAGTACAAAAAATAACCCCCTCCTATTGCCGCCCCTCTCTGTCGTGTTCCATTGGCAGCGGCTACTTTGCCGAGGTGCGGGAGCTGTTCCTGGAGGCGGTGCGCTGCGGAGAGGGCGCCGTCGACCCGGATCTGCAGTGCGGCCTCGGCGTGCTCTTCAACCTGAGCGGCGAGTACGACAAGGCCGTCGACTGCTTCACGGCGGCGCTCGCCGTGCGCCCGCAGGTGCCGCTCGCTCCGCGTTGGGGGACGTCGCGCGCGTAATCGCACCGGCAATTCGGTGCCCCCTGGACACTCGTTTGTAAATGTCCCATCCCCCACCCCCCCGCCTCAGTCAAATGAGTCAGGCAGCATAAACCAGATGGACAATATGAGACATCTCCTTTACCAGTGGCAAAATATAGTAATAGGTTTTTACCCTTTCCTACTGGTACAAAAAACTGACACCTTTATACAAGGGATCATGTTTGCAATAACCACAACACAAGCAGTCAAAATACAAACAAAAATAACAACTCTGATGATAATAATGATATGCACTGTCCTTGAAGTTGATTGGTCCACACCCGAGACAGCTTTCTTAGAGCCTAGTCTCCATTGGTGTTGGAGCAGATGACGCCAAAAGGCGTACAACTTTGCCACTGGTAAAGGAGATGTCTCATAGTGTAAATGCTTACCCCGAGCTCTCAATACTCTTATAGTGCACTGTTTTTGAGTTGAAGTCGAATCTGAATGATCCGAAATTAATCATTTGAAGACCCCCGTGCCGTCATTTGCGGGTCGCGCACCGCTTCCACGCTCGATGCTTCCTCGCGGGGTGGGGTGACGGTGGGGGGGGGGGGGGCTCGCGCATGACCCGGCGAGTTTGGGGTGCTGGTCGTGCCGTGTTACACCACCGTGGGTGGTGCGGCGTGCGACCAGGACTACCTGCTGTGGAACAAGCTTGGGGCGACGCTCGCTAACGGCAGCCGCAGCGAGGAGGCGGTGGAAGCGTACCGGCGCGCTCTCGAGCTCCAGCCGGGATTCATCCGCTCCCGATACAACCTCGGCATCAGCTGCATCAACCTGGGCGCTCACCGGTATGCCGCCAGGGATAGCCGGCCGGGCGGGAGGCAGAGGTCGCAAACGGGTTTTGATTCCTTACCCGTACCCGGCCGCACCAGGGTCGCAAACGGGTACCCGATACCCTACCCGCACCCGATACCCGGCTACCCGTATCCGGCCGGGTATCGGGTAGGGTACGGGTATCGGGTACCCGATTGCGACCTCTGGGATGAAGCCATGTTGCAGGCGCGAGTGGGTTGATTCTAGGAACTTGAATTGTGAGAAGAGACAAGACGTTGGGAAATGAGTGACAAACGGTTACTCACCAGTGACTTACGGCCTACCCGTACACGTACCCGGCCGCACCAGGGTCGCAAACGGGTACGGGTATCGGGTACCCGATTGCGACCTCTGGCAGGAGGGCAGGTGGGCGTGCGAGCTAGTGATCGTTACGTTGAGATTCCTTTTCTAGAGGTGGGATATCTGATTGTGTAAATCATATTGAAGTATTTATTTACGATGTATGCAAATGATCAAATAATTATATGGAAATGATACATTTAGGCTAATGGAGAATACAACACTGTGCAAACAAGACGAAACAATTGGAAATTAATTACGAACAGGACAAAAAAAACTAAATCATTAATACTTTAATTGAATTACAACTACAAATGGTGAGACTTCATCAAATCAATAGGGGGGGGGGGGGTGAATTGTTTGCACGTTAACCACAGTGACTGGATTCCACCATAGCAATGTAGAATTTATATCAGACTCAATCACTGACCGCTCCTCACTCTTTCGAGTGGCAAATCGTTTTGACTTCACGTTGTAACAATAGCGAGCCTTTCATTTCCTCCGGGTTTTCACGCACGCGCGCGTGCCCCCGCGTCTGCACGTTCCCGCGCCGCATTCCCCCACCCCGACCGCTCACGACGCAGCGAGGCGGTGGAGCACTTCCTGGAGGCGCTGCGCCTTCAGCGCAAGGCGGCGGACACGGGCGGTGCGGTGGGCGCCAGCGGCGTCGACGCGACATCCGACAGCATCTGGAGCACGCTGCGCATGGCGCTGTCGCTCATGGGCCTCGCCGACCTGCACCGCGCCGCCGACGACCACGACCTCGACACGCTCCTCTCCGCCTTCGGCCTCGAGCAATGACGGCCACGGCCGCGGCCGCTCGGCTCCGGTTCGGCCGCCCGGCTGCCCGCGCTCGCCGGCGCGGCCAGCCGCGACCGCTCGTCTCCGCCGCGGCGGCGGTGGCGGCGGCTCGCCGACGATGCGTGGTTTTGCCATCGCCACCGAAAGGCGGCGGCGCGGGCGCTGATCGCGTGCGAGTGCAGCGGAGACGAGAGGGGCGAGTGCGAGCGGCGCGGCGGTGGGCCGGGAGTCGCGGCCGGGCTGTGATGGCGGTCGGGGCACGGTTAGCGAGAGCCGTGGCCACATCTCCGCGCCACTCGCTTGGCTCCGTTTGTTACAGCGCCGCCGTCTCGCTAGCCCCGGTCCCTTGCTTGATTCACTTTGGCTCGAGTTTGAAATAGTTTACCTGGGAAGGATGTCAATGGGTTCTAGGAGCCTTGTTCAGGAGTGTTGTGCTTTTGGATAAATCATGTTGGCATTGCCTGGAAAAGATCCACACGGTTAAGATCATGCGCAAGTTAAGTGTAGATGATTATCCTGTTGTGCTTTTGCATAACGGGCAGGTTTTCCACTGCACAGGTGCATCACACATGTGTGATGACTCTAGTTCCGTGTGATACACCAACTCCAGCATCCGAGTAGCTGGAGGGCAGTTCTGAATCCCCCACCACTGATCAACTTGACCAATTTAACATTGATTCTTTGTCAATTACTTTCACTTTAACGCGGGCATAATTTTGCTTTTGCAAGGCGCGTAGTTTTGTAGAAGACGGCAAATAAAAAAAAATTAGGAACAACAGTAACGGCAGAATTTACACACGAAAAAATCCATCGGAGTAAACTAATCTGCTAAAGGATGATTGTAAATATAACGCGGCAATTCGCGTGCACGCACAGGTCCGCTCCTCGCACGAAAAATAAAAATGGAAAAAATCTCGAGTCAGATGGCAGTTGTCGCATGCGGGCCAAAAGCAGCGAGGGTTTTAACGTTTTAAATTTTTTGTCAAAAATTATTCTCAACAAGACCATGCACTTAAGGATATTTTTTTCTTTTGGTGGGTTTTCAAAAAGACGCGGTCTCTCGCAGGTACGACATTTGGTGCCACTGCTTCGCGTTGAAATGGCAGCCGTGACCCAGCCAGCAGTACGCGACTGGTCATGCCTGCACTGACCCAGCCGATGAGGATAATGAGTTAAATACAATAATTGTGCTAAAAATTATAATAATTGTTGATTAATAATGTATGAAATCGTAGGCTGTCCGTCTTGTGTGTCCATCCGTAATGTCCAAAACCATGCATGGGAAGGTCACGTGACCGGATGCATGCTTTCAATTTGATGTGTTTTGAACTATGCGACGTCGTGGTTACAAAACGCACCGTCACGTTTGTGGTCGCTGTCAAGAGTGAGAGGCGGCGATCGCCTCTGTAGAGAATTTTAATGACTAAGATTACACGGTCAGGGACTAGTCCTAACAATGATTATTATGAGAATACAAGTAATAACTATGGAGCTATTTGTGTAAATGTGTAAAGTTGTGTATAGTTAGACTTACTGCAATAACTCCGAGATGACAAGGAAATTAACAGTTATTGTGCCATCTGGACACAGTGATAATATCTGTGTTTTGCCCTGAACAATAATAATGTTCAAATATTCTGGTCAGATGGCACTGGCCAAGTGTTTAACTCACAGCTGGTAAAATTGTGAGTTGAAATCACTGTAAAGGTTCTAAGCCCATGATCCCTGGGGGGACACAACAATATTACCGTATTCTCCAGATTATAAGACATTTCCGAAAGTAAGACACACTCCAAACTTGCGCCCGGTGACAATACAATGATTCAAATCTGGTCACACAAGCGTAACGACGGTGGTGTGCGCGTGAGACTAGATTTACATATTTTAATCTGGAGAATATGTTTATGCTTAACACACCCGCAGTATTAACCAGGGCGGCCAGCAGGCCCAAACCACAGACCTTCGTAGCGAGACGACAAACGCGCCACTGCTCGGCAAAGTCACCGTCGCAGTTTGACGATGTCACTGACTACTGCGAAGCCTCTTGTCGACTCCTGGTTCTTAGCGAGCTTGCAAATGTCCATCTGTAGCTGCGATGGTTTGGGCTCGGGGGGGGGGGGGTGGTCTCTGTGGGGGGTTCGTTAGGTCTTCCATAAAGTCAGCCGGGCTTTGACCCCGGCACATCTTCACTGTGAGGGTGCCAGGGTGGCGAGATGTTAACTACCTCGCCTGGTATACAGGAGGTCATGGGTTCGATCCCGACGCTGATGCCTGTGTATTTGGAGTTTTGCATGGTCTCTCACCATGGTCGCGTGGATTTTTCTCCGGGTTCTCCGGTTTTTCCCCGCCACATTTAGAAACGTGCGCTTAAAGAGTATTTGGCTGCGTTACATTTCCACGTCATAAGCCACTTCGTTGAGCTATCACATTTTGTGGGCCAGGTCACTTCTTCAAAAGAGCTAAAAATAGCTAAGTGGGCCTTACCCGGTAAAAAGAAAAAAATGTGTTTAGTTTTTAGAGCTCGACGTGACAATGAAGCGACGGCAATTTACCAAGGTTCCTTAAGGGGACGCGACAATTTTGATTGACCTGCAAGCGACCCCCATCGCAAAGTGACTTCTCTCGCTTCGTGTGGGAGGCCTCCTGGGAGGCCTTTGGCCAGTGTCGAGTTAAGGGGGAGGGGTGGCGCTTAATTCAGGCGGGTATCGTTCAAAAGTCGTGTGTCGGTTAAAGTCGAGCGTGGTGGTGGTGATGTCCGTAATTAACAATGGAGACTCACCCTATGTCGATTAGGGGGTGGGTGGGGTGGGGGCGGTGAAGGGCTTGAAAAGATAAAACCACAGAAGTGAGTGCTGCTTGTGGGGGTGCGGTCGTTATTAGTCGGGGGTCTGCCGCCCCCCCCCATCCACGATTCGATTAATCGTTTTGATTCACGAATCGATTAAAATTGGTCTCTTTTTTTTTAACGATACATCGGATTCATACTCTTAGTTTTTTTCGGGAAAGTCACGTAGGTAAAAAATAAATAATAAAACTAATAGAAATAATTATAGAAATAAAATAATAAATCACGACGTTTCGGTGGCAACACAAGTCTCCGTCATCAGGTGGGACCGTCAGCTAGATTTACTGTATCAAGTGAGGAAAAATCCAAGGGACAAGCTCTTAAATACAAGTTGCGGGGGGGGGGGGGCTTATCTGAATGTGGTAGCCAGGGAATGGAACGGTGGGGGGGGGGGGGGCTAAAAGAGAACGATAGGTGCACATCGACTCGGGGTTGTGGCCGGTGTTAGCTGATAATAAACATAAAAGATACATCGGATGTCGGGGTCTCTAGTAGCCACAGAGGTCATAAGAGTGCCATGCATGCAAACATGCGCTCAAAATAAAACACATCCACTCTTTACGCGTGGGATCCAATGCAACTATTGTTGAATGTAGCCTAATGTCTGTAGCCTCGAAAAGTATCGATTCATTGCATCGTTACATCCTTAAATATAAAAAAACATGCAGTAATTAGCAAATGCAAGATTGATTTCAGTGTCCGTGGCACCCCGGTTATCACTAACCGTGCTCTTTAAAAGTCCAGCGCATGTGCCTAGATCCAGCACCACTGCGTTAACTGTTTAGGCGTGGTCACTCGGTCGAGAAAGAGAAATGTGTGTATATATAAGGTATGCACCAAAGTGGTCGTGTTCCTCAATAACGTCATTTGTCCTCCGTCCTTGGCCCACGGATTGGGCATTCAGTGAGGCGCGCACACACGCACACACAGGAGTCGATTGGTGAACACATATGTCGGCCACTTGGAAGAGCCCCCGGTGATCGTGAGCCAACCATGTGATGGGTCAGCACTCCCGCTAGCAGTGGAATCATGTTAATTGGTACGATGAAAACACGGTTAGATTAAATTAGCCTTTTTATCAAAGCGTTGTTGGGGTTTTTTTTTTACCTTCCAGTTTGAGGATCAGCTTGTGGTTGCCTGCAGTGTTATTATTTTTTGACATATCAAAATGAGGTGCCTCTTGCAACAGAGGCCGACTTGGGAGAGTTTTTTACCCCAGATATCATCAAACGATACAATGAGATAAACCACCAGTGGCGTGGCGATGGAATGGGCAGGTGGTGCGAAGGCACTGGGAATCCACGGGCCAGAGGGGTCGAGGCACGGGAGGGCATTGCATAGGAGAGGCTGCCCCGCCGTCTGTAATATCCTGCACCAAGGGCCATGCCAACCACGCTACGCCACTGGTGATCAAGGTGATGATCTCCTTCAATTACGCGTCCCAGGACCAAAGCAAATGGGCAGTGTTGATTTGTTACGGTTGAAGTAAAAAAAAAGCAAATAAATACATTTACGACGTAGATAATTATACGAATATACCGCAGTATGTGGATGTTAAGGTCTTCAGTGCACGCATGCCGTACATTTTGTAACGGAATAATCGTGAAATGAATCTGCTGCCGCGGTTCTAAGCAAAAAAAAGAAGATGATTTTACAATATCATTTGATGTTGGCTTCTCGTGGTCGTATTTGGTGTCTACTCTGAGGTCTATGTCATGCCTCTGTTACCCGAACCCTTGTCCACCACTGACTCAACCGTGACTTCCACCACAACCCATGCGTGTTTCAGTGCCAGCGTTTGTAGTGTGCTCTTGTGTGGCGCCATCTGCCAGGCGTTTCAATTAACGCAAGTCTTCCAATGCAACGACGATGTTGAGTGCCCTGGCCTCTCCGTGGTTGTGCGAGTTTGTGGCCGAGCTTAAAATAAATGTGGGCGATTGTTAAGCAGCGATGATGATGATGATGAATAAAACATAAATTGACAACAGTCATTATATGCCCTGTCTTGGTAGACTTGAGTGTGCTGATGTTTAAGAGAGTTATTGCCAGGTCGACATTTTACCCTCCAGTACCCGATTAGCGTGGCTAAGATGTCTGCAGTGATGGACTTAACCCCTTTCCCGTTCCGAGACGTCTGCAAGTTGCAGGGTGGGTCTCGTTCACTGCCGAATCTCGGAACTCACAAGCGGTTAGCGTTAATTTTATTTAGAGAGGCATAGCACCGTTTTTGAAAGAAATTGTACTCACCGCAGAGAACCGTTGCGACACGACCGCACTATGATAGCTATCGCCAAACCGTGCCACACGCCCTCCCACTTGACCTTGTGAGAAACTCAGTACGTCATCGGAACAGAATTGGAAAAGCTGATGATGTACAAGTACTTACACCATTGGTACCTCATTTGCCATCTGCCAACAAAACTAACACCTTTTTTTGGCGTCATCTGGTCCAACCCATATGAGACTAGGCTCTAAGGAAAGCTGTCTCGGGTGTGGACCAATCAACTTCAAGGACAATGCATACATTATCAGAGTTATGTTTTTTGTTTGCATTATGACTGCAGGTATTGTGGTCTATGCAAACATGACTCCTTGTAAAAAAGGTGTCAGTTTTGTTGTCTTACAAGTACGTCATCGGAATGGGAGAGGGTTTATATTATTTGCGGGCTGCTGCGGAGTAAGAGGCCTCCTGCAGTTGAGGGCTGTATGAAATGGAAGTCGTGGGTCGGATACGGCCCACGCGGGCTGTCAAGCTCACCACCATTACCATTAAAGCACTGTTACGAACACTTATTCTTGCTGTGAGCAGAAACCACCATTAAAATGCCTTCATATCTGAAGCTCACTTCTTAAATCCATTCGTAAGCTTCTGCAAAAGTCTGGGTTCAACCCCTAAACTAGTCGGAAATACTGGATGTAACTCAAAGTCGACCAAGCACAAATCCTAGTTGTCAATCCAATGGTTGAGGGCCTCTCCACACACACAGCGTGGGTCGTGCCTCTTGAAATAAATCGGAAAATTACTCGCTCTGGTACAAACGTTTTTATTAGCCTGTTAGGTGTGCGATTTGTTCACATTCAGTCGTGTTTATCATCGTTCGTTTCGTTATTCTTCACGGAGGTCCGTGCTCTATCGCCAAAGAAAACGGCCTCGGCATCGTTCATTTTGTTTAAATCTCACTTGGGTGCAGTTTTTTTTGCGATTTAACTGTGGTCACGGAAAGAAAAGAACAAAAAACCACGCCGCCCGTACAAGTTTTTCCACTAAAATCGAGGGGAGCAGAGTTCAAAAACAAACGAGTTACATTAAAAATAAAATTACATTTTTCCACATCGGTGGGCTTTGTGATGCATTCGCGGCACTGGAACGCGGCTGCGTGAATCCTACGAAGCCGCTGTATGGGAACACCGCTGGGACGGTTTCAACACTCATAACTCGACCGCAACATTTATTCACTTTCACCGTCATCAACTGACGGCTCGCTCTCGCGCAAAAAAATAAATCTGTGACGGTGGTGGCTACATCGCTCTTGCGAGAGGAACTGCTCAATTTGCTTTTTTTTTACAAAACAGTTATGGATTGTAAAGTGCACAAAAGCTTTTAAAATGTGTGGCTATATTTTTGGACAGAAAAACTAACAAATCTTGAGATTTGTTTTCATTGAAGTGTGAGGAACTCTTCAAGTAAGGCCCTCGTCACAAAGTGGTGAGTTTTAACCGTAATTTTGGCAAATCCCTTTTCTAGACACCGCCTTGGATCGCACGGCAGCATTGCGCTCGGCACGCCTGCTGCTGCTCCTGCCCTCGAGGGCAGGTCATGCCTGAGGCTCTCGCGCCAGGCCTAAGGCAGAGGGCACGTCACTAAGGCAGGGGTCGGCAATCTGCGGCTTCGGGGCTGCCATGCGGCTCTTAAGTTCTGCTTGCGCGACGTTATTCGCATTGCGGCTCTTGAAATATTGAGAGGTTTTCGATTTTTTTTACAGAGTTTGACGAAAATGGCTCTTGTTGTTGTGTTGGTTGCCCACCACTGCTCTAAGTAACCCCACAGAACACAATGCCCATTGCCACAGGGACGAAACTTGGGCAAGGGCCTGGCAGGTGGGTGTACCCAAGATGTTATGGGTGTATCGGTGGTGCCAATGGGGGGGGGGGGGAGTCTAGATTACATGTCCATTCAAGTGTGAATGAAACTGCCAATCACTGCCAGTTCACCACTGGAATGAACAATTGGCTTAGAGACAATGGTGCCTGGCTTTCAGCATCCCTCTCTACAAATTGGTAAATCTGCACATCCCATTGGCATCCATCCCTCGCCTCCCACGTAGGATCTCACAAAGTTAAGGCTACCCCAAACGTCCCCGTTTTGGCCGCGACACACTCCTGGAGGTTTTCGCAAGTGCCGTCCCGTGTCCTTGTGCTTTTTACGAAACTGGTTAAAAGGTGGAGCTACCTGGGTTGTGGGTGGAGCTGGAAGATGAGTGGGTGGGGCCTGTGAGCGGTGGGCAGGGCCAAAGTGAGAGAGCCCCACCCACTCCGGATGAGGCTGTGAAAGTGAGGTGGGGTTGGGGGTGGGGCCAGTTTACCACCTGTCCCGGTTGAGCTTCCCAGAAATGTGGTAGCCTTACCCAAAAGATGTGACTGAAGGCTTCACTCTGCTAGGGTTGCCACCTCTGCAGAATAACAACAACAAAAAACCCGGGACATATCATGGGAAGATAATTTCAACAATTGAAAACGAATTTATTTATAACTGCTTTTTGTGTTTATTTGTTGCCCTTCCCCCGCACCTCTGATTAGTGCGTACGGTGCGAAAGAAGTTCAACATACAATACCAGAATAGGGGAGAGAGCTGCATGTGAATGCATCGCCTTGAGAAGTATATTATGTAAATGAGCGAAAAAAATGGGATTTTGAATGTTCCGCAAAGACTTGACATTTCCCAGGACAGCTTCCTCAACGAGACGATGATGCTGGGGAAGAAAAACCCGGACACAAGTGACGACCCCACCCTGCTCCACGTTGCACTTTGACCGGGGGTGGTACGTCCAGATTTGGAGAAGTCATTGTGCACGCTACCCCACCCTTACCCCCACCCTGTGCCAGAGGTCGCAAACGGGTTTTGATTCCTTACCCGTACCCGTACCCGGCCACACCAGGGTCGCAAATGGGTACCCGTACCCGGCCGGGTATGTGTACCCGTTCCCTACCCGTACCCTACCCGAAATGAGTGACAAACGGTTACTCATCAGTGACTCACGATCTACCCGTACCCGTACCCGGCCGCACCAGGGTCGCAAACGGTTACCCGTACCCGGCCGGGTACGGGTAGCCGGGTATCGGGTAGGGTACGGGTATCGGGTACCCGGTTGCGACCTCTGTCCTGTGCCTCTGGCGGGGGGGGGGGGGGGGGGCTGTGGCTGACGGGACCGGTGACTGCTGCTGCTGGGGGCTTGGCATGGACGCCTCTCTCAGCTCTGCATGCGCTTGTAGAAGTAGAGGTATCCGAGGTCTTTGGGAGGCTTCTCGGAGGCGCACACCTTGTCCTCATTGTAGATCACCCACCTGCGGGCGTAGTCGGCGGGGCAAGCGGAGGGGTGGGGCGGAATGGGCAGGGAAGGCGAGGAAAGGCGGAGGAGGATAGGGAAACAGGGACGCAGTGAAATAGGGAAAAAGTGAAATGGAGAATAGGGAAACGGTGAATCGGGCAACAGTGAGGAGATAACTGACAACCACTTTCCTGAATGGGAGTTCCGTGAGTATAGTGTGGTTCAGGAGGGGTGAATGTAGCCGGTTTGTGCAATCTGATGGTGTTTATGAAGGTAATGATAAATAATGGTGAAGATGATTGTAATAATGAATGAATGATAAATGGATGCTGCTGTTGATGCCGATGATGAGGATGGTGGTGGTTCGCTCTGAGCGCACCGTCGTGTGTGTGTGCATGTGACTCCTGCGCTACGCGGTGGCCAGCGGCAGGTTGCAGTAGAGCAAGTAGGCTGCTGGGTACGACTCACCGGCCCTCCTTGCGGATGTGGCACACGTAGTGTCCGCACATGGTGGATGTGCCCATGTGGCTTATGAAGGCAAAGAGACGGTAGCCTGCATGGCACAAACGCACGGCACGTGTGCAGCACGCGTACAAAAGACAAAGACACAGCACACGCGTGAGAGAGGGATCGTGGGTCTGCTGGCAATTGCAGCAGCTGATGATGATAAGAATCATCATGGTGGCACCATCATCACCACCAACGCATCACCAATTATTATGAACTCGCTACACCCGAGCGCTTGCTTAATCACAGGCATCTGCCTCGAATTGAACCCAGGATCTCGGTCAGCGGCGCCGACATGACGGACTACGAAGCGGTTAAACCACGGCGCCGTTCGTGTTTGTGCGTAGCGGGCACTCACGTCCGGGCCCGTCGGGGTATTCCGACATCCCGTTGCTCATCGCGCTGCTCGGGAGAGGCCCGTTTCTGTGGGCCTCTGGGAGGGCGATGCTGCTGGGCGCCACAAGTTCCACCTTAGCAGGAGCAGCGTTCACTGCTGCTGCTGCTGCCCCTCCTGCTGCTGTTGCTGGTACTCCTGCTGCTGCTGCTGCTGCTCCTGCTGCTGTTCCTGGTACTCCTGCTGCTGCTGCTGCCGCCCCTTCTGCTGCTGCTGCTGGTACTCCTGCTGCTGCTGCTGCCCCCGATGCTGCTGCCCCTTTTGCTGCTGCCCCTGCTGCTGCCCCCTCCTCCTCCTCTTCCTCCTCGTCCCCATCCGAGCCCGCGTCTGCCATGTTGGTCAGAATCCAGTCGGTGGCGCGCTCCAGGTTGTTGTTCTGCAAAGCGACGACGCAAGACCCTCGTGACACTCGAAGCTTTCCTGAGTGAAGGGCATTATTATTATTATTTGCGGTGATTATGCCAATGATGATGTTGGAGATGATGACGACGACAGTAATCACTGCGCTGTTGGAAGTGACGCGGGCTATGTGTCAAGACGTTTTTCACCGATTATCGAGCGTCGCAATGGATGGGCGGCGACGTGGCCGAGCTGTAGTGCATTTGCACAAGTTGGAGCTCAGCGGCCGCCCTGGTTAATACCAGAGATGAATTAACAAAAAAACAAATACATGCCACCTGCAGACGATACTCATCTGTGAAGCGTATATGTATGTATGTTTAACTTCTTTCGCACCGTACATAGCCAACCGTGCTAATCGGAGGTGCGGGGGAAGGACAATAAAATAAAGACACAATTCAGGTCTAAAGAAACTAGTTTTCAATCGAGATTTAAAAGTGCCGTAGCCCCAGCAGCTCGTTCTTGTCGGGCCTTGCGCGACGTAAAAATGGCGCCACTACAAAATGCCCTCATTGTTTTATCGATGATGACGACGATGACGACGACGACAATGACGATGCGGGCGATGACTGCGCGCGCGCTCACGTTGGCCGTGAGGGCGCGGAAGGCGCGGCTCCGCGTGAACCCCATCGACACGATCATCGCGACGCTCTCCTCGGGCGGGGGCGGCTGGGACGGGCGCGACATCCTCCGGCGGCCATGTTGCCGCCGCCCTCCCAGCTCTCCGTCTTCCGCTTGCCCGCTCGCCGCACGGAGGTGACAGCAGCCCCGGGATGTGCAGTGGCTCTGCCAGGTCTGGACATTGGTAAGGATATGAACTCATTATTAAACTAAGAAAGTTTTTTTTTATTTTACCAGGTAAGGCCCACTGAGCTATGTAGCTCTTGTTCAGGAGCATCCTGGCTATCACAAATGATAGCTCAACGAAGTGTAGAAATTTATATCAAGTGTAGAAATTTATATCAGCCAAATACTCTAAATGTGGAGAGAATAACCGGAGGGCCTGGAGAGACAAATCCACACGGCCACAGGAAGAGAGACACGCAAACTCCAAATATGCAGGTGTCATGTTCGGGATAAAACCTACAACCTCCTGTATACCAGGCGAGGTAGTTAACATCTCGCCACCGTGGTGCCCATATGTCACATGGTAACGGGGAGGCAGGTGTGGAGGGGCGGGGGGGTAGGCCTGGTGACTCACTGGGGTCGTCGAGGTGATTCATGATCCAGTCGACGGCAGGCTCGAGGCCCAGGCTCCCGGAGAAGTAGACGGCCTTGCGGCAGGCCTCGCGCGGGAACCCCATCTCCTCCAGAGTCGAGACGGCCACCTCGTCAAGGAACGGCACTGCCCGGCGCCGGTGGCGGGGTTTGAGGTCGGGGAAGGGGGGAAGAAGAGGGCACCAACGATGCAGAAGATGTTACGCTGGGCAGTGAATGCTACCGGCCGTGATGTACGCCAGCACAGCGGTCTTCGTCTGGTGACCCATGGGGTCCAGATGCGGCCAGCGAAGACTCTCCTGAGGGTGACTGACGGACACCTGTTGCGGATGTGTAAACATCGGCACTGGGGAGAGAAAGGCGGCCGGAGGGTGATGCTGGCCACACGCCACCTCCTTGTGTACTGCACAGGACCTTCATGCTTGGGAACCCTTGCCCCAAGCAGTTCGTTAAGGCTACACGAGGGATCTTTGTATGTATTGTTGGCCCATAAATAAATATCCCCCATTTTCCTTTAACAGACTGTTGGGGCAAGTGCTGTTAGCGAGCGCCTATGAAGGCCGGCACGGCACACGACGGTGGTGGGCGGTCAGCACCACGCCCGACCGGCTTTATCTCCCCAGAGGCGATGTTTACACACCGCACCAAGTACTCATTTGAGGCTGAGTCTACCAAGGGGAGGCCCAGGACCGGTTCAGATAATCGTCACTGATGTTGGCCGTGAGCGGGAATCGAGCTCGGGTCCTACAGGTTCGTAGCGCAGCGTAGCGCTCACCGCTACACTACCGCTCCCTACGTACGCACAGATGCCCTCGCGTGCAAAGTCCCCCCACCTCTCCTCATCCCCTCTCCGTCTCCGTTCTCGTCGTCGTCCTCATCATCCTCGTCTTGGCCGCCCCCCCAGGAGCGATGAAGCCCGGCACCGCGGCGCCTCAGCGACGGCGACGACGAGAGGAGGCCGGGCGGGGAGATGTCGGGCAGCTCCTCTTCGCCGGCCTTCAGCCCCGTTCCCCGCAGCTCGTTAAGGTCCAGCTCATCGGGCATGTCCACTGAGACGTCTGCACAAGGGGGGTGGGGTGGGGGGGGCATCGATCCTGATGCTAGCAAAAAGGACCCTGGGTTCGGTTCCCGGCTCGGGCGCCTTGTTGCTGTGTGGAGTCTGTATACGGTCTCGCCCTGTTGCACACTGCGGTTATTCGCTTTCCTTCCGCAGCGAAAAGAAGTAGAAAAAAACAACCCCAATCTCACTCGTCATTTAAAACGTATGTTTTTAAACAACGTACGGAAATGTGGAAAGAGCACACAGCGTCCGTTCGTATTCAACACATCGGCATTTCCTGAAGAAATGCATTGTGGTCCTCTTGACCGAGGTCACCATAACCAATAACTTTGAGTGAATATGACCGACTGGGACTCATCAGCACAGTGGAGTCATTTGTGGAGTCGTCACTTCCACACTACGGGGCCCTATTAGCTTGGTTAATGCCAACAATAATCAAATCCATAAATTGTGAGAAAACGTATCACAACAGAATCATACTACGCCGATAATATATGATCCACAGATGCTTTTGTGTTAAACCGCATGGGAGTTTATCCCAAACCAAAATCAAATACGAGCGACTTTGTATGAAGGTGGAAGCGATTCGCTCGCTCCTAAATGTGTTGGCTGGGCGCGCCACTCGCTGATCGTGTGTTTACCGATCTTCTTCGGGACCCAGTCCTGCTCTGATGTGAACTTCTTCAGGTGGATCACGAGGTACTCCGGGAACGTTGAAAACCACGAGGTTCTAGGGTTTTTGGGGGGGAGGAGAAACACATTTGTCGTCAGCACGTAGAGCGAGACCATCGCGCTACCAATCCAGCAAAGAGCACCGGTAGTGCTAGGCTGTCTCATGGCGTGAGGTTCTCGCTACCAATCCAGCGAAGAGCATCGGTAGCGCGAGGCTATCTCATAACGCGATACCATTGTGCTACCAATCCAGCGAAGAGCTTCGGTAGCGTGAGGCTATCGTGAGGGCGCCATGGGCCACAGACGGGTGCAGTCTGCGGTGGTTTCACAGCAAGGGGTCAATGTCTCCGTGTGGCTTTACACATCGAGGTAAATTTGTCGGTGATTTGCAACACTTTCCAAATTCAGACCATGGCCTCCGCTTTTTAAAATAACGCGGTGAGGATATTGAACGCCCGCTGTGGAGTGGACGTTTTTTATCGGTAAAACACGCACCGCGGTATTAACCGGGGGCGGCCGCCGGGTCCTGAACCGCGAACCTCCGTGAGGGGCGCCGAACGCGCCACCGCTGAGGCCGTTGCCAACGGGCAACTTATCCAACACACGTGTGGCTCCGCGTGGCGATGTTTCGGAGAGAGAGTTGGGTTCGGGTGAGGGTGGAGCGTGCGTGTGCCAAAACTACAGGGAATCCGCCCGATCTCGTCAGACCTCAGAAGCCAAGCGGGGTTCAGAGGCTGGATAATAAGGTGACTGGCGACTAGGGACGCCACGGTGGGGAGAGGTTAACCACCCTCGCCTGGCATGGAGGAGGTCGTGGGTTCGATCTCGACCCTGACGCCTGCTGTATATTTGAAGTTTGATTGTTATCTCCCCGTGGTCACGTGGATTTTTCTCCGGCTCCTCCACTTTTTCCCTCCACAGTTTTTGAATCGAGAGTATTTGGCTGCTGTACATGTGCACGTGACAAGCCACTTCGTTGAGCTATCATTCGTGATAGCCAGGTCGCTTCTGAAAAAGAGCAAACATAGCTCAGTGGGCTTTACCTGATTAGATAAAAAATAGTTTTAGTTTACACTGCTGCAGTGGGGCTCCGTTACGGGCAGCAGAGGGCAGTGCCATACTACGCTCCCACATCCGTTCTCCTCCCGCTTTGAGAGAATCGCCGTGGGAGAGGAGCCGCAGCGAAAGTGGCTCTGAACTGGGCCCCACACGAGTTTGAGTCCCAGCCCGGGGCAAAACGATAACCTTGTCCCGGGACTTCGAACTTCACCAAATCGGCACTGACCAGTTGCGGTGAAGTATGACGAATAAAATAACCCCCACCCCCCCCCCCACCCGCAACGACCCGCACGGTGTAAGGGGGGAGGCCTCATCCAGCAGTGGATTGGCAAAAGGGCTTGTCTGTCTGTACGTGGTGTGTAAGAGGGACGGAGCCGAGACGAGGGCTCCGGCACAGAAAGCCATTAATAGCCAGTCTATTATAACGGCCCATCGGACACTACGGAGCAATGCCAAAGACGAGCGCGGCAACCCAGGGGTTAACCTGTCACTGAGCGGATTGGTTTAATTAGATATTGTCAGTTCGAGTGCCGAGGTTATTTGGTTTTGTTCCACGCACGGCGGTCACCGTTATAAGCAGCTGCCGTGGCTATGATACAATGCGGGAGATTCCGCGGGGGGCGTCGGGGGCCACGGCGGTAACGACGACGACAACAAAAAAGGACAGAGAGAAAAAAACATCGATGTTGCAGAGAAACCACGACACCGACACGACAAGAACGGATTACCGCGTCACTGTGATGTACACCACAGCGATAAACACACACACACGCATGCATCTATATACGCGTGTATATTTGCGTGTCGCGCAGAGAGAGAGAGAGAGACACGGGGGTCCACGCGAGCGAATGGTTAGCGGCATCTGACGACCGGAGCTATTTCGGGATCTGACTCTGGGCAGACTGCCCCTCTGCATAGATACTGGGGAGTGTGTGAGCGGTGGCAGGGCGGTCAGTGCTCTGCGCTACGAACTCGGCGACCCGAGTTCGATTCCCGCTCACGGTCAAGACTGGTGACCATTATCTGAACCGGTCGTGGGTCTCCTCTAGGTCTACTCAGCCCTCAAATGAGTAACCTGGTGCGGTGTGTGAATATCCCCGCTGGGGAGACAAAGGCGGTCGGGCGTGGCGTTGACCACCCACCCCCTCGTGTGCCGTGCCGGCCTTCATAGGTGCTCGCTAAAAGCACTTGCCCTAACAGTCTGTTAGGACTATATGGGGGATCTTTGTGTGGCTGTGTATGTGAGGGAATGTGAGTGTGTGCGTGAGTGTGTGCGTGTTTGTGCATGAGTGTTAGCGTGTAAGAGATGGTGTGCACGTAAGGGAGTGCATGTGTGAGAGACGGTGTGTATGTAAGAGAGTGTGTGTGTCACCATCTTTGTATGTGCGTGTAACGCAGAATGTGTTTACATCGTACTCTCGGCAGACACCTCTACAGTCACCAAAATATCTTTAACTTCCAATAAATCTACTGAAACGATTTGCCGAAAAAAGTTTTCCCTTAACAAGGCAGATTCCGATTCCCTGACTGTCCAGGTTTGACTGTCTAGGTTTGACCTGGACAGTGTTGGAATTGGGATCTATGTTTGGGCGGCAGGAATTGATTCGTACCGAGACCTGGTACCGGTATCATGTTGGACTCACGTTACTGTACAGTTTGTTTGACATGTGCCGCCTGAGAAATGCAGCTGGGTTTGGTCCGTGGCCAAAGGTGGCAGCGCTGTTACTGGTGCCCAGTCCATACAGGGCACCGCGGTGGCAAGCTGTTAACTACCTCGCCTGGTATACAGGAGGTCGTGGGTTCGATCCTGACCCCTGATGCCTGCTCTACATTCGTATTTTGCGTGTCTCTCTCCACGTGGTCGCGTGGATTTTTTTCCGGGTCCTCTGGTTTTTCCCTCCGCATTTAGAATCAACATCACGCGTTTAAGAGTATTTGGCTGCTATAAATGTCCACATGATGGATAAGCCACTTCGCTGAGCTATCATTTGTAATAGCCAGGTCACTTCTCAATAATATCTATATTGCTCAGTGGGCCTTACCTGTTAAAATAAAATAAATAGTTCAATTTAGTTAATACTGCCTATGACCAGATCACCGGGAACGCTAAGCAGGGCTGACCCAGGATAGTTCTTGAATTTGGTGACCACCAAGCACAAATAATTGGTCATAACAAGTTGCGCGGCTTCACCGTGGCAAGCTTAGGGCAGTACAGCCAAATCAGTTATTTTTACTGCACTTCTATGCTTCCATCGTCAAGCTGTTGCGTACACATCCACGCACTGGCCACCAGGATTAATTACGGGTCACGAGCTCATTGGGCCTTCCACCGAGAATACCCGAAAAAATATATATTTGAATTTGAAATAACCGCTATGATCCACACAATATGGGGATGGGTTGACAAAGCGGCTGTCCAGTACACGTGCCACCCCAGGCCCCGACTTCAACATCCAACCTGTGACACGCTGGAAAAACAAACCGTGTGCTTGGAACGCCGGAAACAACTGGTGTACATCAATGTCAAAAGTCCACGTACCATCAATGTGAAGGAGGGGTAAAGAGTCTGATTATGCTAGCCAACCAAACGCCAGCTCTATCCCCAATCCTAACCAATGAGCCTACCAAAGGCTATGCCCTATCCCTAACCAACGAGCTGATCAAATGCCAGCCCTACGCCTAAACTGACCAGTCAGCAAAATGTGAACCTGTATCATAGTAATAGGGTTTTACCCTTTTATCTGGTTAAAAAACTGACACCTTTATACAAGGGATCATGTTTGCAACAACCACAACACAAGCAATCAAAATGCAAACAAACAAAAAACAACTCTGATAATGATATGCACTGTCCTTGAAATTGATTGGTCCACACCCGACAGTGCATATCATTATCAGAGTTGTTTCTTTTTGTTTGCATTTTGACTGCTTGTGCTGTGGTTATTACAAACATGATCACTTGTATAAAGGTGTCAGTTTTTGAACCAGATAAAAGGGTAAAAACCTATTTCTACATCTTGCTACTGGTAAAGGAGGTCTCATAGCGAACCTGTATCCCCAACCGACTAGCCAATCTGCCAAACATAATTTCTACTCTGGGTCCCCAGAGGCGTAGCTAGGGGGAGGCAGGGGGGTACATATGTCCCCGGGCGCCAAGGTAAAGGGGCGCCAAAATGAGGCTTACAACGTGACATTATAACTTATTGCGGCGGGCGCGGCAGCCTGAAACGACTGCACAAATCTACACCTCAACCTAAAAGTTTATATATCCCGCCACACACAGCCTACATGTCGTGTAATTACATTTTGGTATGTGATTAAACGGGGGAGGGGGGGGCCGCCAATTTTATAGTTCGTCCCCGGGCGCAAAATATCCTAGCTACGCCACTGTGGGTCCCCATTGGCCCAACAGCACCACCACCAGCAGCACCAGCACCACGGCCGCGTGCGTGCTCGCGTGCTTGCGTGCCCGCGGCGTGCGCGCGTACTTCACGGCCGGCGCCTTGGCCTGCAGCTCGGAGCTCCAGAAGTCATCGACGTTCTGGGGCTCGGCGAAGGCCTGCATGCAGGCCCCGAAGGGCACGCGGGCGCGCACCCCCCGGGGCTCCGGCCGCCCCTGCTCCACCGCCTCGCGCCGCTTCCTTTCCACCTCCAGCAGCTCCCCTGCACGGAGTGGGGGGGGGGGGGGTGTGCGGGGCGATTGGTGGCGTAGATCGAGTGTGCAGGCGGTGCGACCGTGCTGAACTCCCTGGGCCCATTGCTAGACGTGGCCGAAGTTAACGTTCGTCACGTCTCCAATGAAATGAGGTAGCCGAGACAGTCAAGCATTGTGGAGTTAGGAGACAACTTAAGGGGTGGTTCAGGACCACTAATATGTCGGTTGTCAAAGTCCAAGTAAAAAAATCAAAACATTAACTTTACGATGCTTTGCCGCCTTAAGCCCCTCACTGAATTGGGGGTTATGTCGATTCTTGTGTTTAACCGCATTTACGACATGTCTATAACTGCGCGAGTCAGTTCTGTACTCAGGCGCCGCCCCACTTTCACGAAGGCCACGCCCACTCGGCCGCTAGCACCGCCCGGCGAGCAGCGCCCCCCCCCCACCTCGGTTGTGCGCCGACTCGAGTGGCACCGGCAGGCTGACGGAGTGCTCGGGCCGGTGCTGGTAGCGAACTTTGCGCGACTGGCAGCACTGCACGCGCTCCTCCAAGCGGAACGCAAACGCCCGGCTCGGCGACGTCGCCTCGGCACCGCTGTTCATCTGCGGAGACGCCGCGGGCATGCCGGAATCAAACTCGTGGCACACAGGGCACAGGGCACATGGCACAGAGCGTATGGTGTACATGGCACAGAGCACGTGGTGTACATGGCACAGGGGGGAGATGGTACGTGGCGGTACATGGGACGGGACACATGGTACATGGCACAGAGCTTATGGCAGTAGGCGCGCGTGCGTGCAGTACGCGTGCACACAACTGCCCAATTGTCTGACGATTGAGACGCTCCACCTCGATGAGGCTAATCATGTAGTTGAAGAACTGGAAGGCGTCCTGCTGCCGGTCGGTGCAGAAGTCCGGGTGGCCTCGGCTCACGAGCTCCTTGATCATGCCCAGCGAGACGCCGCGCAGCTCCGGGGGCTGGAGGCACACACGGGCACACGGCACAACGATCCACCACCACCACCACGCGGCACAACGATCCCCCACCACCACCACCACGCGGACACACAGCACAACGATCCCCCACCACCACCACCACCACACGGACACACGGCACAACGATCCCCCACCACCACCACCACACGGACACACGGCACAACGATCCACCACCACCACCACACGGGCACACGGCACAACAATCCCCCACCACCACCACACGGACACACGGCACAACAATCCCCCACCACCACCACCACACGGACACACGGCACAACAATCCCCCACCACCACCACCACCACCACGCGGGCACACGGCACAACGATCCCGCACCACCAGCACCACCATAGGGACACACAGCACCACGATCCACCACCACCACCACCACGCGTACACACGGCACAACCATCCCCCACCACCACCACGGCGTCGCCTCTAACAGTGGGCGACTGCTGGGCCGAGTGCCATCAGCGAGCACCTCTTGTGGTCCGCACGGCGCATGTGCCCAGCGCACGTGGAACATCGGGCCAACGTCGCTCCAACGTTGGAATGTTTACTGGGAAGGAGGCGCCTGCGGTTGGCACCTCGCCCGGCCGCCTTTGTCTCCCCAGGTATTTATTTCAGGCCTAGCGTGTTATACGACGAGTAGCATGGGGGGAGGGGGTGGGTACTGGGCAATGGGGGGTGGGGGGGAGTGGTGGGGCAGCGGTTGGCACACAGCGATATGGACCCGGTGACCTGTAATCAGTCGTGGCGGACACACACAACGTCACACCAACCCACACACACCAAGCGGCATGGTGAAGTGTGGTGAAGTATGGCCAAGCAAACCCCATCACCTGCACGGTGTGCTTCACAAGCACATTTGCAATATATTGGCGTCGCGCGTTAGAACATTAAAGACCCGTATCGAACGTTAAAGCACAGTAGTGCACGTTACATTTAGGAGTTATAATCACAATAATAATTATACTACACAATCATCATAAATAAATAAACGCAGTCGCAAGCAAAAAATTTGGCGGACACTCCAGCGCGGGAGACACGTGCGGCGGAACGAATCAAAGAGAGTTTTTCGCGAGGCCCCTGCAAGAGGAGCGTGAATGCGCGAGTTGTCACGCGGTCAGTACAGAGTTAGCCGTGGCGGTGCGAAGGAGGAGGCGGTGGAGAGAAGGGGTTGGAAGAGGGGGAGGGGGGGCTGGCGAGACGTCGCCGAAAATACCTTGACGTCCTCTCTCGTCACCTGCTCTATGATATCCGACTTCGGCGGAGGCTTTGAGTAAAGCCCTGACAGCAGGCCGTGACCCAATTTCGCCCTGAACCGTGGGAAGGCCACGGCGGTCGTGGCGACGGCAGCGCCGTGTGGAGAAAACGGAGACGAGCAGGGGTCCAAGTGAGGAGGAGGACGAGGAGGAGGAGGAGGAGGAGATTCGAAGAAAACGAAGAGACGTTGCGGGAAACGGAAGGAATTCCACGTCGACAGGAGCAGAGCGCAGGAGGAGGTTGGATGGTAGCGACGTTTGGGAAATGGGGGAGGGGGGGGGAGGAAAATACAAAAAGAGGAGAGAGCAAATTGAGACATCCGATGCGAGAGCAGTTTAAAAGGGTGGGCTCAAGGCTGTCGTCCCCCATCTTCATGATTTGCTCAATTCCGTCAGATCTTTTTATAAGAATGTGCCACTGCCACCAGGTGCACGCTAATCGTACAATTTGCGGTAACGGTGGCGGTGAAGTATGGTCAAATAACCTCCATGACCTGCGCGGTGTGACGAGGCCTACGCTCATTGTAGAAATATGTCTCTCCAAGTATCCGCCCGTGTCTCTCTGCCTGCATGTGCCCGTGTCTCTGTGTGTGTCACTCAGTGTGTCTCTCTCCGTGTCTCTCTCTCCGTGTCTCTCTCCGTGTCTCTCTTTGTGCATCTTTCTCCATGTCCCTGCCAGCAATTGAAACGCCGCTACAGTTTAAAATAATACATCGTTAAAATAAGGAAAGGTTTGCTCAAACGTGGAATAAGGTCTCGCAAAAAAACTACAGCAGTGACGGGGTGAGAGGAAGGCGAAGGGAAAACAGTGAAGAATATTTTACTTGGTCACGGAGTCAGGTGGTGAGGGTGGTGAGGATGGCGAGGGTGGTGGGAGTTGAAGGACGTGGTGATGGTGGTGAGAGAGGTCGATGCGGTGATGGTGGCGAGAGTGGTGGAGGACGTGGTGATGGTCGAGGACGTGGTGAGAGAGGTCGATGCGGTGATGGTGGCGAGAGTGGTGGAGGACGTGGTGAGAGTTTGCGAAAGTGGCGAGCTGATCGGTGGGTCCAGGCTCACATCTGCGTGCTGAAATCTTGCGTGGGGTCAAGGGGCGACTTCTTCGAATATCCGGTGCAGATTCCCGACATACCTGAGCCGATGGGAGTACAACAAAATCGTCGACGCAGGTAAAACGATAAATTTCGTTAAAAACAACGTGTAAGGAAGGAAACACATACCGATGCACAAATCAAAAGCAATTGGGTGCGAGGAAATAAGATGAGAGTCGGGTGCTCTGTGGAGGTCGAGGTCGGAAGAGATGAAGGGAAGAAGAGGCGAGTGAGAGATTAGTGGTAGATAGAAGTGAGAAGCAGTGACGGCAAGAGGAGCGAAGAAGCGAGGAGAGTTGAGGAATGGAAACGCAGCAACGCAGAGTGCGAGATTCGAGTCGAGGTGATAGGAGACTTTAGGGGGCCATGCGGGGAGACGAAAGCGGATGAAGACGACGTGAGAGGAGAAGATGGCAGGACGGGACTGGGGCAGCAAGACGGGGTGGGGGCGGCAGGGGATCGGAGGAGAATGGCGTGCCTACGAGAGGAACAATTGAGCGGAGAGATCGGAGGAGACGAAACAATGCGAGGTGGCGACGAAAACGGCCTGGAGACAGAACGCTGCGCGCGAGGAGGCGAGCGACGAATCGAGAGGACGCGACGAGGAGCTATGGGGGTGTAAAGAAAGCTGGGACTGCACCCCCCCCCCATCCCCCCACCTTCGCTGGAAGTGGCTGATGCTGAAGAGGACCTGCATGAGGGCCGACAGGTAGGAGCAGCGTCCGGGGCTGCGCAGGCCTGTGTAGCCCGGCCCGTACAGGGGCTTCAGCTTGTACCCGACCTCCTGCAGCGCGGCCCACTCGCCTGCTGGTGGGCCCTGCACCTCGTCCGTCCGCTCGGCCTTGACGCGCGGGAGAGGGTGGGGGGGGGGGGGGGGGGAGCGGCGGACAGGCAGTTTCGAGCGGGGCGCTGGGCGTTAAAATAAAAAAAGGGGAGCTAGGGGGAAAAATAAGCATGCGAAGCGAAAGCTGAAGGATCCAAGCGGCTCCAGTAGTGCACCTCACCACCACCGCCACCGCCACCACCACCACGCCCCCTGGTTCATGAAAACATGGATGGGTAAAATATCAGCTGAAATGATGAAAAAAACGAGAAATATAAAAAATTTAATTTTCTGAAAAAACAAGAATAGTTTTTACCCTTTCTGGCAATAAAACAAGTGTTGAGATGATGAAACACCAAACAGATACCTTCTTTTCATTATTTTTGATACTGGCCAAAGAGGTCACATAGATAATTAATATCTCTCATGTCAATATTCTGTTGAATTTGCAGTCCTTCCCCCGCACCTCCAATGAGCAAAATTGGCTACATACAGTGCAAAAGAAGTTCCACATACATACGGTGCATAATGTCTCTCATCTCAATTGGATGCATCTCTCTTCTCCAATCTCACTACATCGATGCGCGTCATCTACATCTGTGTCATGCCACCACATCTGTCTCATCCCTCCATCTCGTGTCCACACATTCGTCACGTGGCTACTACGCCGCCGCCATCTCTCGTCTCTCCATCTCTTCTGTCATCACACTCAGAGTTTGCACATCTATAACGGGGGGAGCTCCCCGCCCCAGAGGGCCTGCACCACCACCTGGGACAGCTAGAGACAGAGAGAGGGACGGAGGCAGCCAAATGACGTGGATATTTTGAGCAAAATTGTCACGAATTCTGTGGTGTCATGCTACCTGGGTCATTCTCACCCACGGGGTGGTGCGCTGTTGGCAGTGAGAGCCCACACAAGGGTCTAGCCCCGCGCGTGGGAATACAAAGAGCCCTCCCTAAGTGACCCCTGAAGTTGAGTCGTGTCATCGTTCTCTAAATCAGGGACGGTGCTCCCTCCTCTTGCTTTCTGTCAGGGTCCCAAAAGAAGATTTCTTTGTCTCCTGATGTTCCACCATGGGTAGGGGTGGGGGTTGAGGGAAACCTAGGTGGACACGGAGAGTCACCGGTGGACACAGTGGTGGACGCAGTGGTGGGCGCGGTGGTGGGCGCGGTGGTGGACAGGGTGCCGAGCGTCGATGGCGGACGTACCTCCTGCGAGATGGACATGACGTCGATGCCGAAATGGGCGAGGTGCTCGGGGAGTTTGGGGTCGATGACGATCTCGTCCTCGTCAAACGAGTAGACGTCTACCCGAGTCGGGGTCAGGGGTCACGCGGGGGCACAGACGCACGGACACGCGGTGGTGACCGTCACACGAAACGCCTTTCCCTTCGTGTGTCAAAGCAAAGCCAACCCGTGCCCTGTAACCTCAGACTACAGCTTCTCCATGCAAAGTTTTCCTACTTAACCTCCACGGAGCCAACTCAGCCTCAACCGTATGGTCCCCAAACCCTGACCCCCCCCACTCCCCCTCCACTCCCCCTGCCCCACCCCTCGCCCCCTGCTGCCCCCCCCCCTGCCTTCAACGCCCCCCACCGACCGTCGCCACCTCTCCCACAGAAGTATTTCACAGTCAGCCAAGGTCTATCAACACCGCGGTTGCGCTGTAATGAAATTCAGCACAATACCGGTCGCAGATCTTGGTGACAAATCAATTCCTGCCACTCCAAACGCAGATGCCAATTCCCGGAGTGGTCCGCGTCCAACCCTGCCTGGATTAATCTGGACAGGTGGCAACTCTACCCCCACCCACCCCCCACCATGGAGTTCGTTATCCACCTCCCATATATAAAAAGGCGTCGCCCATGGCTCTGATGAACCTACTTTTTGTACTGGTGGAAGGGGTGCGCCGATTAATTGCACATCCTCCCCTTCCTCCTCCTTCTCCCCCCCCCTCCTCCTCCTCTCCTCCCTCCTCCTCCTCTCCTCCCTCCTCCTCCTCTCCTCCCTCCTCATCCCCCCTCCTCCTCCCCCCCTCCTTCGCACCCCCTCCTCATCCCCCCCTCCTCCTCCCCTCCTCCTCCCCCCTCCTTCGCACCCCCCTCCTCCTCCCCCCGTCCTCCTCCCCCCCTCCTCCTCCCCCCTCCTCCTCCCCCCTCCTTCTCCCCCCGCCTCCTGCCCCCCTCCTCCTGCCCCCCCCCTCCCACCACCTCCCACCACCACCTCGCCAAGCTAGCGTTCTCGCACCTGCGCCGTCGGGGCTGATGGAGGAGAGCTTGACGGCGAGTGGGTGCCCCGTGGTGCGGAAGTGCTGCAGCGCGTGGCCGTTGCCCTCCGTGCCGTCCACGTACTTGCGTCCGCACAGCACCGAGCCGTCCGTCAGGTTCAGCCACAGGTTCTTGCGAACGGAGCACTGCTCGCACTTCCAGCCCCTGGCGACGGGACGAACGCGACGCTGCGATTTCGTCGAGGGACCGTGCGGGTGTCTTGCCGCCGTCCGGCGCTGCTGTTGCTTTGCCGCATTGCCCAAGCTTGGGAATTGGTGCACTTTCGCACTTGGACCTGACGTACATTACGTGTATTTTATGTATTTATTTTTGTTCGTGATTTTGCTTTGCTTTCCTTTACTTTGCACTCCGATTCAGTTTTCGTGTTGTTAGTCGTTGTAATTTTCTGACCTGCACCAACTGGACGTCTGTGAAAAAGAGCTTCATAGCTCATCGGATTTCTCCAAGATAAAAAAAATATTCAGATTCTGACAAGCGCTGTGGACTGGATTTGGGCGCGCGTCACCCTCGGCCGCTGGGCTTGATTTTTTTTACTTTAGATTCGTTCGCAAATCTTTTTGCTTCACTGGGAGAAAAAAAATCCACAGAGCAACGGTTGAGACGGCGCTTCGACAGAGGAGGGGGGGGGGGTCGGTAACCGTGGAGGGGACGTTCAGCGGTCGTGGTGACGCGGCGCGCGCGGTGCGGGACTCACCGGGGCGGCACGCGGACCTCGGCGCCCTCCTGCTTGAGCGACTCGGCGTGCCGCGACACCTGCCGGAACTCCTTGTCCCACGGCTCCGGCAGCAGCGTCCGCACCGACGTGTCGGCCCTGAGCACCGAGTCGCACGCGATGGACACCTGGGGGGGGGGGGAGAGACGCGGCGAGGGAGAGACGTCAGGGAGAGACGCAGGGGAGACATGGGGCGAGCGGGAGACATTTGGGGAGAGGCGTGGAGGGGAGATAAGGGGGAAATGATGCAGGTGGAGAGACGCGGGGAAATACGTAGGGAAGAGACACGGGGAAGAGACACAGGGGAGACATGGTTGTGGAGAGACAGATAAGTTGGGGGGGGGGGGGGGTGAGACCCGAGTGCGAGAGACACAGTAGACACGGTGGGGGAGAAGACGCAGGGAAGTTAATGGGTGAGAGATGTGAAGGACATGGTAGAGACACAAAGGTGAGAACGGGGGGAGAGGCACGAGAGAGTTGGCAAGTTGGATGATCACACCGCAATATTACGAGGGGATGGTGGCGGCTTGGGGAGGCATTCCTCTCGTAGTGGATTGACCGTGTCCGACAATGACGACGAAGCGATTGCGGGAATTCAGCATTTGGGGTACTCCTCCCCGAAACAGCCTCCTTGCCCGGCCCGATCACTCACCATGGCCGGCAGCTCCTCGATGTTGGGCAGCCGAATCTCTAGCTGCTCGGGAAACACGACGAGTCGAGCCTCCTCCACAAAGTCCCGGCTCTCCCTCTCTTCCTCCTCGTCCCGCAGATCTGTAGCGGAGGCAGCAAACACGGTTCACCGAATCGCACGCTTTTGCGGCCGTCTGGAATGCTCTTCCTTCCGATATTGAGAAGTCACTGGAGCTGTGCACTTTTAAATCTAGATTTAAAACTTATTTCTTTCTAACCGATGTTTTTGTTCACTTCGTTGTGTTTACTGTTTGGTTCTTTCATTGTATTTCCCCTGCACCTCCTATGAGCATGGTTGGCTATGTACTGGCGCAAAACAAGCTCAGCACACGTACTTACGCACAGCGGCGTCAAGACAAAACAGGAAACCGTCGCACCGTTTCGGGCCTTTTTTCTTTTGGCTCCCCGTTCTTAAGCGAACGAGGCGGACAAAATGAACAACCGTACGGAGCTTCCCGCAAAGCGTCCCCTACAGATGCGGTTGCATTTAGCCCGCGACGCGTATATATACGTGTGTGTGTGTTTGCAAACTGTATCGCGGCCGTGATATTTGTAGTTCGACTTTCCATTCGCCTCTCAGTTCTGGTCTCCTCCTCCCCTGAGCAGCGAGCAGCACGGAGCCCCCCTTCTGACTCGACCCCACGGCTTGTTTACCGGCCGTCCGCTATTGTTCACACCCTAAGTTTAGACTCCACCGCCGAGCAATTCTACGGTGAAAGTCAGAGAGAGACACGTGGGGTCCCTCTTACCAGAGGTCGCAAACGGGTTTTGATTCCTTACCCGTACCCGCCCCGCACCAGGGTCGCAAACGGGTACCCGTACCCGTACCCGGCCGTACCCGTACCCTACCTGTACCCGGCCGGGTACGGGTAGGGTACGGGTATCGGGTGCCTGATTGCAACCTCTGGGATGAAGTCATGTTGCAGGCGCGGGTGGGTTGATTCTAGGAACTTAAATTGTGAGAAAAGACAAGACGTTGGGAAATGAGTGACAAACGGTGACTCACCAGTGACTCACAGTCTACCTGTACCCATACCCGGCCGCACCAGGGTCGCAAACAGGTACCCGTACCCGGCCGGGTACGGGTAGCCGGGTATCGGGTAGGGTACGGGTATCGGGTACCCGGTTGCGACCTCTGCCTCTTACTCTGCCGGGGTGGCGGGTGTCGGCAGGTGAAGGAGTTTGTGTAGCTCAGTGGTGGACAATCCACCAAGCACTGACATACATTCGGATGGATGTTGAACTTCTTTCGCACACCGTACGTAGCCAACCGCGCTAATCTGATGGATCTCACAGGCTGCTTGAGCCACCAGAGATCTGTGACCTACAGTTGCCCAAGTGAATACAGGGGGTTCCCCGAAATACGTCAGGGAGTTAGGGACCGGAAGGTTACGACTTATAACGAAACGATGTATAACGGGGACTTCTCCCGCGTAAGAATACTACGTGTTAATGCAGGGGGCGGTAGGGTTCCGTAAGAACGTAAACATTGCCTATGTGACGCAAAGCGGGGACGATTTCTCCCGTAAGAAAATAAGTAATATTTAATACTACTTTTTTAAAACACACTTCAATGAAATGTACCGTACGAGTAATGGAAGAACTCCACGACTCCAGGAAGTGGCCCCGAAGCTTGCCATAACGTAATGGACAGTGGTGATTTACAGCCAACATCAGTTGAGCGTGGACAATTAGACCCACGCTCGAAACATAAGATATACATTTTTTATTTTTTTATTTTTTTATTTTTAATGATAGAATATAGTATTGTCATCAGTATGACAAACGTATACCAAGTTTGCAGTCGATACGACATTGGGAAGTGGGTTAAAATTGAGTTACAAGATTTGAGGATACGACAACAGACAGAGTTGAGGATACAACAGAGTGAGTTAAATAAAAGCGTGTAAAATGGAATAAGGTAGAGATAGTGACCGTAACTTAGGGAAATGTTGTTTCATACCTATCAACCCAAATACGTATATATAGACATAATGCAGACATGTGTAACCAATTCTGAGTTCAGGAACGTTTAAACAGCATTTGCACAGCATCAAACACTTCATTGGAGACAATTTTTATGGGTATTTTGAAGCAGCTATATTCACTTTAAAACGTTTTCCTTTTTTAATAAAAAAACGCATTTGTAACAATTTTAAGAAATAACTCAAACAGAAAACCATTTTTCGTGTACAAAAAAAGCACAGAATTTTAAACAGCCTTTACGATCTTACCAAATCGAGTGGTGGATGAGTTGTGTTTGCAGGGTTGTGACGATATTTCGCGATCAAGTCGGCGTTGATTATAATCACCACTCAGTCGTGTGTGGGCACGCACGCGAGAGAAACACAACGGGACTGACAGAAAGTTGTTGGGGTCGCAGGAAGAAATCGTTTGCGATCCATTCCGCGGATAGCAGCCCCACGTAACGGCCACCACAGGACCGGTGGTGTTACGTGCCGAAGAGTTCAAATCGGGGGAACTCACTCACTCATTAACTTGTCCACCCACGGACTCGCGCGCGCATACGCACGGTGCTAAGCGCGGCTCCTTTGAAAATAGATTCTTATAGAAACCGCGAGCATTGCACGCGAGGTCAAAATAGCCAGGACCACAGATATTGGATATTATGCTGTCATGCACCCGACTGGAAAGCAGCATCATTTCTATGGATGAGTTGCATCTTTGTTTTTGTCCCCCCTCTCATCCGCTCACGAGCCTGCTTCTGTCGATGTGACTCAGAATGTTGAACCGGTTCAGAGTTTTCTTGCTTTAACAAATGCTGCTGGATAATCATACCTCATGCGGATAGCCATGGGTGTCTGGCCTAGAACTATATATATATTTCGATTTAAAGCTTTCGTGACTGCAGGGATTCATCGTATTGGTTCTTTCGGTAAAGTCACGTAGAAGGTAAATAATAAAATAATAAAATTTTAACATAATAAAATTATTCTCACGACGTTTTGGCCACAACGTAAGCAGCCGTCCTCAGGTGAAGAACAGGTCTGTTATTCAGACGCTGTCTTTCCGACAGACCTGTTCTTCACCTGAGGACGGCTGCTTGCGTTGTGGCCGAAACGTCGTGAGAGTTATTTTATTATGTTTTATTATTTTATTATTTACCTTCTACGTGACTTCACCGAAAGAACCTATAAGATATATATAACATGTTATTTACATGTGGAGAGACAGAAAAGAGTTCGGATTGTATAACACATCTCTTTCAGTGACCCCGTGCTAATCGGAGGTGTGCGAAAGGACAACCAACTAAACACACACAAATGATGTAAAATGCAGTCTCCAAGCCTTAATATCCACCATCTCTCCGGCATCTCCATTCATGTGCCACGAAGACGGGCCTTTGCCAAAAACCTCACCCATTAAATGCATTTTCTGTGAATGCCACACAAGTGTTTTCGACGGACAACGTTAAGTTTAGTTTTCCTCTCAATGGTGTTTGTGCGCCAACACAACAGCATCACCAAATAATTACTCTCGTACAGGGCGAGCGGGGGGGGGGTGGTTGCGAGGCCACGTTTTTTTGCGTTGCTCAGCCACCGCTCGTCTTGTTTTGGGACGCAGGCCGACGTCGTGCATCATGGAAACGCAAAGGGGCGGCCGTCCGTGGTGCCTTCCGCGCCTCGTTGAAAGCAAAGTATTGTGTGTTCGCCGCAACCTCCCCACCCCATGGTAACGGGCAGGGCCGGGTTACCGCCAGGGCTTCAGGGCTACTGCCTTGACCCCCCCATCCCCACCGCCCCCCCCCCCCCAAATAAATATATATAGTCGACTGAGATTGACCAATTAATGACTCACGGATTTTCACTTAAGCCCAAATTAATAATCTAAAGACAGTTATGCATTGTTATTCTTGGAAGTTATTTCAAGTCGCGCGCTAAAGCCAACCAATATGTGCTCTGGTTAATCCAAAATCGTCGTGATCGTCTCTACAGTACAGTAGTTGCATATCTTTGCGACAGTGGGTGGAGTTTGATTGATGTTGATTGGCGTGGCTCTGCTGTCATCCACTTAGTGGGCGGAGTCTTCTGCGCGAGATTGGGAAAGTGTTATCACTGAGCATGCGCATTGATTGGTCGATCTTTAGTATTCGTTCTAAATTGAAAGAGTAACAATCGAAATCACCATTTGTGCTTCATTTCTAGTGATTTATCCGATAATTTATGGATTATCCACAATTTTTAATTATCTACGGCCGTCCCCATCATTAGCGCGGGTAATCAAGAGTCTACTGTTGTCTGCTTCACAGTGGTTTGAATGTAATTCTGTAGCACTTGTGATAAATCCTATAGGTCAGTAGTGGGATATCCCCACCCCCACCTTTCCGGCCACGCGGGTCACTATCAACCATCAAAAATCTTTCGCGGACCACAACTCGTCAATCGCGAGATTTTATTTTAAAAAATTCAATATAAAAATGGCTTGAAATCGTCGTCTTCTGCGAGGGCTTTTCTTGCGGACAATTTCCCACGGCCTTGCAGAGGCCATAAGTGGTTGGAGGGCCACAGGTAGGGTACGACCGCTATAGGAAGCACATTTGTGAATTGAGCCTGAAAAACAAGCGCGGGATTGCCTTGGCGAGGGTCTCTCGCCTCTCTCCGAAATTGTTTCGGATATTAAATTAAGCCACGGTATCGCTGTGTGCGTTTCGTATCAGGAACGTGGCGAAATTAAAGACGGTTTTTCGATCATTCTAACTTTGATTTGGCTATTAGCGTCCGTGCCTCACGTTTAAAGACACGGACCAAAGTAACGCAGGCGAATAGCTGTGGAGAGTTTGGCATTGGGTGGTGATAAAACGGTAAAAGGAAGAAATGTAATATCATACCAAAGAGGGATGTCCAAAAACTATAACAGGCAGGAGCCCCATAAAACTCAATCCGGCCCTCGGAAACAGGCTATATGTGTACAAGCGCATTTGCACGAATCGCAGTGTTTTCATCGCACGTGTAAGTCCGTTAAAAGTTTCCGTGTAAACAGTGGAAGGGTGCGAGTGGACTGCACTGCGCCATGAGCCCAATGACCCCCCCGCCACCCCGTTTGATTCGACTGCCAGCATC